CTCCCGTTCCTTTATGACATTCCTAAAGTGTTTCACAATATTGTCAGTGTCACCATTAAACACTTGTTCAGGTTTCAGTCCTTCACTGTCTATGTACTCCTTGAATTACTGCACATATTTTTCAGCTGCTTTTTGGTCCAAACTGGCAGCCTCACCATGCCTTATCACACTATGTATGCCACTACGATTCTTAAATCTCTCAAACCAACCTTTGCTGGCCTTAAATTCACTCACATCACCACTAGTTGCTGGCATTTTTCTAATTAAATCGTCATGCAACTTCCTAGCCTTTTCACATATGATCGCTTGAGAGATGCTATCTCCTGCTATCTGTTTTTCGTTTATCCATACCAATAACAGTCTCTCAACATCTTCTATCACTTGCGATCTCAGTTTCGAAAACATAGTTGCACCTTTGGCAAGAACAGCTTCCTTGATTGCCGTTTTCTTGGCCACAATAGTAGCAATGGTTGATTGGGGTTTTGTGTACAGCCTGGCCAGCTCGGAGACATGCACTCCACTTTCATACTTAGCAATGCTCTTTCTTCATATCCATAGTAATTCTCGCCCTTTTTGCTGTAGGGTTGGCACTAGAAGCTTTCTTGGGGCCCATGGTGACTTATTTTGCAGGTGCAATCACTAAAAAGGCTGTGATAATATGAAATGTTCCGATTGTATGCTTGGAAGCGACCGCGGTGGCTGGCTGGCTTGTAAACACTGGCCAGAGTGGACGCGTCTCAGACGGAACGAATAGTGTTGGTAGAGTTTTTTAGCGCTAATCGAGGCAAAATTTTTGCGATAAAATGTATCGCTAGTCAGATTTATCGTTAATCGATGCCATCGCTGGTCGAGGGTCCACTGTACTTGGGAGTTGACGTGTCGGCGGATGGATTTATGAAGGATGAGGTTAATCATAGAATTGATGAGGGAAAAAAGGTGAGTGGTGCGTTGAGGTATATGTGGAGTCAAAAAATGTTATCTATGGAGGCAAAGAAGGGAATGTATGAAAGTATAGTAGTACCAACACTCTTATATGGATGTGAAGCTTGGGTGGTAAATGCAGCAGCGAGGAGACGGTTGGAGGCAGTGGAGATGTCCTGTCTAAGGGCAATGTGTGGTGTAAATATTATGCAGAAAATTCGGAGTGTGGAAATTAGGAGGTGTGGAGTTAATAAAAGCATTAGTCAGACGGCAGAAGAAGGGTTGTTGAGGTGGTTTGGTCATTTAGAGAGAATGGATCAAAGTAGAATGACATGGAAAGCATATAAATCTATAGGGGAAGGAAGGCGGGGTAGGGGTCGTCCTCGAAAGGGTTGGAAAGAGGGGGTAAAGGAGGTTTTGTGGGCGAGGGGCTTGGACTTCCAGAAAGCGTGCATGAGCGTGTTAGATAGGAGTGAATGGAGACGAATGATACTTGGGACCTGACGATCTGTTGGAGTGTGAGCAGGGTAATATTTAGTGAAGGGATTCAGGGAAACCGGTTATTTTCATATAGTCGGACTCGAGTCCTGGAAATGGGAAGTACAATGCCTGCACTTTAAAGGAGGGGTTTGGGATATTGGCAGTTTGGAGGGATATGTTGTGTATCTTTATACGTACATATATGCTTCTAAACTGTTGTATTCCGAGCACCTCTGCAAAAGCAGTGATAATGTGTGAGTGTGGTGAAAGTGTTGAATGATGATGAAAGTATTTTCTTTTTGGGGATTTTCTTTCTTTTTTGGGTCACCCTGCCTCGGTGGGAGATGGCCGACTTGTTGAAAAAAAAAAAAATATATGTATGTATGTATATGTGTGTGTGTGTGTGTATATTATATATAATATATATATATATTATATATATTTATATATATTTATATATATATATTATATTATATATATATATATATATATTATATATATATATATATATATATATATATTATATATATATATATATATATATATATATATATATATATATATATATATATATATATATATATATATATATATATATATATATATATATATATATATATATATATATATATATATATATTATATATATATATATATTATATATATATATATTAATATGATGGGGTCCACCTCTGGTGTAAATTGTGGGACCCATTGCCTCGGAGAAGTGCATAAAAAGACTTCAAGGAAGAATATTTGGATTTCTTCCTGAAGCCGTTTGAATATTCCACTTCCCCTACCACCCCATCTTTTAGCATATTTTTTTTTTACCAATAGGAATATTTTATTACATAATATGGTACAGAAGATTTAAGAGATACATTGTTGATATAAAGGTGGCATATACGGTACATGTTGTTACGTGTGTATCACCGATAAGGCGAAAATCTCATCCAGCTCCTCAGAGCTGGGGCGTGTGCCCAAAATACAGCAGGCATTACCCCTTTGAACAGCCGCACTGAGCCGCTGGAACAGAAAACTAGCTGCCCTGGGATCCCTAGTTACCCTGATGAGTCTTTTTCCCAGCTCCTTAAGGAATTTAGATGCACTCTTTCCCCATGAGCCAAGGGTCTCTGAGCCTATGGGAACAAACATATAATGATGGGCAAGTTCTCCATATTTTCTAGACTTTTGGGACTCCCTGAAGCTGGCAGCTGCCCCTCCTTCCTGCCTGGTGTATTGGAGATAGGTATCAGCCAAGGTAGATGCACATGTATAGTCCCACACCACCTGCTTCCCATCTGTCCAGGCTTGAAGGGTGATACCATCTGGACGCTTCTGGCTGCCATCAGATCTGCATAGTTGGGGTGGCTCCCTTACTGCTGGGCATCCAGCTGTTGTGAGGCTCCTCTTGATAATGTTATTAACCTCCTCATGTCTTGCAATCTTTCCCTCGGATTTACGGCACACAAGACCATGGTACCCGAATCGGTCTGCTGCTTCACTGCCACAAATACACCTGTGTTCGGCGAGAATAGGGGCGGCAAGTCGAAGGGCAACACCGATGCGGATGGTCTGTGGGTCGAGACGTGTGCCAAGGCTGGAGTTGGGAACAGCCAACAGAAAGTCCCCAGCATGAGGGGCTCTCACTGCCAGGAGGCGGGTTCTATCCTTCCCTGACACACTCTGAAGCATTGTTGAGGCAATATTTTCCACTATTGGACCACCCCAGTGCGATTGTTTGTAGTTGTTGGGGGGAGCAGGTCTGGCTCCAGAGCCCGTTAGATTATCCTAGATCATTGCTCCGTCAATGAATTTTTGGTCCTGGACTCCTACCTTGTCCCTAAGATGTTCAGGGAGAATCGCTGCTACAAGCTCTCTGGATGCAATACACGAGGACAGAAAAGCAGGTAACGCAATCTGTGATGACTTGCGGACACCAATGCCTCCTAGTCTGACTGGAAGTGTAGCTTGGTTCCACTGCCCGTCTTCTAGAGTAAGGTTAAGTACTTTCGTAAAAATCTGCCTCAGAATACTGTCATATTCGTGCAGTATAGGGTTATCATATGAAGGTGCACATCTTAGGAAATATGTCAACCTGGGCAGACTCAAGCACTTTATATATATATATATATATATATATATATATATATATATATATATATATATATATATATACTATATATATACATATACATATACATATACATATATATATACATATATATATACATATACATATACATATACATATACATATACATATACATACACATACATACATACCTCAAGTGCCCATAATATTTGTGCATTCAAGAGACCATTTGCTCACATTATAAATGGAGAAGCACTAAACACACAGGGGTCATACATTATCATTATATTTAGTAGTAAGTGCTGTCTGCAAGGGTCAAACTGTGCCTGGGAAATGGGAGACAATCATGTTAGATCCAAGGAAGGGGAGGACAAATCCAATTCACTGGATTAAGAGCCCCTCATCAGCTTTGAGGAATCTCCCATTGGGAAATATGAACCATTGAGTACCTAATGGAAGACAATAAGGATCAATCCAGTAGGGAAGGAAAACTCCAATTCCCAGGGCCATAGGCCCCACACTGGGTTCAAGATTCACTGGAATCAAGAGCCCTCACCAAGATCAAGAACCCCATCACTGGAATCAGGGACCTAAGGACCCCAATATGCTGCTGTATAAAATAATTTAATTAACTATTTAGGTGTACCTATACCTGAACAAACTAAACTGGACCAAGGGCCCCCCTTTACTTGGCTCCAAAGCCCCTTCACTTGGATCAAGAGCCCCTTCACTTGGATCAAGAGCCCCTTCATTTGGATCAAAACCCAATTCACTCGAATCAAGAAGAGCTTTCCTGTATCAAGACCCCCTTCACCTGAGGGACCCCCTTCACCCGAGGGAACCCCCCCAATGAAAATAACGGACATTTTGGGGTTATCCTAGGTAATTTACAAGTTACTATATATGATAACTGAAACCACCTAAATTTGCATAAATGTACTTAGGAGTACCTGTACCTAAATAAAGTTATTTACACCTGGATTATTATAATCATAATCATGGGGGAGCTCTAAACCCATAGGGATTATACACCGCCTGTGGGGGGAGGGTGATGGAAGGTATTCTGACTCAATTCAGGGAACTGGAGCACAGATCCAATTCCCTAGATCAAGAGCCCCCTCACCAGCATCAAAGAACCTTGCCTGAGGGGATTTACACCTGGATCTAGAGCACCTCACCGGCAACTTCTAAGGGATCTCTCAACTGTCAAGTCACACCGGCAAACCTTCATCCTCACTTACACTTCAAGGTTCAACCTACATCTCCTGTGTATTAACATAAATATTATTAATAATACGACCTTGTGTGACCTTCCCTGGTCAGCGTTTATACAGAAGACGGCAGACGACGGTCACAACAGCTGATCGCTACACCAATATACAAAAATAAGTATGAATTATGCCTAGGTAGAATTTAAAACACAAGTTGTAATGAGAGTTGGAGCACAAGCTTAGTGCTCATCAGTATTTACTAATATTTACTACCTGACAAGCAGGAAGTGTTGAGCAGTCGGGGAAGAGAGAGCAACCTTTCTTAACAACATTGTCTTGGTAGCCATGATGGACCTGGCTTGACGTCATACCCATAATGCTTTCCTTGTTAATATTGCTATGGTAACCAGGGACGCTGCTCACACTTGACACCTACTCGATGTTAGTTTAATATCTTTGTTATGCACCTCATACCTGTCCTGTGAGTGGTAGTCAAAAGATTACAGAGGTACAAAATGGGTCGGGGGGCGGGGCCCGAAAGTTTTGATGGCTGAACAAGGTATAAAGGTAATGAACTCCAGGTAGATCTGGTCACAACCATGAACAAGTTCCCCTCAAGGAACGCTGGTGAGGGGCTCTTGATATAGGGAATTGGATCTGTGCTCCGGTTCCCTGAATTAAGCTTGAATGCCTGTCTGACTTTTTCGGGTTATCCTAGGTTCTCTAGACATATGCTGCTATGTATGATAATCAATGTAACTATGACATAAAGTCTTCCAAAGCTTGAACTTACTTAATATACAAAATATGCACTCATACTACTATGACTAATATATATATGTATATAATTCTTAGGATTAGTTTGCCCGAAATGCGATGCATATTAGCGGCTTTCATTTATGACTACCAATATTCTTTTACATGTAAACTACATTATTTTTGTACCACATAAAATAAATATTATTATTACAATCAGAACTAAGCGCTAAACCCACCAAGGTCAACAAAAAATTGTATTTTTACATCAGGAAGTAGGACTCTGAAATGCCTAGGTATTTATAATATGTAAACCACACATTGTAAGCTTTGCAAGTTTTAATATCTTTATTATGCACCCCATACCCATCCTGTGGGCGGTAGTCGAAGAATTACAGAGGTACATAATGGGTTCAGGGACTTTGCAAGGTAATAAACATTTTCATTTTCAATCAATGGCTTGATAAAGCTCCTGGAGAGCGAAACGTTGCCACAATAAATGTCACATTAGTTGCACTTGTGTCCTTTTACTTTACATACAATCATAGCTAAGCGGTAAACCCCATAAGCAGGGCTCAATACGTCACAAGCTGTTAGTGGCCCTCACTAACCCAGCCAGAATTATAAGACAGTATAAATTTTATTTATGCATTTAAACCCTTTAAGAGAGATGCATGGCTGCCAGTAAATGGTCTTTGATATAGGGAATTTGAACAACCCGTTACTTTCTTGGATAAAACTCGATTGGTTCCCATTCCCCAGGCACTGTGTGACCCCTATGGATTTAGTGTTTTCCCATAATTCATTTATAATCACGATACAAGGAGATGGTAAGTCCAATTCCTTGGATCAAGAGCTCATTCACTGGTATGGAGGGACTTCCCTTGAGAGTGTGACGTAAGCTTTTAATGCATCATTATATAACCACTGAAGATCTGAGGACATTCATCTCATCATCAAGAACTGGTAATATTATTATTATTATAATCAAGGGGGAAGCGCTAAACCCGGAGGATTACACAGCGCCTGGGGGGGGGGGATGTGGAAGGCATTCAGGCTTAATTCGGGGAATTGGAGCACATATCCAATTTCCTAAATCAAGAGCCCCTCGCCAACATCAAGGAACCTTCCTTGAGGGGCAAGAACTGGTAATAATAATAACACTAATTTTTTTTAAAGGGGTGGACCAGTAAGCCAGCGGAAGGCCTCGGTCAGATGACCAAAAGCTGCAACGGCAGGTCATCATATGACTAAGACCCGTGTTAGGAAACACTTGTCCTGTTTACTGACGAACCTTACCTAAGGACAACCAGGAGGCAATCACAAGTGATCATATGAAATTTGATATCACACCATCAACGACAGACACCTACACAACCCAAAACTAATTGGAATATTCTACTAAGCAAGGTGCAACAACTCTGATTATTATAATAAGCACTAAACCTAGAAGGGTCATACAACTCAACATCTCTGCGAGTTCGAGGCCAGTCAGGACAGGCATTCTCTTGTCATCTGTCTTAGGATAATTGTTATAATTAAAACTAAGCGCTAAACCCCACAAGGGTCATAGAGTGCTGCTATCTTAAGATATGTTCTGGTTTTTAACCCTGGGGGAGGGTTACTCACTCGGGATAACCTGGATAAGATTTCGTTCGGATTTTTAACCCCGGAGGGTTAGCCACCCAGGATAACCCAAGAAAGTCAGCGAGTCATCGAGGACTGTCTGACTTATTTCCATTGGCGTCCTCAATCTTGTCCCCCAGGATGTGACCCATACCAGTCGACTAACACCCAGGTACCTATTTGCTGCTAGGTGAACAGGACAACAGGTGTAAGGAAACGTGTCGAAATGTTTCCACCCTGCCGAGAATCTAACCCGGGCCCTCCGTGTGTGAAGCAGGAGCTTTAGCCACCAGGCCATCTGGAGGGGGTTTCAGGGATCAATGCCCCTCGTGGCTCAGTCAGTGTTGAGACCTCGTGGTGGATCAGGACTTGATCAAGTAGGCTGTTACTGCTGGTTACACGTAAACTGACATACAAGTCACAGCCCGGCTGGTCAGGTACTGACTTTGGTGCCTATCCAGCGCCTTCTTGAAGACAGCCAGGGGTCTATTGGTAATTCCCCTTATGAATGCTGGGAGGCAGTTGAAGTCTTGGCCCCCGACACTTATCGTCTCATAGCCTACTCATGGTGCCCCTGCTTTTCAATGGGTGATGGTGCACCGCCTGCCAAATCTTTTGCTTTCGTAGGGAGTGATTTTCGTGTGCAATTTCGAACTAGTCCCTCTAGGATTTTCCAAGTGTATATTATCAAGTATCTTTCTCACCTATGTTATCGAGGACTCTCCCTTATTTCCAGTGGGGTTCTTCAATTTTGTTCCCAGGATGTGACCCACACCAGTCGACAAACTACTAGGTAAATACTGCTAGGTGAACAGTAACAGCAAATGTAAGGAAACATGCTTAATGTTTCCACCTGTACCCAGGACTGAACCACAGACAGTCATGTGTAAGGTAAGTGTTGCCACCTGAGCCATGGGACACCCATATGAACATCTGAATACATTTAAATAAGCTAAATAAAGTGCTAAGTGAACACATTTAAGCCTCTTAATAAATTAAATGTAATCGCATTTTTAATGTAATATTTATGCACTAGTAGATAGGCAGACAGCAACCACCCAGGGAAGTACTACTGTCTTGCCAGATGAGTGTGAAATGGAAACCCCTAATTGTTTTACATAATGGTAGGATTTCTGGTGTCTTTCTTTGTCTCATGAACATGCAAGCTAACAGGTACAGCTTGCACTGACTTTCTTGGGTTATCCTGGGTGGCTAACCCTCCGGGGTTAAAAATCCGAACGAAATCTTATCTTATCTTATCTAACTCTACTTACACTTAGATCACACATGCATGTGCAAACGTTTTTTGTTTTTTTAAAGGTTGGTCATCTCCCACCGAGGCAGGGTGACCCAAAAAGAAAGAAAATCCCCACAAAGAAAATACTTTCATCATCATCCAGCACTTTCACCTCACTCATATATAATCACTGTCTTTGCAGAGGCGCTCAGATACAACAGTTCAGAAGTTCCTCCAAACTGCCAATATCCCAAACCCCTCCTGTAAAGTGCAGGCATTGTACTTCCCATTTCCAGAACTCAAGTCCGGCTAACCGGTTTCCCCGAATCCCTTCACACGATATTACCCTGCTCACACTCCAACAGCTCGTCAGGTCCCAAAAACTATTTGTCTCCATTCACTACTAAAAAGCTCACACATGCTTGCTGGAAGTCCAAGCCCCTCGCCCACAAAACCTCTTTTACCCCCTCCCTCCAACCTTTTCGAGGACGACCCCTACCCTACCTTCCTTCCCCTACAGATTTATACTCTCTCCAAGTCATTCTACTTTGATCCATTCTCTCTAAATGACCAAACCACCTCAACAACCCTTCTTCAGCCCTCTGACTAATACTTTTAGTAACTCCACACCTCCTCCTAATTTCTACACTCCATATTCTCTGCATAATATTTACACCACACATTGCCCTTAGACAGGATATCTCCACTGCCTTCAGCCACCTCCTTGCTGCAGCATTTGTAACCCAAGCTTCACACCCACATAAGAGTGTTGGTATCACTATACTTTCGTACATTCCCTTCTTTGCCTCCATGGAAAATGTTTTTTGTCTCTCCAGATACATATCTCAATGCACCACTAACCTTTTTTCCTTCATCAATTCTATGGTTAACCTCATCCTTCATACATCCATCCATTGACAATTCAACTCCCAAATATCTGAAAACATTCACTTCTTCTGTACTCCTCTCTCCAATGTGATATCCAATTTTTCTTAATCTAAATCACTTGATACCCCTCATCACCTTACTCTTATCTATGTTCACTTTCAAACTTTACATACATATGCATTTTTTTTTTTCAACAAGTCAGTCATCTCCCACCAAGGAAAGAATCTTTCCTCTGTGAAGCATGTCATAAAAGCTGACTAAGATTCTAGGAGCAATGGCCTAGTAACCCCTTCTATATAAATTATTAAAAATAAGAATTGGGTTACCCTGCCTTGGTGGGAGATGGCCAGTTGAAAACAATATTTATACCATCAACTGTATTTTTCCATGGGGAAGTGGGACAGAATTCTTCCTCTGTAAGCCATGCATGTCGTAAGAGGCGACTAAAATGGCGAGAGCAAAGGGCTAGTAACCCCTTCACCTGTACATTATTAAATTTAAAAGGAGAAACTTGTTTTTTTTTCTTTTGGGCCACCCCGTCTCAGTGGGATACGGCTGGTGCATTGAAAATAAGAAAAAATGTATTTGTGTACTGTACACAAGTATTGTTACCTTTACACAAATAACCTGCACATAGGAGAATGAAACTTATGACAATGTTTCATTCTCCTATGTGTGGGTTATTTGTGTATTGCTCCAGTCATGGTATTGTGCCTTTTATTTTTTATTCTTACCTTTAATGGTATAAATATTATATCCAAGACAACACTTCCAATAATGGTATTACACTACACATAATTGGTTTTAACACTGATTAAAACAACTGACAGTCATCATAATTTATTGATTTATTCAGTTCAGTGCATTTATTATCTTTAAAATTTCCCTGTACTCTAAACAATAATGACATGGCAATTTTTCATATAAAATGGTTATCCTCCCTCATCCCAGAAAATTATTATTATCTTGGAACATGCTAAACCCATACAGGTCATACAGTGCTACTTTTCCCAGAAAAAGAGACCAAGATGATGCTTCCCTCTACCTCAGTATTTCCTATTTACAGAACCTCACAAATTAGCACTTTTCTTTCCAGTACAATATGCACTTTTCTTTATTTACATAATATACTGGTATCTTCTCATTTACTGGATAAATAACACTCGAGCATTATACCACATCTCTTTAACCCTTTGACTGTCGCGGCCGTATATATATGTCTTACGAGGTACCGTGTTTGACATATATATACTCATAAATTCTAGCGGCTTCAAATCAAGCAGGAGAAAGCTGGTAGGCCCACATGTGAGAGAATGGGTCTGTGTGGTCAGTGTGCACCATATAAAAAAAATCCTGGAGCACGCAGTGCATAATGAGAAAAAAAAAACTCCGACCGTTTTTTTTAATTAAAATGCCAACTTTGTGGTCTATTTTCGTATAGTATTTATGGTTGTATTCTCGTTTTCTTGGTCTCATTTGATAGAATGGAAAACATATTATAGAAATAGAGGGGATTTTGATTGATTTTACTATAAAAAGAACCTAGAAATGGAGCTCAAAGTAAGGGAAATGTTTGATTTTTGCCAATCTTCAAAAGTAAACAAATGATGCCATTGTCCAATAAATGTCCAACTAGCCATTCTAATATGCAGTCATGAATGGGTTGATGTTATTTATACAATTATTACAGTATTGCAGTAGTCTGCATAATAGTAAGTCTACTATTTTTTGTTTGAATAAAAATTCAAAATAGAAAGCAAGAGTAATATCAGAGGGGCCTGGAGACATGACTGATGAGCAAAGAAAATGTTATTTTAGAGCCAGGAATGTCTGCATTATTCATTCTGGACCTTATTTTGAAATTGTCATATTTTTTAGTTTTCGTGAAATTGGCCAAATTGCAAATTTCTGACCACATTATTAGGTAGTTGAAATCGGTAAATGGGCAGTTTCTTCTACTCAGTCGATAGAAAAAAATGGAGTTCTAAAGAAATAGCTCTGAGTTTGGGCGACTGGAACAGTGGAATTAGCCGAAAATAGGGCTCAAACTGGGCGAAATCGCCGATTTGTAAACAGCGCCAAGGTCGCTAACTTCGCGAGAGCATAATTCCATCAGTTTTCCATCATATTTCGTTTTTTTTGGTGTCATTACAATCGGGAAAAGATTCTCTATCATTTCATAAGAAAAAATAATTTTTTTTTTTTTTTAAATTTTGCGACACCAGGAGACACCTCAGGATTGGGGGTTGCGACAGTCAAAGGGTTAAAGTACGAAAGAACTACACTTTTTTTCCCATTCTGTATAGTACCCTACTCTCTTAACATTTAATTTGGTATGAAAAACTTTTAGTATTACCTGAAATTAACTCTTACTTATAATTTAATGGTATCCTATTATACTTGTAAAAAAAAGAATACCCTAGTATTGCTTCCTTCTTAGATGATGCAGGATTTGACTCATTCACTCCAACAATAATAACACCATTTCAAACACCTTTAAGGGGGTAAACACAAATGCTCATCACCTAACTTGATACAAGTACTACTACTCGCATCACTCTCAAACGACATTTAATAGTTCAATTCATCATCCTACTCCATGCCTAACATAGTACTTACCAAGTATATTTTCAACCATTACACAAACTTGCAATTCACATTTTTTTCCGCATCGAAAGCATCCATTTCTATAATGTACTTTGCATGAACATCTCGCTATACTATGTGGCTATCTTTCAATATATGACTGTTTCATTTAGACACATTTTCAAACAAGGCATCTTCATCATTAACACAAACTCTCTTTCCAATACAGTCTACCATTTCTACTCAATATTTGTACTGTTCCCATCCTCTTAATTGATTTTAACATATAGAAGATTGTGCACCACGTGCACATAACTCAACAAACTTATTATTACTTATTCAACAAATGTTTCATACAATTTACTTTGAAGTACTTCCTATTCTTTCACTACATATAAGTCAAATGGTTTACTTTCACATTAAATTACTGCAAATCCAAACAAAACAAAGTCATAGCTTTTACATTTACATTCCTTTTTTTAATAAAACATACTTATTATCAATGACACAGTAACATTACTCAAGCAAATGCTTTACTAACATATTTCAGGCTTTAACCTACAATCTTCATACTTGACAAATTATTCATTGCATCATCTGCTATGCCTCATTTGTCATCTTGTCTCAAGGTGTGCAAAGGCAGTACACTATTTCCATTTCAAAACTCTTCTTCAAAGTTTTTCTTGATATCAGCAATGATGGTGTTATTCTGAAACAAACATTCCTTTAGCCTTTTATATCAGCATCTTGTCTTATAATATGAACCAAATTTCTCAATAAAATAAACAACCCAACCAAACTCAGGCTCAATTTACGAATACATGCATATTGTTTCCTTCATGCACTTGCACAATAAGATCACAGTTAATAGGTGATATCACAATATGCCAAACAACCATTGTGAAAAATAGTGATTTCTAACATCATCAAGGAACTAAATATTCATGAAGATTTACGTATTTATTTTCATCACTCCACTAACATTATTTATTATTATTATTATTATAATCAAAACCTAGCGCTAAATCTACTAGTCACCCCACTAACAAGTGCAGCAGGTATTTATTAACACATTGTTACTCCCTGTAATAAATGTTCGTATTTTATTTCACTGTAACAAATACACGTATGGACTAGAAACTCATTCACCTAACTCAAACTCAATATCCTGTACAACCTCAAATATGGATCACCATTTGTTTAAATCCAATCAATTTCACCTTCATTAACTTACTCTCTCAACAATATTTGTGTCTACATTTCCATATCATTTGAATTTCCACTTTCTACCTCCTTAAGGTTTCTGTTTTGAGACCACATTGGGCCCTTTTGAAACATGTCATATCTGTCCCTATCTATTATTCACTTGGAATACTCTATGCCCCAAGTTCACCCCTACTGTAATGACAGTTTCTAGCAAAAGGTAGTACACAGTTATCACCTGAAGATAGTGCAGATTACAACACTTTATGTCATCTGTCTACTGTTGGTTGCAGTCATATCCTTTACCTCTACTCTGGATACTTTAACTACCATAGTGGTGCACAATCAAAAGTCTTCTTTTATGTGGCAGCCATTTCTCCTTGTTGTTGGAAATTTTAAGGACCACTGACAGCTTATGCTGTACTGACCCCTGCTTCCTGATATACAGGAAAAAAAAAAAAGCCAAAAGCTGGGCAATGAAAGGGAACAGCATTTCCCTTTGCAAATAGAAACAGGAATGAAAAATATTCCCAATGAGGTCAGGTGAATTCTCTTGCCTAGCCTCAGCAAAGCGAGACACCTACATTCTCACCTGAGTTCAGTAACTGGCTTCATGCCAAAATTGTTAAATAGGGCAATTAAAGGAAAGGGCATTTTGAGTACTGAGCTACAGGTCCTGGGAAAACTGAGCTAATTCTCCTGAGTCTCTTGAAGCTACTTAGTTACAGTTCTGGGCCTCTTTGGGGAAGGGGTTGGAGCCTAGAGTTTTTGGACTCTGTCATTTCAAGTTGTTGAACTGCAGTTCCTGGGATAAAGCCCACAGAAGTGGGGTTGGATCTGAAGCTGAAACTTGCCTTTCTGTGAAAGATGAGATTATCTATACAATACATGAAGGAAAGAAACATACAAAAAAAGTTGAGGAATCTCTGGAAACAATTAAGTAAGATGGATTATACAGAAGACAAGAGAAGAACATCACGAAGGGTGTGAAGGACATGGTGAACACGAGCAGTCACATCAGATTGAAATAACTGGAGATGAGTAGTTCTTTCCAGTTCATATGGTGTTGCATACTGAATAAAGTAACATCAAGAGCAATTTTCAAGGTAACCAGTTAGTGGATCTAAAATTTTGGAGGTCAATGTTCAGGTGAGAATGTTTGGGCTCATTAGAACTAACAAGCAAGTGATACTAATTTTGGTTTCTTCCTTGAATCACCCTGTCCTTGGTGAGAAATGGCCAATATGTTAGCAAAATACACAGAAAATATTGTTTAAAACATTCCCACACTTTTTTTATCGAGTACAACATTCAAGAATTTAAATAATTACTTACTTGTTTTACTATTTTTTTCTCTGTAGGTATAGAGAATACAAGACTGGCAGAGCATTTGTGGCACACAACCATTGCCTCAGTATTTTCATTAATACAGTGGCACTCTTGGCACTCTGGAGCATTGGCAGATAATGTTACACGCTGACTTATCACACTTAGGAACTTCTTTTCTTGCACCTGAAAATTTCAGGCATTCATATTTAGTTCACAGTTAGTTATAGGTAATACATATTTTAAGAAAAAAGAGGATAAATAAGTATACACGATATGATGTAGGGCGAAATGACAGTAGTTTGTTGGATTATGTATTGGTAGATAAAAGACTGTTGAGTAGACTTCAGGATGTACATGTTTATAGAGGGGCCACAGATATATCAGATCACTTTCTAGTTGTAGCTACACTGAGAGTAAAAGGTAGATGGGATACAAGGAGAATAGAAGCATCAGGGAAGAGAGAGGTGAAGGTTTATAAACTAAAAGAGGAGGCAGTTAGGGTAAGATATAAACAGCTATTGGAGGATAGATGGGCTAATGAGAGCATAGGCAGTGGGGTCGAAGAGGTATGGGGTAGGTTTAAAAATGTAGTGTTAGAGTGTTCAGCAGAAGTTTGTGGTTACAGGAAAGTGGGTGCAGGAGGGAAGAGGAGCGATTGGTGGAATGATGATGTAAAGAGAGTAGTAAGGGAGAAAAAGTTAACATATGAGAAGTTTTTACAAAGTAGAAGTGATGCAAGGAGGGAAGAGTATATGGAGAAAAAGAGAGAGGTTAAGAGAGTGGTGAAGCAATGTAAAAAGAGAGCAAATGAGAGAGTGGGTGAGATGTTATCAACAAATTTTGTTGAAAATAAGAAAAAGTTTTGGAGTGAGATTAACAAGTTAAGAAAGCCTAGAGAACAAATGGATTTGTCAGTTAAAAATAGGAGAGGAGAGTTATTAAATGGAGAGTTAGAGGTATTGGGAAGATGGAGGGAATATTTTGAGGAATTGTTAAATGTTGATGAAGATAGGGAAGCTGTGATTTCGTGTATAGGGCAAGGAGGAATAACATCTTGTAGGAGTGAGGAAGAGCCAGTTGTGAGTGTGGGGGAAGTTCGTGAGGCAGTAGGTAAAATGAAAGAGGGTAAGGCAGCCGGGATTGATGGGATAAAGATAGAAATGTTAAAAGCAGGTGGGGATATAGTTTTGGAGTGGTTGGTGCAATTATTTAATAAATGTATGGAAGAGGGTAAGGTACCTAGGGATTGGCAGAGAGCATGCATAGTTCCTTTGTATAAAGGCAAAGGGGATAAAAGAGAGTGCAAAAATTATAGGGGATAAGTCTGTTGAGTGTACCTGGTAAAGTGTATGGTAGAGTTATAATTGAAAGAATTAAGAGTAAGACGAGAATAGGATAGCAGATGAACAAGGAGGCTTTAGGAAAGGTAGGGGGTGTGTGGACCAGGTGTTTACAGTGAAACATATAAGTGAGCAGTATTTGGATAAGGCTAAAGAGGTCTTTGTGGCATTTATGGATTTGGAAAAGGCGTATGACAGGGTGGATAGGGGGGCAATGTGGCAGATGTTGCAAGTGTATGGTGTAGGAGGTAGGTTACTGAAAGCAGTGAAGAGTTTTTACGAGGATAGTGAGGCTCAAGTTAGAGTATGTAGGAAAGAGGGAAATTATTTCCCAGTAAAAGTAGGCCTTAGACAAGGATGTGTGATGTCACCATGGTTGTTTAATATATTTATAGATGGGGTTGTAAGAGAAGTAAATGCGAGGGTCTTGGCAAGAGGCGTGGAGTTAAAAGATAAAGAATCACACACAAAGTGGGAGTTGTCACAGCTGCTCTTTGCTGATGACACTGTGCTCTTGGGAGATTCTGAAGAGAAGCTGCAGAGATTGGTGGATGAATTTGGTAGGGTGTGCAAAAGAAGAAAATTAAAGGTGAATACAGGAAAGAGTAAGGTTATGAGGATAACAAAAAGATTAGGTGATGAAAGATTGAATATCAGATTGGAGGGAGAGAGTATGGAGGAGGTGAACGTATTCAGATATTTGGGAGTGGACGTGTCAGCGGATGGGTCTATGAAAGATGAGGTGAATCATAGAATTGATGAGGGAAAAAGAGTGAGTGGTGCACTTAGGAGTCTGTGGAGACAAAGAACTTTGTCCTTGGAGGCAAAGAGGGGAATGTATGAGAGTATAGTTTTACCAACGCTCTTATATGGGTGTGAAGCATGGGTGATGAATGTTGCAGTGAGGAGAAGGCTGGAGGCAGTGGAGATGTCATGTCTGAGGGCAATGTGTGGTGTGAATATAATGCAGAGAATTCGTAGTTTGGAAGTTAGGAGGAGGTGCGGGATTACCAAAACTGTTGTCCAGAGGGCTGAGGAGGGTTGTTGAGGTGGTTCGGACATGTAGAGAGAATGGAGCGAAACAGAATGACTTCAAGAGTGTATCAGTCTGTAGTGGAAGGAAGGCGGGGTAGGGGTCGGCCTAGGAAGGGTTGGAGGGAGGGGGTAAAGGAGGTTTTGTGTGCGAGGGGCTTGGACTTCCAGCAGGCATGCGTGAGCGTGTTTGATAGGAGTGAATGGAGACAAATGGTTTTTAATACTTGACGTGCTGTTGGAGTGTGAGCAAAGTAACATTTATGAAGGGATTCAGGGAAACCGGCAGGCCGGACTTGAGTCCTGGAGATGGGAAGTACAGTGCCTGCACTCTGAAGGAGGGGTGTTAATGTTGCAGTTTAAAAACTGTAGTGTAAAGCACCCTTCTGGCAAGACAGTGATGGAGTGAATGATGGTGAAAGTTTTTCTTTTTCGGGCCACCCTGCCTTGGTGGGAATCGGCCAGTGTGATAATAAAAAAAAAATAGTTTCTACATGACTCTAATGTAAAATGAGATAACATCTACTCATTTTTGCACATTCATATGGAGTTAACACAGTTACAAGAACTAATTAACAATCACAGTGCTATACATTTATGACAATTCTTCATAATCATTCAAGAATATGAAACATTAACTAGGTAGTAGGTTGGTAGACAGCAACCACCCAGGGAGGTACTACCGTCCTGCCAAGAGAGTAAAATGGAAGCCTGTAATTTTACACGATGGTAGGACTGCTGGTGTCTTTTTTTCTGTCTCATACACATGCAAGATTTCAGGTACGTCTTGCTACTTCTACTTACACTTAGGTCACACTACACATACATGTACAAGCATATATATACACACACCCCTCTGGGTTTTCTTCTACTTTCTTACAAGTTTTTGTTTATTTCCTCTTATCTCCATAAGCCATGCGTGTCGTAAGAAGCGACTAAAATACTGGGAGCAAGGGGCTAGTAACTCCTTCTCCTGTATACATTATTAAAGTTAAAAAGAGAAACATTTGTTTTTCTTTTTGGGCCACCCTGCCTTGGTGGGATACGGCCGGTTTGTTGAAAGAAGAAACACTTAGGGGTGGGGATATTTGCAGTTTGGAGGGGCACTTGAATTGTAGTATCTGCATGCCTCTGGCAAGACAGTGATGGAGTGAATGATGGTGAAAACTTCTTTTGTTTTTTTGGGTCACCCTTCCTTGATGTGAGGCAGTCTTCTCACTGTTATCTCAATATAATATCTTCCCAAACCAGCTGGTTTGCTATCTATTAGATTAGATTCAGTTATTAATAAAAACTGAACTGAGTGGGGATGATGGCAATGTACTTTAATGGAATAGCAGCAGGTAAAAATATAGGAAACTTGGATTAGCAGAAATCTGAAACCATTGTTCTTCTCATCTATGTATGTGACCTTTTGTGTATGCAATACTATAATAAATGGGAAAACACACATTTTCTTAAGATGACAGCTTGAAGATTTATAATTTTTAAAAACAGAATATTACAGGGAATCTTAGTGAACAACTTACTGCTTTTTTAGAATTCCATTTGTATATGTTAAAAACAGATCCACCTGATGCTTGAGCAGCCATAACACATGCACCATTTGGTTCCTGCAGGGCCATTCTCATTCCTTCATTGCCTTTGAAGTCTTTGTAATCTGGAATGTGGCAAACACATTAAAGTCACAGTGCACTGAACAAAGAACTAAGTGAGATCAAATAATAAATAAAGAACTAACAGACATTTTTCTACAACACAATCCTGAGTACTCTTAACCCACACTAGTAAATGGTAAAGCAGAATCCAGAAGCATACAAGGGCTGTGTAATGCATGTTCTGCTGAAAAAGTCTACAAGGAGATGAAATATTGAAAGAAGAAAAAGTTACAGAATTGTTTAAGATTGAGCAATATCGCAATAAAGGAAAGATAATTTACACCAAGAAATTACCGACACTGTATCGAGCAGAAAATAAGATATTCATACCAGGTGAAAAAGCACAATAGGAACAAACAAGCTGGAACAGGTCGGCCATCACTAATCCGGCAATCAGGTGAAAGCCTATAGGCTTTTAAAAGTGCCAACAAAGGTCGCATTAGAGCTCTGACAAAAAAATCAAGACCAGTAGCACTACCATCACACATCATAAAAGTCTTTGAAATGAGGGAGGGGGGAAAGAGATGCCAAATGATTAATTTTATAGGAAAGCATGACTACTCAACTCGTATCAACATGGATTAATAGCAGATCATGCTTATTGAAACTACTAGATAATTATGACAAAATTAAGGCGGGTTTATAAGAAAAACAACATGGAGATGAGGTCTAAACAGGCTTCACAAATGTGATCATGGAGTGACAGCCTCTAAAATATGATCAATGGATATAGCGGGAAAAACAAAAAAATGGATATTAAATTTTTAATGAATATAACACACAGTACAGTAGCAGTAGTAGCAAACAAAGCAATATCTAGCCTTAGCAGAGTAAGAAGTTTTGCAAAAGCCAAGTCCTTAGGTATCACGTAGCTCAAAAAATTATAGGGGAATAAATTTACTGAGCATACCAGGTAAAGTGTATGGTAGGGTTATTATTCAAAGAATTAGAGGTAAGACAGAGAGCAAGATTGCAGATGAGCAAGGAGGCTTTAGAATGGGTAGGGGATGTGTAGATCAGGGGTTTACATTGAAGCATATATGTGAACAGTATTTAGATAAAAGTAGGGAAGTTTTCATCGCATTTATGGATTTAGAAAAGGCATATGATGGGTGGAGAGGGGAGCAATGTCTTTTACAAATTAAATTTGTAAAAGACAAAGGATATATTCATATGGTCTAAAATGCTTTTTGTGAAAACAATGGTTCAATTATATTCCTGTCAACGATGGATAAAAGGTTCAAAGTGATTGTTGAAGTTATGATGTGGGAGTACATAAGTGAGTATGTGTGTACTGAGTATTTAGCATTTAATCTAGGGTGATTAAGTGGCTTTTGAGAAGAGTCTTAAACTGATTTTCAGACTGGGTTACTTTAATATATTCCGGTAATGAATTCCATATTTTAGGGCCCTTTATGTGCATAGAGTTTTTACACAGTGTGATGTGGACACAAGGTATATCAAAAAGAGATCTGTGTCTTGTGTTGTGATCATGTGTCCTGTTTAGGTTGGTGAGGAGAAGTTTGAGTGGGGGGTTTATATTTGCGTGTATTGTTCTGTGTATGTAGTAGGCACATGAATAAGTATGGATGTTCTTAATGGTGAGCAGATTCAGACTTTTGAAAATTTGTGGAGTATGCTGGCGGGAGTGGGAATTCGTTACATTCTTACTGCTGCCTTTTGCTGGGTTATGAGGGGTTTTAGGTGATTGGATGTTGTTGATCCCCATGCACAAATTCCATATGTAAGATAAGGGTATATGAGTGAATGGTACAGTGCCAGGAGAGCTGATTGTGGAACGTAGTACCTTATCTTTGATAGTATGCCTACAGTCTTGGAGATTTTCTTGGTGATTTGTTGAATGTGTGTCTGGAACTTAAGGCTACTGTCAAGGTGGATACCTAGGAATTTTTCCTCTGTGAGTCTTGTGACTGATGATCCATTTAGCGTTATGTTAGTCGGATCATTTGCAGCTTTGTTTTCAAACTGAATGAAATAGGTTTTATTAGTATTCAGGGTAAGTTTATTAGTCATCATCCAGGCAGATATTTTCTGCAATTTGGCATTGACTGTGTTTGCTAGTATGACTGTGTTTGGGTGGGAAAAGACATGTAGTGTCATCTGCAAATAATATGGGTTTGAGTAGCTGTGATGCATTCGGTAGATCATTGATGGAGATGAGAAAGAGGAGTGGTCCAAGGACGCTTCCTTGTGGGACTCCTACTCTGATTGGTTGGGTGGAAGAGTTTGCATCATTTGCATACACATATTGCGTTCTGTTACTTAGGTATGATTTTAGGTAGTTGAGGGAGTGGCCTCCGATACCATAGTGCATTAATTTGGAGTACAACAGTTCATGGTCGTCTGTATCGAAAGCTTTACGTAAATCAATGAAAGTAAGTTACTAAATGCTGTAAAAAAGTTTTTATGAGGATAGTGAGGCTTAGGTAAGTGTGTGTAGGAAAGAGGGAGATTACTTCCCAGTAAAAGTATGTTTTAGACAGGGATGTGTAATGTCACCATGGTTGTTTAACATAGTTATAGATGGGGTTGTAAAAGAAGTAAATGCTAGGGTGTTGGGGAGAGGGGTGGGATTAAATTATGGGGAATCAACTACAAAATGGGAGTTGACAAAGTTACTTTTTGCTGATAATACTGAACTTATGGGGAATTCTAAAGAAAAGTTGCAAAGGTTAGTGGAAGAGTTTGGAAGGGTGTGTAAAGGTAGAAAGTTGAAAGTGAACATAGATAAGAGTAAGGTGATGAGAGTATCAAATGATTTAGATAAAGAAAAATTGGATATCACATTGGAGGGAGGGAGTATGGAAGAAGTGAATGTTTTCAGATAATTAGGAGGTGACTTGTCAGCAGATGGGTTTATGAAGGATGAGGTTAACCATAGACTTGATGAAGGAAATAAGGTGAATGGTGTGTTGAGGTATCTGTGGAGACAAAGAACGTTATCCATGGAGGCAAAGAAGTGAATGTATGAGAGTATAGTGGAACAAACACTCTTATTTGGGTGTGCTGGAGGCAGTGGAGATGTCGTGTCTAAGGGCAATGTGTGGTGTAAATATTATGCAGAGAACTCATAGTGTGGAAATTAGAAGGTGGGGAGTTACTAAAAGTATTAGTCAAAGGGCTGAAGAGGAGCTGTTGAGATGGTTTGGTCATTTAGAGAGAATGGAACAAAGTAGAATGACTTGGAGAGTGTATAAATCTGTAGGGGAAAGAAGGCAGGATAGGGGTTGTCCCTGAAAAGGTTGGAGGGAGGGGGTAAAGGAGGTTTTGTGGATGAGGGGCTTGGACTTCTAGCAAGCATGTGTGAGCATATTAGATAGGAGTGAATGGAGATGAATGGTTTTTGGGACCTGACGAACTGTTGGAGTGTGAGCAGGGTAATATTTTGTGAAGGGATTCAGGGAAAATGGTTAGTTGGACTCGAGTCCTGGAAATGGGAAGTACAATGCCTGCATTTAAAGGGGGGGTTTGGATATTAGCAGTTTGGGGGGACGTCAAGCTGTTGTACTAGTGCCTCTGCAAAACGTGATTATGTATGATGGGGGTGAAGGTTGAATTATGATGAAAGTACCATTATTCTTTTACTCCTTTCTTATTATACTTTTTAACTGTATAAAAAAAACCTACTTAAAAATCTATTTCAATCTTAGTATCTTTTAAACACTAGGGTTAGTTTGCCCAAAATGCACTGTATACTAAATGGCTTTCTTTTGTGCCTAAAAGGTTTACGTATTACAGTAAACTACTTTATCTGTGTAGCATGGGGGAAAAAAAAGCTGAATCTGAAATTTTTAATTTGAATTCAAAAAGAGGGGGGGATCAACAATCAATCAACCAAAGTTTTTCTATAAGGTTACAATGTGGGGTTTACAGATTTTTGGTTTTGTTGTTTTCATGTAATAAAAAAACTAAAAATTTCGAGGGGGGCCCCTAGAAACCTAGCATGGGTAGGGGATTTCGGGCAAACTTAAATAATTCTTAACCCAAAATATTTATAAACTGTGGAGTAAGTTGACTGAATACTAAGTGACTAAATACTAGTTTGTGAATTTAGCAATGTGAATGCTTTTGTTTTGGCACAATACATAGTTTCTATATTAGAGTATCACAGGCAAACTTATGACTAGTTAGGAATCATTATTATAAGATAAGATACGTTTTTTCTGGCTTATAGTCAAATGGGTGAGTGAGTGAGTGAGTGTAAGTGTGAACCAGGTGGTTTTTATGTAGTTATCAGGGAGATAAGATGTTTTCTAACGGTCATTTTGAAGGTGATGAATGTGTCTGCAGTTCTAGAGTTTTTTTTTTATTTTTTTTTATTATCACACCGGCCGATTCCCACCAAGGCAGGGTGGCCCGAAAAAGAAAAACTTTCACCATCATTCACTCCATCACTGTCTTGCCAGAAGGGTGCTTTACACTACAGTTTTTAAACTGCAACATTAACACCCCTCCTTCAGAGTGCAGGCACTGTACTTCCCATCTCCAGGACTCAAGTCCGGCCTGCCGGTTTCCCTGAATCCCTTCATAAATGTTACTTTGCTCACACTCCAACAGCACGTCAAGTATTAAAAACCATTTGTCTCCATTCACTCCTATCAAAACACGCTCACGCATGCCTGCGGGAAGTCCAAGCCCCTCACACACAAAACCTCCTTTACCCCCTCCCTCCAACCCTTCCTAGGCCGACCCCTACCCCGCCTTCCTTCCACTACAGACTGATACACTCTTGAAGTCATTCTGTTTCGCTCCATTCTCTCTACATGTCCGAACCACCTCAACAACCCTTCCTCAGCCCTCTGGACAACAGTTTTTGGTAATCCCGCACCTCCTCCTAACTTCCAAACTACGAATTCTCTGCATTATATTCACACCACACATTGCCCTCAGACATTACATCTCCACTGCCTCCAGCCTTCTCCTCGCTGCAACATTCATCACCCACGCTTCACACCCATATAAGAGCGTTGGTAAAAACTATACTCTCATACATTCCCCTCTTTGCCTCCAAGGACAAAGTTCTTTGTCTCCACAGACTCCTAAGTGCACCACTCACTCTTTTTCCCTCATCAATTCTATGATTTCACCTCATCTTCAATTAGACCCATCCGCCTGACACGTCCACTCCCAAATATCTGAATACGTTCACCTCCTCCATACTCTCTCCCTCCAATCTGATATTCATCTTTCATCACGTAATCTTTTTGTTATCCTCATAACCTTACTCTTTCCTGTTTTCACCTTTAATTTTCTTCTTTTGCACACCCAAACCAAAAATTCATCCACCAATCTCTGCAACTTCTCTTCAGAATCTCCCAAGAGCACAGTGTCATCAGCAAAGAGCAGCTGTGACAACTCCCACTTTGTGTGTGATTCTTTATCTTTTAACTCCACGCCTCTTGCCAAGACCCTCGCATTTACTTCTCTTACAACCCCCCTCTATAAATATATTAAACAACCACGGTGACATCACACCATCCTTGTCTAAGGCCTACTTTTACTGGGAAAAAATTCCCCCTTTCCTACATACTCTAACTTGAACCTCACATATCCTCGTAAAAACTCTTCACTGCTTTCAGTAACCTACCTCCTACACCATACACTTGCAACATCTGCCACATTGCCCCCCTATCCACCCTGTCATACGCCTTTTCCAATCCATAAATGCCACAAAGACCTCTTTAGCCTTATCAAATACTGTTCACTTATATGTTTCACTGTAAACACCTGGTCCACACACCCCCTAACCTTTCCTAAACCTCCTTGTTCATCTGCTATCCTATTCTCCGTCTTACTCTTAATTCTTTCAATTATAAACTCTACCATACACTTTACCAGGGACACTCAACAGACTTATCCCCCTATAATTTTTTGCACTCTCTTTTATCCCCTTTGCTTTATACAAAAGGAACTATGCATCTCTCTGCCAATCCCTAGGGACTTACCCTCTTCCATACATTTATTAAATAATTGCACCAACCACTCCAAAACTAAAATCCCCACCTGCTTTTAACATTTCTATCTTTATCCCCTCAATCCCGGCCCGCCTTACCCCCTTTCATTTTACCTACTGCCTCACGAACTTCCCCCACACTCACAACTGGCTCTTCCTCACTCCTACAAGATGTTATTCCTCCTTGCCCTATACACGAAATCACAGCTTCCCTATCTTCATCAACATTTAACAATTCCTTTAAAATAATCCTTCCATCTTCCCAATACCTCTAACTCTCCATTTAATAACTCTCCTCTCCTATTTTTAACAGACAAAATCCATTTTTTCTCTAGGGTTTCTTAACTTGTTAATCTCACTCCAAAACTTTTTTTTATTTTCAACAAAATTTGTTGATAACATCTCACCCACTCTCTCATTTGCTCTCTTTTTACATTGCTTCACCACTCTCTTAACTTCTCTCTTTTTCTCCATATACTCTTCCCTCCTTGCATCACTTTACTTTGTAAAAAACTTCTCATATGCTAACTTTTTCTCCCTTACTACTCTCTTTACATCATCTTTTCCACCAATCGCTCCTTTTCCCCTCCTGCCCCCATTTTCCCTGTAACCACAAACTTCTGCTGAACACTCTAACACTAATTTTTAAACCTACCCCATACCTCTTCGACCCCATTGCCTATGCCTCATTAGCCCATCTATCCCCCCAATAGCTGTTTATATTCTTACCCTAACTGCCTCCTCTTTTAGTTTATAAACCTTTACCTCTCTCTTCCCTGATGCTTCTATTCTCCTTGTATCCCATCTACCTTTTACTCTCAGTGTAGCTACAACTAGAAAGTGATCTGATATATCTGTGGCCCCTCTATAAACATGTACATCCTGAAGTCTACTCAACAGTCTTTTTTTCTACAATACATAATCCAACAAACTACTGTCATTTCGCCCTACATCATATCGTGTATACTTATTTTCCTCTTTTTCTTAAAATATGTATTACCTATAACTAAACCCCTTTCTATACAAAGTTCAATCAAAGGGCTCCCATTATCATTTACACCGGGCACCCCAAACTTACCTACCACACCCTCTCTAAAAGTTTCTCCTACTTTAGCATTCAAGTCCCCTACCACAATTACTCTCTCACTTGGTTGCAAAGGTTATTATATAATTACATCTTCCAATTCTTACCTTTCTTATTCTCATCTAACTGATAAGAAAACCTACTTAATAATCTATTTCTAATTCCTTAATTATCTTAAGCCTGATATTTGCCCACATGCATATTACTTTTTCTTTCCAAATGGTATCTTTAACATTACCTACCTTTACTTTTAATCTCTCAGAAATAAAATTAATCCTATTATTTCCCGAATTCCAAAACCCCCTTGAGCTTTTTTCGCTTAGGGCCACAAATTCTTTTGATTATAATTGGTTTCATTTTGGTTTGTTCATGCTACATCAGACATTAATAACCCAGTTTAAAGTTTTTCTCTTCATTTTTGATTTGGTCATACAGGAAAGTTACTACCCATAAATCCCGATAATTTGGGCCTAATTACGAACGCATGGCTGACTAAAGATCTTTTTTCCACTGTCATGCTTTTGAAGGGAAATACAAAGTTTATTTAGAACACAGGAAAAACCTTATGATGTTAATATATATTATAAAAATTTGTAGATTTGTGCCATAAGTCAAATAGGAGTAGGAAGTGATATCCCTGTATCTTAGGTGTTTTATGAGAAAGAACCGCATCTAGCATCATGAAATTTTAAGGTTTTTGTTTGAAGGGAATTCTGGCAGGCGTATTATTCCTGGTGAGTTGGTCTCCAACCTACTAGGCTTTGCATAGATTCCAGATTTTTAAGGTTTGCATACATTGAATTTTGAAATTTTTTAGTCTGGTATGGTGATGTCGCAGAATGTTGTGCGGTATGCTGGTCTGTCAGAACATAGGAAGCATTTAGGTCAGTTAATATTGAATTAGGGCTGATAGTAAGTGAAGTGTGGATGTTCTGAAGAGGGAGTAAGTTTAGATCTACGAAGAGTGGGGGGGTGTGTTGCCAGGGATGGGATTTAGTGATTATTCTTACTGCAGCTTTTTGTTGAGGTATTATTGGCTTTAGGTGTGTTGCTACAGTTGATCCCCAAGCACAAATAGCTATAGGTGAGGTATGGATAAATGAGTGAATGGTATAGTGTGAGAAGGGCATTTTGCGGCACGTAGTATCGTATCTTGGAGAGGATCCCAACTGTTTTGGATACTTTTTTTGATATGTGTTGGATATGGGTGCTGAAATTCAGGTTGTTGTCGAAGTATAGGCCTAGGAATTTGCCCTCATTTTGTCTGGCAATTAGAGTGCTGTCGATCTTAATGTTAAGTTGTGCAGCACCTGCTCTGCTACCAAACATAATATAGTAAGTTTTGTCAGTGTTAAGTGTAAGTTTATTGGCTGTCATCCAAGTTGATATTTTGAGCAGCTCCTCATTAAACAATGGTGTTGAGGGTGGCAAGATTAGGGTGAGAGTTTAAATGATGATTTCAACTGTGATGCTTGCACACTTCTGATGAAACAGCTATTAAATGAGTGATGGTGAATTTGTTTCCTTATTCTGGGTCACTACCACCTAAGTGGGAGATGGCCAGTGTGGAAAAAAAAAAAAAATAAATAAAATCAAGCTATTGCTTAACAATCTTACCTCCTATCATGTATACAAGTTTTTCATCAAAACCATACACCTTCTGAGCCATTTCTTTTGATTTCTTATCACTGGGTCCTGCCATGATGATTTTGAGCTTGGTAATAAGATGATACGTTATATCATTTGCCTTCAGGACTTCTGTAATAGTCTCACCTTCATTACACGGCTGGCAAGATATTTCAATTACTGTGCGAGACACTCCTGGGCGCCATCTGCAGCAAAGGCAAATTATTACATCTTAAGTCACAAATATGAGATACCAAAAAAAAAAACCAATGTAAGCCATTGGCAAAAAGCTTCTTTTGTTTTAATTCACCGAATTGCATATTCCTTCTTCCACATACCCTCCAAAATGCCTCTACCAATCTCTGAATTTCCCAACAGAACCATGTTATCAACAAAGACCACCTATGACACCTCCCACCTTATATTAAATTCATTATATTTTAATCCCACACCTCTCTCCAACACCTTAGCATTCATTTTTTTCTTTACAACCCAACTACAAATGTTAGCCCTTTCACTGTTTCTTATATAGATCTATGTTACTGATGCCATTGTCACTCATGTAGATCTCCATTTTAAGCACAGCACCTTCAAATATGCTGTGAGTGGTAAATATTGGCCTAGACATGAGAGAATGGGTTTGTATGGTGAGTAAGGGTAAGGCCCCCCCAACACCCCTTATTTTGTTTTATGGGTTTTTACTAGGTCTGCTACAATTATTGTGACATCTTAAACCATGACTACTCAATCCTGGTTATATTTTATTATCTGAGATGATGGATTCAAAATGGAGGGTAAGTGTAATATAGATAAGGTCTGGGGACATGATTAATGAACAAAGGATAGGGTGCTTTAATTATTGCAATGCATACAGTGTTTATTTTGGATTCTGTTTTTAAATTGGAATTTATTGAATTTTGTGTAATACTGGTCAAATTGCTGACTTCTGTTCAGTTTTAGGGTTGTTTTGATAGTTAAATGGGTGGCTTCTTGTGTTTAATGAATTGAATGGAAGTCATACTATCAAAATAACTAAGAATTTGGTCAAATTGAGCAATGAAATTGGCTTTAAAAAGGACTCAAATTGTGTGAAATTTCCAATGAGTAAATTGTACCTAGACCACCAACTCTGTGCCTGTGTGATTCCTTATGTTTCCCATAAAATTTCGTATTTTTTGTCATTACTTTCAGAAAAAAGATTCTCTACCATTTCAGAAGAATTTTTTTAAAATAGCGTCAACACTTTTAATTTCAGGGATCCCGACAGTGAAAGGATTAAACAACTGCTGTAACACCACACATCCCTGTCTAAGGCCTACTGAAGTCTAATCTCCCTCTCTCCTCTATATTCTAACCTGAGCCTCAGAGTCCACATTATAAGTTTTTACTGCTTTTAGTAAGCTACCACCTATTCCACACATTTGCAACATCTGCCGCATTGCTTCCCCATCCACCCTGTCATATGCCATTTCTAAATCTATAAATGTATCAAAAAGTTTCTTACTTTTGTTTAAGTAATGTTCACTTACATGTTTCAATGTACACACTTGGTCTACATACAGTGGAACCTCAAATTTCAAACTTAATCCATTCCAGGAGCTAGCTCTAAAGTCAAAAAGTTTGAAAGGCGAAGCAATATTTCCCATAAGAAATAATGGAAATACAATTAATCCGTTCCAGAAACCCAAAAATATTCACAAAAAAAAATACATTTTATAGATAGTATTACATTACAGTTTTACATACAACAAATATAATGTACAATTATTAATAAATTTCAATAAATATATAAAATAACATTTTTACTTACCTTTATTGAAGATTGGTGATGGCATCTGGAAGATAGGGAGGAGAGAGATGGAGTTCGGGTTAGTGTTTGGAAGGGAAATCCCCCTCCATAAGGACTTTAGGTATCAAAGCCCTCTCTGGGGTTACTTCTCTTCTCTGTCTTTTAATGCCACTAGGACCAGATTGAGAGTCACTGAACCCCTGTCTCACAAAATAACTGTCCACAGTCCTCTGTTTCTGGCACCTCTAAGATTTCCCTAAAATGGGACATGGTTCTGTCACTGAACTTGTTGCAAAGATGGCTTGTTTCAGCTTGCTCAGGGTGGTACGTCTCCACAAACATTAGGACATCATTCCACTTGGCGCACACCTCCTTAATCTTTGAATCGGCATGCAACTTCCTTGCCTTTTCACAAATAATCGTCTCTGAAACACTATCACCTGCTATCTCTTTATCTTTGATCCACACCAGCAACAACTTCTCAACCTGATTGATTGTCTGTGGTCTTTTTTTGGTTAGCATATCAACACCTTTCGCAACATCAGCTTCTTTGATTTGTTCTTTCTTTGCCAGGATAGAAGCAATGGTCGACTTGTTTTTCCCGTACATCCTGGCAAGCTCAACAAGTCGCACACCACTCTCATACTTCTGTATTATTTCCTTCTTCACATCTATGGTGTTTCTCACTTTCTATACCACTAGCAAGTTTCTTTGGGCCCATGGTAGCTTATTTCACAGTCCCACAAGCACTAAACACAATGAATTAATTGTAAAATGTTTGACTGAGACCACAGGTTAGTGTTCACTCAAGCATCAACAAAGCCAGACTGGCTCACGGCGCCTGCGCGGGGATGCGGATAGAGCAGGCTGGCGGACAGGTCCGGTACCCGGCGGTTCGAAAGAAGGGGCCAGTTCGATAATAGGGACAAAGTTAGTTCGAAAAAAGAGGTCGAAAGGCGAAGAGTTTGATAACCGATACGTTTGAAATTTGAGGTTCCACTGTATGTATATCTTACCCTTTCTAAAACCTTGTTCCTCTGCAACCTTACTTTCTGTCTTACTATTAACTCTTTCAGTAATAGTTAACATACACTTTACCTGGTATACTCAACAGGCCTATTTCCCTATAATTATTACACTATTTTATTCCCTTTGTTTTTATATACGTACAAAGGAGCTATGCATGCTCTCTTTCTGAATATTTGATCGTAAATGAAGATCAGTGTTTGTATATGCTGTAATTGCACTAGTTACTTCCTAAGTGCCAATATCATAAGCATAAAACATTACAAGTCAGAGTATTGTCAGTCAGGGACCTACTGTGTTGTATAGCAGAACATACACTGTAATATAGCATTCATTTTGAAATTCTACAATATTAGACCTTTATTGCAATGTGTTATATTATGATACTAAATTAGATATAAATATTACTAACTCTACAGATTATTCAAAATATTCTAAAATTGATCCAAATGGTATTTTTCTTTGTGTTTCTTCCTCTTCTTTTTTTTTTTTTTATTAAACTTCAACTTTCAGTGAGTTAACAGTAATTCCCACTATTTAAATTATTTCGGCTAAAATTAATGTTAATACACACAGATGTACAGTAGTGCTATTATGTTTAATAAGGTTTCAGACATATGCGAAGATTTTTTGATAAAATTCATGATTTTCCTCAAAATTCCTTAGCACATACTTAAGTTTTGCAGCTGCTGATTGGACAGTTGATGAATTCCCTTCAGCAATGCTTAACTTTTTGTTAGTAACTGTGCCAAGATGCACAGTCACTTCTCTCTCATTCATAAAAGCTGATGATGATACTGCATCTTCATTCATGATCACCACAGCATAACGCACATCACCTGAAACAATATTAAAATCATTTTTTTTTCAACATAGCAACTGTCTCCCACCAAAGCAGTATATATGTATGTATATAATTATTTCAGTCTTTAAAAAAATTATATATAATGTACTGTAGTATTAAAATTATTCAGTGTTGAGTGATAATGAAAGTGTTTCTTTTTTGGGTCACCCTGCCTTGATGGGAGGTGGTCAGCATGTTAAAAAAAGAATTAAAATTATTCCATAATTTTAAGCAGTTTATCAAAATTCACATTTGACTGGCAGGTATAGATGATCCAGTATGAGTCTTACTAAAACAACAACAATACTAGAATAATAATGGGTGAGTGGAGGTAAATTAGTCAAAGTCAAAGTTTTATTTATTATGTTAAAGACCATTACAGGGCTAGAATAGGTAGCTATCTGGCAGGAAAAAAGCATAATATATTCCAGGTGGTTTCCTAACAAAAATTATATTAACATCATTTGCTTTTTATAAAGACCCTACAATATAGCCATTAGTGTTTTTGAAGCTTTAAATATGATGTTTATTACATCAAATATATGAGCTAACTATGTTAGTTTTGATAAATTAGGAGTGAAGCAGGAAGTAATTAATATTTAAGAAACAATATAAGAAAACAAAATCATTTAAGAACATATAAAAGACAACAGAAAGAAAAAGATAAAACAATTCAAATCATGCATTGCAGGATTCAAAACAGAGTGATAAAAACTAGTTATCAGAAGTCCTATTACTGACACTATAGATCAATAACAAGAAAATCTGATCTTTACCAAATTCACTGAAATTATTTCCATTAGAACATAGGAACATAAGAGAGAAGGAACACTGCAACAGGCCTACTGGCCTATGCGAGGCAGGTCCAATTCCCCCACCGGCTTAAGCCAATGCCTTGACCTAGTGAGGTCAGACACGTCACTTAAGGGAGGAGCACGGCATCCGACCTAGTAGCGCAAGCTAGTCAGGTCCATTTCACACCCACTTATGTATTTATCTAACCTATTTTTAAAACTACACAACGTCTTAGCTTCTATGATGGTACTCGGGAATTTGTTTCACTCATCCACAACTCTATTACCAAACTAGTGCTTTCCTATATCCTTCCTGAATCTGAATTTTTCCAGTTTAAAGCCAATTTGATTCTACTCATGTAGAAGAGTAATAGACTTGGGATGTCCACATAATATTCTCTAACCATGCTTATGGGATAATACTAATAATTAGTACCATAAGAATCAAAACATGTCAATAAATTGCCAATACTAAAACACTTTCTTGGCCAAAAAAATAAAGACAAAATCACTGTAGATATCTGCTGAGGTTAGGGAATTTGTGCATCGAATTTGATTTAATTCCATATAATAGTTGACCTGGAGGGTGTATAAACATGTAGTGGAGGAAAGGCAGGGTAGGGGTCGCTCTAGGAAAGGTTGGAGGGAGATGGGTAAAGGAGGCTTTGTATGCAAGGGGCTTGGACACCTAGTAGGTGTGTGAAAGCATGTTAGATATTAGTTAGTGGAGGCAAGTGGTTTTTCTAACTTGACATACTGTTGGAGTATGTGCTGGTAACATTTATGAAGGGATTTATGGAAGTACAGTGCCTGAACTCTGAATGAGGGGTGGGGATATTTGCAGTGTGGAGGGGAATCTGAATTGTGGTACTGGCACACCTCTGGCAAGATAGTGAAAGAGTGAGTGATGGTGACAGTGTTTCTTCTTTTTCTGGGTCACCCTACTTTGTTGGGAGACAGCCAGTGTATTAAAAAAAAATAACAGTTGTTGCTTCAGTATCTCTAAAATCATTCAGCAGGAGGCTTTATTGCCTGGTTACAATGTAATATCTTGATGGATGTAGTTACCCAAATGTAAAAAGCTTCAAATTAAAGTTAGGAGACAAAGATATCAAACAGGAACAAAAAGTGGTGAACATATATAAGGTATTTTGTCTATGTAAGGATACTTACTTATTATGTTTCTTAAAATAAACATTAATTTAACAATAAATTATAAAAAAATATATTTTACAGTACTTACTGATTCTTTTCTTCTTCAGCTGATCAGTAAGAGATTTAAATAATTTTCGGACATCTTTTTCCATAATGCAACTGGATTGCTCCACTATAAGAGCAATATCTGCAGAACCCTGAGTTTCTCTCTGATATATGTGCGACCAACCACTTGCTACACTTTCACCCGAGATGTTACACATGGCTCTGGTTTCTGCAATATCATATATAATTTTAACATAAGGATTATATTAACATTCTCTCTTCTCCATGATACATGGGTTACAGTTTTTAGTGAGCATTAACCCAACACCTAAACAATAGTCAACATATATACAGTTCGGATATGTTAGGTAAGCTTTGTTAGTAAGCAGGACAAATATTTCTTGATACGGATCTTAGTCCTTTGATGAACTGCCAGTGGAGCTTAAAGTCATCTGATTGAGGCCTTTCACTGTCTTATTGGGCCACCCCTTAATTTTTTTTAATATATTTATACAGTACATGCTCACACATGCCTGCTGACATACAGCAGGCATGTGTGAGCATGTTATAGGAGTGAATGGAGACAAATGGTTTCTGGGACTTGATGAGCTGTGGGAGTGTGAGGAGGTAATATTTTCTGAAGGGATTCAGGGAAATCAGTTGGCTGGACTTCATCTGAACTGTCATATCTGAGAGCCTCTGCAAAGACAGTGATTATGTGTGAATGATGATGAAAGTGTTTCTTTCTGTTTTGAGTCATCCTGCCTTGGTGGGTGACAGCTGTTGCGTTACAAAAAAAAAATGTAGTATACATATAGTACTTTCGAAGTAACATAGTACATACTCTGATAATCTTGTTTTTACCCCTTCCTGTTACCTATTTGTAAAGAATCCTCTCCAGGGCTCTACCCTAAGGACCTCTCAACTATATAAACAGAATATGTATGTATATATTATTTTTTTTAACATGCTAGCCATCTCCCACTGAGGTAGGGTGACCCAAAAATGAAACACTTTCACCAACATTCCCACTATCATTGTTTTGCCAGAGGCATGCAAATATGACAATTTAGTTTTCACTCTTAACAGCCAATATCCAAAATCCCTCCTTTGAAGTGCAGGAATTGTACTTCCCACCTCCAGGACTCAAGTCTGGCCAACTTTTTTCCCTGAATCCCTTCACAAAATATTACCCTGCTCACACTCCAACAGCTCATTAAGTCCCATAAACCATTCATCTCCACTCACCCTGCCTTCCTTCCACTACAGATTTATACACCCTCCAAGTCATCTTATTTTGCTTTATTCTCTCTAAATAACCAAACCACCTTAGACCTCTGAATAATACTTTTAATAACTCCATACCTCCTCCTAATTTCCACACTACAAATTCTCTGCTTAACATTTACACTACACATTGCCCTTAGACACGACATCTCCATTGCCTCCAGCCTCTTCCTCGCTGCAACATTCACAACCCATGCTTCGCAGTCATATAAAAAGGGTAAGTGAAATGGGTGCTATGTAATATTCATTCCTAACTATCCCAGAAATGTTCTGGCCAGAAGTTGTGCTAAACTGCAGAAACTATACACCCACCCTTTCCTCCCATGTTTATCTGCTTGTGATTTGATACTGTCTCTCAACGGGTAAAAGAATGTCACTAAAGTACCCATGTAACTACATTTGTGTCTATTTTTCAGCTCATGACATAAAATAAAAAAAATGAGCAAAACCTTAAAAACTTACTTTTTATATAATTTTTTTTTTATCACAGAAGCTGTTTCCCATTAAGGTGGAGTAACCCAAAGAAGGAAATACATTCACTATCATTCATTCAATAAATGTCTAGCCAGACATGTACAAACATCATGCTTTACAAGACACTCTGAACAGCAACATTCCAACCCATCTTTCAGAGTGCATGCACAATGCTTCCCACCTCCAGGACACAAGTCCAACTAGTCAGTTTTGCTGAATTCCTTTACAAATGTTACTCTGCTAACATTCCAACAGTATGTTGAATTTAAAAAATAATCTGCCTCCAGTCAATCTGTTCCAACTTGCTCACACATGCCTGCCATATATTCAAGTCCCTATCACTCAAAACCTCATTCCCCACCTCCTTCAGCCCTTTCCCTGATAATCCCTATACAGTACCTTCTTTCATCTACCCTAGATTTACACATAAATTAATGTATAAATTTAATGAATTTCTATTACTACATTGAAACTTATTTTAACCACAATGGTCATCATCAACCAAAGTAGGGTGACCCTCCAATAATAATAATAAAAAAAACATTAACCCTCATTCATTCAATAGCTGTCTTGTCAGAAGTGTACAAATATAGTTCAAATGCTTCTCCAAAATGTAAGATCCCCACCCTTCCTTCAAAGTGCAGGCATTGTACTTTCCACCTTAAAGACTCAGGTATGATAACAAGTTTCCCTAAGTTCTTTCATAAATGTTACATTGATCACAAGCTAAAAGCCCCACAAATCCCTAAAATCACTTGTCTCCACTCCACTCTGATCTGATCTTACAAACTCATGCATGCTTAGTAGATGCTCAAGCCCCTACAACTTAAAACCGTCTTGAAATATGTAAACACAATAAAGGAACACTGGTTGAAAAGATATGAAACATGTCAATAAATGACTCGGTACAGAGAATTGTAACTGCTATACTTACTAGGAAGACAGATCTCTAGTTTCGGCAAGTGAATTCCTTGAGTCCAACATTGAGTCCTATAAGAAGACACAGCATTACATGGAGAATTTAGGGCTTCATCAGTGAATGCAGGGTGACTTTGCCCATTCACACAATGCATGAAGTAAGGTCGTGGATCTACTGCATGGAAGCAGCCACTTAGTTGACTATTGCTTTTGAGAAACAGGTCAAAACACTTAGGCAAATTTTCAGCATCACTTATGTCATGCAGCTGTCTTGCCTGGTTTGCCTGAAAATTATAAAAAAAAAAATATTACAACCATTATAATTCAAATTATTTATCCCCCCACAATGAATTATTAAGCTTTAAGCATGAATGAAAAGGCAAATTCCACATGGATGGAAAAGAAAAGTGTGAAAATGATCTGTGTATTTCAGCAATAATTAGAGATTTTCTGCTAAAGAGGGTCTCTGATTGAAGCTAAAATATAGAAATTCTTTCCACTCTGTTTTATTTTCTGTTAAATTTACCTTTTCACTGAAGAGCAATTATGATTTTGAGGGATGAATGTACTGTACCATACATAAAAAAAAAAAATGATTCTTGCACTTATGACTTCAATAATTGCTTAATAATTCAGCTTACTACCTTGAATGTCAACTATCATGGGAATGGAGTGGGGTACATACAAAGGTTACCTATTCTCCCAATGCTGTTATCTTTGGCCTGCAACATTGTCCTTACATCTACATTTCCATTTCAATTAATATTATTTCTTTCATCCTAAATTATCCTTATTTGACATTGCAGGTATTGTAAGTGGGGCTTGTTTTCTTGTATTATGGTACACCAACATAATGAATTCTTTAACAAATGTTTCTAGTGCTTAGGTAAGGTTCGTTAGGAAACAGGACAAGTATTTCCCAACGCGGGTCTTAGTCAGATGATGACCCACCGCTGGAGCTTTTGGTCATCTGACCGAGGCTTTCCGCTGGCTTACAGGTCCACCCTTTTAAAAATTATGGTCACAGTTACAAACTTTAAGTACCATTTTCTAGTGCTACTTCAGAAGTTGTCAGACTTAAAAAGAAATCGAGCTCCTAAACAACAGAACCCCATATAACAAGGAAAAATTATAATAAGAGAGAGCAAACATGAAATACATATATGTTAATGTATTTACCTGATGACTACTATTTCCAGTGGCTTCAATGGCACAGGAAGCCTATGACCTGTGAAGGCTCTCTCCATTTTGTCTGATTTATTTTAAAACTGAGGTGCCAGCAGCATGTTTTGCACTGATAGAAGGAAATGTCTCTGATTTTAAGATTGAAGTAACATGTGCTTTTGAATGCATATTCTTATACAACCATGCAGTACTGTATGACCCTATTGGGTTTAGTGCTTAGTTATGATTATAATAAGAATAATCATACAGCTATGGAGTGAGCATGACTTGATAATACAGTATATTTTTTTTTATAATGGAAACAACCAAAATATTTTTCTTGCTCCAATGTTTTGTTTTCAAAGTTGACTGTAGTTCGTATGTTGGATTGTGTGCAGCCAGCAGTAATAGCCTGAATGATCAGGCTCTGATCCACCTGGAGGCCTGGTCAAGGACAGGGCCATGGGGCACTGACTTTCAGAATGACCTCCAGGTAGGTAGATCACCTATATTTACAGGTAGCAATAAAAATCCATGTTTTGAACATGGCCATTTCAGAAAGAAGGAAAAAGAAAGCAGTGGTAGTAGTAGCAGTAATTATGAAACAGTTAATCCCTCAGTCTTAGTAAGTGTTCACCTCATATTTACCTCTCCACTGCTTCTGCTATTTCCCAAATTTAAATCATCTCTGTATTTGACTGAAGAAGCCTGCTGAGCAGTAAAAAAATTTCAACACTAAAGATACTTAACTGATATACATGTGTTTTACTTATCCCCACTTAAGGCCTGCTTCTGACTAGAAACTAAATGCAGTAATGTCAGTTAACATGGTACTGTACAGTACGGGAAAGAATAATGATTAAACTACAACCTGAAGATTTTTGGGAGAAAAGCTGTATAGCCCTTGTGGCTTAGCGCTTCTTTTTGATTATAATAATAATTTGGGAGAAAATATCTAGACATCTTGTTTCACAGTTATGGGTGGTACTATACTTACTTTATGTGGCCAAGATAGTGATTGCTCTTCTGTTTATATTTCTTTCTTACCATCCTGATGTAAAGAAAAACACCACACAATGATGAAGCTTCATTTGCAAACAAGACAAGCTTCATAAAGTTCACCCCTAGAGAAATGTTGCAAGAAAAGCTTGTCTGTCTGTGCTATTTTTTGTTGCACTTATGTTTGTGGCCATTTTTACAGTATGTCCATACCCACCTGATAACAAGGATTTGGAGAAACTGCCCACATCCTAGCCAGATCAGCAACATTGTAAGCTTTTTCTCCACTGGGACCATGAGAATCATCAGATGGTTCATAGTTGTAGTTACCTAGGAGGCCAGCCAACCTGATCAAAAGCAACACAGTCATATTAGAAAAACAGTGGTACCTTGACTTATGAGTGCTCCAACTTTCGAGTTTTCCGAGTTATGAGCTGTTGCTCGGTTGATTTTTTGCTTTTGAGTTGCGATCCAAAATCCGGGTTACAAGCGAACTTCAGATATGCTGGCACTCGCAGGAGATACCGAGGAAATATCAAAAGCCTCGATAATAACTGATGTGTAACATTGTTTCAGTTTTGATATCACTGGTAATGTCATCCTGCCAGAATGTTCTATAATGTATGCCCTAAGTAAAGAGAAACAATTCTAGAACATTTGTATTACATGTTCGGCAGGCTGGCTGGTTGGGTGGCCAGCTGGCTGGCTGACTTGCTTTGGCTGTCTCTATCTGTATCTATGTTTCTGTCTATTTATCTCTGTCTCTGTCTGTCTCTGTCTGTATCTCACAGGTACATGTAAATAGTTATACATAGTGTGAATTACCTAGGATAACCCAAAAAATCCAGACAAAGTGCAATACTATGCTTGCAGATAAAAAGCATAATAAGCATGACTGGCAAGTAATATACATTTTCACTTGTTCAGGAATCGGACATGAGGACTCTGCATTGTGTGTAATGTACCTGTTGGTTCACAAGTGGCTCCTTCTCTGAGACAGAGAGACAAGTAGAGAGACAGGAAAACAGAAACACATTACTTAGACTATACAACAAACATTGTCCTATAAAAACAAAACAGATCACGAATAAACGGCATGGTTGCCCATGGCTAACCAGCACCATTCTGAAATCCATTGATAAGAAACACCAATATGAAAAGCAATATTGACAGGGCTTAATACACAAAGATATTCTTAAACACTATTCATCAGTTCTCACCAAAGTAATAAAGAAAGCCAAACAACTATACTACTCCAGCAGATTCACTGACACAAGAGGAGATATAAAAAAGACCTGGAAAACACACTCCCAGATTCTAGGGACCCACAAACTGAAAAAAACCTAGGGACCCACAAACTGAAAAAAATCAAGAATATTGTCCTAACTAAACCTAGTGAAACACCACTGCATCCTACTGACACAGCTAACAAGATAAACGACTTTTTCTCAACCATAGGATCTAATCTCGCCAATAAAATCCCACGTACCAATGCCCATGCTGGGGACTACCTAGATAGGAATTTCCCAAATTCCATCTATCTTGTACAACTGAGCCCACGGAAGTCACAGAGATTATAAAGTCACTTAAAAATAACTCAGGGAATCTGTCTCATGTCTCACCATTATTGTACAAGCGAGCAGCACATGTCCTTTCGCATGCTATTTCATTACTTTTTAACAAGTCACTAGAAACTAGCACCTTCCCGAAACTACTCAAGACAGCAAGGGTTACACCAATACATAAATACATAAACAACTATAGGTCAATATCAAACTTACCATTGCTATCCAAAATCTTTGAGAAACTCGTGCACAGGAGACTATATTAATTTATAACAGCACAAAACATACTCAACCCCTGCCAATTTGGATTCAGGAAAAATAAAAGCACTAATGATGCAATTATTAAAATGCTAGATCTGCTTTACACAGCATTGGAAAATAAGGAATATCCACTAGGAATTTTTATTGACCTAAGAAAAGCTTTTGACACAGTAGACCATGGCATACTACTCCACAAACTTGACCATTATGGTATAAGAGGCCATGCACTTGCATATTTCAAATCCTACCTTACTAATAGGTATCAGTATGTCACCATTAAAGACACAGCTTCATCAACACGGCCACTTGATACTGGAGTTCCTTGGTCCCCTGCTCTTCCTCATATACATCAATGATCTTCCAAGCGTATCCCAACACCTGAACCCCATTCTCTTTGCTGACGACATGACTTATGTCATCTCTCACCCTAATCTTGCCACCCTCAACACCATTGTTAACGAGGAGCTGCTCAAAATATAAAATGGATGACAGCCAATAAACTTACGCTTAACACTGACAAAACCTACTACATTATGTTTGGTAGCAGAGCAGGAGATGCGCAAATTAATATTAAGATCGACAACACTCTAATTGCCAGACATAATGAGGGCAAATTCCTAGGCCTATACCTCAAAAACAACCTGAATTTCAGCACCCATATAAAACACATAACCAAAAAAGTATCCAAAACGGTTGGGATCCTCTCCAAGATACGATACTACATGCCGCAAAATGCCCTTCTCACACTATACCACTCACTTATTTATCCATACCTCACCTATGCTATTTGTGCTTGGGGATCAACTGCAGCAACACACCTAAAGCCAATAATAACCCAACAAAAAGCTGCAGTAAGAATAATCACTAAATCCCATCCCTGGCAACACCCCCTCCCCCACTCTTCATAGATCTAAACTTACTCCCTGTTCAGTACATCCACACTGACTACTGTGCAGTCTACATCTACAGGACCTTAAATTCCAATATTAACCTTGACCTAAAATGCTTTCTTGATAGTTGTGACAGAACCCACAGGCATAACACCAGACACAAACATCTCTATGACATTCCCTGTGTCCGACTAAACCTTTGCAAAAATTCAATGTATGTCAAAGGCCCTAAAGTCTGGAACACCCTCCCTGAAAACTCTAGAACTGCAGACACATTCATCACCTTCAAAACTACCAGTAGAAAACATCTTATCTCCCTGATACACCCCGTCAACTAATTACATGAATACCACCTGGTGGTTCACACTTACACTCACTCACCCATTTGACCATAAACAAAGAAATATCAATCTTAATCTTAAAATAATGAATCCTAACTAGTCATAAGTTGGCCTGTGATACTCCAATACTGAAACTATGTATTGTGCAAAAACAAAAGCATTCACATTGCTAAACTCACAAACTAGTATTTAGTCACTTAACCATAATACCAACTTACCTCATAATTTGTAATATTTTAAAGTTGAGAATTAATCTAAGTCTGCCCGAAATGCCTAGCCATGCTAGGTGTTCTAGTGGCCCCCTCTGTAATTAGTATTTTAAAACATGTAAACCACACAATATCCAAATTCTGTAAACTCAGCATTGTAATCCTTATAGAGAATAAACTTGATTTGATTTGATTTGATTTGATTTGACAGATAAGCAGAGACAGAGATAAACATAGAGCTAGACAGACAGAAACAGATAGACATGTTTATGTGTAACAGTGAAAAATACATAAAGCCAAGGCAGTGCATTATCATCAAATGTCACTCCACTGCTGCACTGCCAGCAGTGGAGTGACACTCATCTTACACCATGCTTCAAGGAGTTTCATATACGTATACTCCAGTATTTCTAAAATATTGCTGGGACCTGGTAAAAAAGGCAAAAATCGTTTTTTATTTATAAAAAAAAATGTTCTTATTTAAAAACCTGTAATAATAAAACTGTTTTTTTTTTTGGGGGGGGGGCTGAAATAAATTAATGGCATTTCAATTAATTTTCAATAAGTAAAATTGGTTTGTTATACGAGCAAATTGAGTTACGAGCTCGGTCACGGAATGAATCAAACTCATAAGTCAAGGTACCACAGTACATGCACTGTACGTACAGAATTAACCCTTTCAGGGTTTTGGACATACTAGTGCGGCTTATGCACCAGGGTTTTTGACGTACTAGTACGCCTAAATTCTAGCGCCCTCAAATCTAGTGAGAGAAAGCTAGTAGGCCTACATATGAAAGAATGGGTCTATGTGGTCAATGTGCACAGTATAAAAAAAAATCCTGCAGCACACAGTGTGTAATGAGAAAAAAAAAAACTTCGACCGTGTTTTTGGATTAAAACAGCGACTTTGCACTGTATTTTCGTATGGTATTTATTGTTGTATTCTAGTTTTCCTGGTCTCATTTTATAGAATGGAAGACATGTTACAAAAATTGAGATGATTTTGACTGGTTTTACAATGAAAAGTACCTTGAAATTGAGCTCAAAGTAACAGACATGTTCGATTTTTACCAAAGTTCAAAAGTAAACAAATCATGCTAAGCATCCAATACACATCAACTGGTGAGTCTAATATTCTTTCACAAGTGCGCCGATATTATTTATACCATTTCTACACTAATGCAGTAGTCTGCATAACAGTAAATCTTCTATTTTTTGTGAGAATAAAAATTCAAAGTGGAAAGCAAAAGAATGTAAGAGGGGCATGGGGACGTGACTAATGAACTGAGGAAATGTTATTTTAGTGCCAGGAATGTCTTTCTTGTTTATTCTGGACCCTATTTGGAAATTGGCATCTTTTGAAATTTGTGTGAAATTGGCAAAATTGCTAAATTCTGACCACTGTATTGGATAGTTGAAATTGGTAAATGGGTGGTTTCTTGTACTCATTCGATAGAAAAAATAGAGTTCTAGCGAAATAGTTATGATTTTTGTTGACTAGTACACTGGAATTGGCCGACAATAGGGCTCAAAGTGGGCAAAATCGCTGATGCGTAAACATCGTCGAGACTGCTAACTTCGCGAGAGCATAATTCTGTAAGTTTTCCATCAAATTTCATACTTTTGGTGCCATTATGATTGGTTAAAGATTCTCTACCTTTTCATAAGAAAAAATAATTTTTATTTTTTTTTAAATTTGGGCGACCCTGAGAACAAGTCTGGGAGAGGGCCTGGGGACCCTGAAAGGGTTAAAGGAATTCTCATATTTCTTGAACACTGCCCTACATTAATCCCACACAACTTCCCAACACATATGATATATGATATTATATCACATTTTTATTTTATTTTCACTTTTGAAACTGGAAACTATGAAAGAAATTTGATTATTTTTTTCAAAAAATTAGTTATTTTATTTCTCACCCATGTCATAAGAGGTGACTAAAATGCTGGGAGCAAGGGGTTAGTAACCCCTTCTGTATAAACTAATAAATGTAAAAAAGAAGTGTTTCTTCTTTTTCGGGTCATCCTGTCTCGGTGGGAGACAGCTGGTATGGTAAAAAAAATTCTCTTGGTGACATGTTTTATTTTTATTTATCAACACATCAGCTGTTTCCCACCAAGGCAGGTGACCTGAAAAAGAGGAACCGCTTTCATCATCATTCACTCCATCACTGTTTTGCCAGAGGCACGCCTACACTACATTTATAAAACTGCAACATATCAACACCCCTCCTTCAAAGTGCAGGAATTGTACTTCCCACCTCCAGGACTCAAGGCTGGCAAACCGATTTCCCTGAATCCCTTCATGAATGTTACATTGCTCACACTTCAACAGCACGTCAAGTCATAAAAGCCATTTATTTACCCCTACTCACTCCTATCTAACGCACTCACATATGCTTGCTGGAAGTCTAAGCCTCTTGCACACAAAACCTCCATTACCCCCTTCCTCCAACCTTTCCTAAGATGACTCCTACCCCTTTTTCTTCCACTATAGATTTATATACCCTCCAAGTCACTATTTTGTTCCATCCTTTCCAAATGTCCAAACCACCTTAACAACTCCTCCTTTGCCCTCTGGATAATACTTTTAGGAACCCTACACCTCCTAATCTCTAAGCTATGGACATGAATATAATTGAATCATTGTTTTCACAAAAAGCATTTTCGAATATAAATATATCTTTGTATTATACAAATTTTTTATTCATTTATAATTAACATTCTACTGTACAACTATGAAATAACTACTATCCTACTGTACAACTATGATATACTCCTTAGTTTAAGTAGACTGTAAGCCAATAATGTTAAGTTGGCCCATAATGCCTAGGCATAAAAGAGGCTCTCTTTGCATTGTAACCCACTATTGTAAATACAAAATCTCAATGTACTGTTTGCAAAGACATAAAATAAATAAATAAATAAATAAATAATAAATAATATTCACACTGCCCACTGCCCTCAGACAAGACATTTCCACTGCTTCGGAAGCCTTCTCCTTGATTTACAACTTTCACCACCCATGCTTATCATATGCCTTTTCCAAATCCATAAATACAACAAAAATCTCTTTACCCATATCTAAATACTGTTCACCTATATGCTCCACTGTAAACACTTGGTCTATACACCCCCTATCCTTCCTAAAGCCTCCTTGTTTGTCTGTAATCTTGTTCTCTATCTTGCTCTTAATTTTTTCAATAATAACTCTACCATACACCTTACCAAATATACTTAACAAGCTTATTCCCCTATAATTTTTACACTTACTCTTTTGTCCCCTTTGCCTTATATAAAGGAGCTATAAATGCTCTCTGCCAATTCCTAGGTAGGTGCCCCTCTTTCATACATTTTTTAAATAAAAGCCCCAATCATTCCAAAACTATGTCCTCAACTGCTTTTAATATTTCTGTTTTGATTCCATCAATCCCAGATGCCTCAAGCTCCACTTCCACACTCACATCTGGCTCTTCCTCACTTCTACAAGATGCTATACCTCCCTGCCCAGTGCATGAAATCACAGCTTCCCTATCTTCATCAACATTTAACAGTTTCTCAAAATATTCCCTCTATCATTTATAAAGCAAGTTTCTCTTACACCCATTATAAGATTTAAAAAAAGTCTGATAATTATTAGAAACAATTTATTTTTCTTGAACTAACCTGTTGAAGTATTTCCCAGTAACTGTGATTGAACAACCTTGTGATATTTTGCTGCAAGTCACAAGTAAGTCTGACATCTTCAGTGCAGAATATCCATCTTCCATATAAACCTAATAAAATATACCGATAATTTTCATCATTATGTGGTTTAATATCCTTTTACAATAATTATTTTTGTGGTATTTTTGTCATAGCAATCAAACAGTGCCAGAGTCAATAATGTATAATGTTTTTATAAAATGATAATTCTAATAAACAAAGGGATAGATTCATGCATCACTATTCATACAAATGTGACACACTGCAATAGGTCGATCTATGGAGGAACAGTCTGCATGATACAGTGCTCATACAGTGTCCAATAAATTAATGCTTTTCATTATAAGTTTCATCAGAGTACACACACTGTGGTAATAAATGAATTACACTATTGTTATTACTGTATTATATTCATGGAGAAGCAATAAACTTGTGAGGGATAACACAGTGCCTGGGAAATTGGATGGGATTAGAGAAGGGGAAATTAATAAGATTTGATCTGAGAAAGAGAATAGGGGATTCATTATTTTAAAGCTAATTAACCTTAAAACAGGACAGCAAAGGAGGTTTCTAATTTATGAGGGAGTCTTCATAGATAATAGACAAGAGTTACTGGAGCAAGGGATGTGACAGGGATATACTTGATGAAAAAAGAATACAGAACATAAGGGAAAGCACAGTGTAGTATGAGAATGTTCAAGGAGTGATTTAGGTTTTTGTATACACTATAACTTTATAGAAAACCGACTAAAACTTGATACAACCATACAGGGATGGAGTATACATAATTTTTATTGCTAGGGGCTTGAGCATCCAGCAAGCTTCTCCAAACGTGTTATATCAGAATGAATGGAGACAATTGATTTTTATGGTTTGATGTGCTGTTGAAGTTAGAGGAGAGTAACATTTATTAAGGGATTCAAGGAAACCAGTTAGCTGGACTTGAGGCCTAGAGGTGGGAATTACTGTGCTCGTACTCTGAAGGAGGGGTTGGGATGCTGCAATCTGAAAAGTCACTGGAACTGCGATGTACATGCACTTCTTTCACGACAACTATTGAAAGGATTTGACATTACCTTTACAATAATCAACTGCTCGTTCTTCATTGTTAAATTATATAAGATATGAGTAAAGAGTATTTGAGAATACTGCATGCAGTATAATATGTTGCAGAAAAGGCAGGATTAGCACATGAAGTTTATGGTAGTATGAGAATTGAATGAACAACTTAGAATACTATGTTCTGTTTCTAGAATATGGGAGGGCCCACGTGTATACAGTTCCCTTTTTTTCAGTGTTCCATGTTTTTGTTGGCTTTCAATTGAGCACTGTTCATTATGTTCAGCTTTTGTGCAGCAGTTGCATAAGGGAAGGATGACTGGCACCTTATTTTAAGGTAAGTATTTTATGTACTGTATATTTATTTTACTTTTTTATCTTTTCTTTTTCTTCATGGGGAAGTGGAAAAAAATTCTTCCTCTTTAAGCCATGCATGTCGTAAGAAGCAACTAAAATGCCGGGAGCAAGGGGCTAGTAACCCCCTTCTCCTGTATGCACTACTAGAGTTTAAAAGAGAAAATTTTGTTTTTGTTTTTGGGCCACCCTTCTTCACTGGGATATGGCCGGTTTGTTGAAAGAAGAAAGATCTTTCCTTTTTAGCCTAGCTATATTGAACACTTAATTATAATAGTATAAACATCTTATAGATGCATTTGGTAATGAAAAACTGCTCTTTTCCACCTGCCAGCAATTTTCACTTACTGTTTGGGGTCGTGAACCTTAAAAGCTGTGCGAAAGGGACCCTCCTGTACGTTAAGTTTTTCTCAGAAGAAAATTTAACATTATATCTCTCATGATCAGTATTATAAGAATGACTAAATCATTATCTATCATTTGGTATTATGAACAATGAAACTATTAATATCAGAAAATTTATTACTGTAGTTTTATCAAGTATTGCAATTATATTTTATACAAGATAAAGAAAAAAATGTGTGTAAAGGTAGAAAGTTGAAAGTGAACATAGAAAAGAGTAAGGTGATGAGGGTATCAAATGATTTAGATAAAGAAAAATTGGATATCAAATTGGGGAGGAGGAGTATGGAAGAAGTGAATGTTTTCAGATACTTGGGAGTTGACGTGTCGGCGGATGGATTTATGATGGATGAGGTTAATCATAGAATTGATGAGGGAAAAAAGGTGAGTGGTGCATTGAGGTATATGTGGAGTCAAAAAATGTTATCTATGGAGGCAAAGAAGGGAATGTATGAAAGTATAGTAGTACCAACACTCTTATATGGATGTGAAGCTTGGGTGGTAAATGCAGCAGCGAGGAGACGGTTGGAGGCAGTGGAGATGTCCTGTCTAAGGGCAATGTGTGGTGTAAATATTATGCAGAAAATTCGGAGTGTGGAAATTAGGAGGTGTGGAGTTAATAAAAGCATTAGTCAGAGGGCAGAAGAGGGGTTGTTGAGGTGGGTTTGGTCATTTAGAGAGAATGGATCAAAGTAGAATGACATGGAAAGCATATAAATCTATAGGGGAAGGAAAGAGGGGTAGGGGTCTCCTCGAAAGGGTTGGAAAGAGGGGGTAAAGGAGGTTTTGTGGGCGAGGGGCTTGGACTTCCAGCAAGCGTGCATGAGCGTGTTAGATAGGAGTGAATGGAGACGAATGATACTTGGGACCTGACGATCTGTTGGAGTGTGAGCAGGGTAATATTTAGTGAAGGGATTCAGGGAAACCGGTTATTTTCTTATAGTCGGACTTGAGTCCTGGAAATGGGAAGTACAAAGCCTGCACTTTAAAGGAGGGGTTTGGGATATTGGCAGTTTGGAGGGATAAGTTGTGTATCTTTATACGTATATGCTTCTAAACTGTTGTATTCTGAGCACCTCTGCAAAAGCAGTGATAATGTGTGAGTGTGGTGAAAGTGTTGAATGATGATGAAAGTATTTTCTTTTTGGGGATTTTCTTTCTTTTTTGGGTCACCCTGCCTCGGTGGGAGACGACCAACTTTTTGAAAAAAAAAAAAAAAAAAAAAAAAAAATAGATAATACAATGAATATGATTTTGGAATAGCATATGCAATAAATAATTTGGAACACTGGATATCTTGGCTCACCTGATGATCTGCTAGTTTTCAAGAGTGTAGGTATGAGCACACTAAATGTATATTGATATAAATGCTAATGATAATGTGTGAGTGTGGTGAAAGTGTTGAATGATGATGAAAGCATTTTCTTTTTGGGGATTTTCTTTCTTTTTTGGGTCACCCTACCTCGGTGGGAGATGGCCGACTTGTTGAAAAAAAAAAAAAAAAAGCATTAAATAAACAAATAACCCGCACATAGAAGAGAGGAGCTTACGACGACGTTTCGGTCCGGCTTGGACCATTTACAAATTCACACAAACGAGAAGTAGAGAAGGACGGGTAAGCTCCTCTCTTCTATGTGCGGGTTATTTGTGTATCGTTCCAGTCATGGTATTGTGTCTTTTTTTGTTATTAACCCTTAAACGGTCCAAACAGATCGACATTCAAATTTGTAGTGCTACAAAAGTAGATCTACTTTTTTTTTACATATTTTCAAATATAAAAAAAAAAAAAGTAGATAAAAGTTTTTTTTAAACGTTTTCAAATGTAAAACAAAAAAGAAGATCTACACATTTTTACATACTTTCAGATGTTGAAAAAACGTATATATACGTTTGGACCATTTAAGGGTTAATGCATTAAATATTACAAGAGTATATGTATCTTCTCTTTGAGCCTGAAACAATAAAAAAATATAATTTTTGGTAAAAGAATAATGTATAATATCAATCTAAACAAACTTTCAACAATGAAAATAATAATGGTACTTATACAAAATAAAGTGGAAAAACTTCACCTCTGCCCCAACTTGATTGGTCTCGACACTGCCATCTACGTGCAACGTGACATCTATGTGATGGCCGTGAACAACAATGGATTCCAAACTTGAAGCACCATCTTTGGCCTTGTACACACCAACCACCTCAAAATCACCAGTCACAAAGTCCTTAGTTAGCAGGTATGAACATGAGCCAAGGAACTCATAGTGTTTACTGTCAAAGGTAGTTACATGTTGACCTGAAGTGAAAGATATTTCTCATATTTTTTTACTTCCTTATATAAAAGTTGTTCTTGTGTATGCTAATATAGTACTAATGAACAATAACTATCAAAAACTACCACACATTGGAAAAAACAAGTAAAAATGCCTAGGCTTTATAAAAACAAGGTGTATAGCATCTCAACAATACTCAGAATGATTGTTTGTTAGATATCTCTCTGCCTATATACAATTAGAAAAACCATATATATGGAACCTGCTATTCCATTTTTAACTATTAATAAAGCTAGAGAACTGATGTGCACATTTTATTTTACACTTCACTGTATTAACTTTACATGATAAACTCAATTATGTAAAGCCTGCCTTTGTATTCACTCTGAAAATGAACTTTCGTTGTTCAGTATAGGGGCAGCCCCAGCCTCTGTCAAGTTGCCACATTTGCAACCCTGTTATTTGTGAGTGTGTGCATGCATGTACTCACCTATATGTGGCTGCAGGGGTCGAGTCCTAGCTCCTGGCCCCCCATGTCTCAACTTGTTTTCAATCAGAGTCACTCCCTTCTAGCTTCATGGGCTTTACTGTACATGTATGTGTGCTCATGGGGACATGAGCCTCTGGGGTGTATAGATTGGCATTGTAGAAAACATCTGTTCCTTTTTTATTTATCTGAGTTTGGGAAGGAGGGAGGAGGGAGTAGTTTCAGCTATTTAGTCCTGGCACTAACGTTCAACCAACTGAAGTGAGTTAATTTTGTCACATTTTACTTTTGAACTCCTGCATAAAAGCTGCTTTCTCTATCATTGGTTAGATCATTCAACGTCTTTGTTATTCCTATGTTCAGAGAGAGTTTTCAGATGTCATGCTCTTTTTTTTTTATTGTGTAGCTTCCACCCATGCCATCTTGTTCTAGTTGTGTGTATCCATTACATATTATTTTTGACCTTGTGTGCAGCAATAATTGATGAGAAAAAGTAAACCATAACCACTGCTTTTGTACTTTTCAAGTTTCTACATATAATACTACCACATTATACCTTTTAATAATAATGGCACTTTCAGCATGAACTACATAAGTGTTTAAAACGACACCTTTTTTTCTTGCCATACAGAAACTACCATTCGGTAAAAACTGAAAGAAATGACACCAGCACATATCAAGTGTTTAAGTCTTCAAGAAGACATGTGGGCAAAGATGCCACCAGCAGCAACAGCCTGGATGACTAGACAAACACTAGACAAGCCTGGCCCAGGGGCCAGGCTGCAGAAGTAGGAAAACCCAAAACATATCAAATGTATACCCACTGAAAGGTAAAGCACTTGCATATATATTTGCTATCCATAAAAAATCACTATCAGGAGTTGGAATAAATGATTACATATTAATTTTATGGTGGTGGTGACTATCAGTGTATCAACTAAGTGGTTATGTTGCAGCAGCATCTGAGTTTAACTCACTTTTTTTTTTAAGTAAGTATTGTTACATATGCTGTATATTGTTATACCTGCTATTGTAGCTGTGGCCATGAAGGGTGGGATGAAAGCATTAGAGAAAGTGAGTGCCTGCCAACCAATAGACACATCATCTACTCCAGTCATTAACAGTCTATGTGCATCAACCACAGATGAATCCTGGGGGAGAAAAACCCACTTTTAATAATGAAAGAATTGAAATGTTTATGTTGAAAGTACAAAAAAAAAAAAAAAAAAAAAAAAAAAAAAAAAAAAAAAAAAAAAAAAAAAGCTCCACTAATCTACTGTAATGATTTTGATAAAGCTTATGATTTTGTTAAGTTTCACCTAAAATACATAATCGTCTACTTCTATTTATTTTTTTTCAACAAGTCAATCGTCTCCCACCTAGGCAGGGTGATCCAAAAAGAAAGAAAATTCCCAAAACAAAAATACTTTCATCATAATTCAACACTTTCACCTCATACATAATCACTGTTTTTGCAGAGGCACCCAGATACAACAGCTTAGAAGCATATATAAAGATACAATATAAAAAGTGACCTGAAATAATATAAACTCCACATAGAACATAATATCAGGGCCCCAATTATATATATACCATCTTATTACACATCCCCCCAAACTGCGAATATCCCAAACACCTCCTTTAGAGTGCAGGCATTGTACTTCCCATTTCCAGAACTCAAGCCTGGCTATATAAAATAACCGGTTTCCCTGCATCCCATCACTAAATATTACCCGACTCACACTCCAACAGCTTGTCAGGTCCAAAGAACAATTAGTCTCCATTCACTCCTAACTAACATGCTCATGCATGCTTGCTGGAAGCCCAAGCCCCTCGCCCACAAAACTTCCTTTACCCCCTCCCTCCAACCTTTTCGAGGACGACCCCTACCCCGCCTTCCTTCCCCTACAGATTTATATGCTCTCCATGTCATTCTACTTTGATCCATTCTCTCTAAATGACCAAACCACCTCAACAATCCCTCTTCTGCCCTTTGACAAATACTTTTATTAACTCCACACCTTCTCCTAATTTCAACACTCCAAATTCTCTGCATAATATTTACACCACACATTGCCCTTAAACAGGATATCTCCACAGCCTCCAACCGCCTCCTCGCGGCAGCATTTACAGCTCAAGCTTCACACCCATATGAGAGTGTTGGTACCACTATACTTTCATACATTCCCTTCTTTGCCTCCATAGATAATGTTTTTTATCTCCACACATGCCTCAATGCACCACTCACCTTTTTTTCCTTCATCAATTCTAAGGTTAACCTCATCCTTCATAAATCCATCCGCTGACATGTCAACTCCCAAATATCTGAAAACATTCCATACTCCTCCTCTCCAATTTGATATCCAATTTTCTTTATCTAACTCATTTGATACCCTCATCACCTTACTCTTTACTATGTTCAATTTCAATTTTACCTCTACACACTCTCCCAAACTCGTCCACTAACCTTTGCAACTATTCTTTAGAATCTCCCATAAGCACAGTATCATCAGCAAAAAGTAACTGTGTCAATTCCCATTTTGTATTTGATATCCCATAATTTAATCCCACCCCTCTCCCGAACACCCTAGAATTTACTTCTTTTACAACCCCATCTATAAATATATTAAACTACCATGGTGACATTACACATCCCTGTCTAAGACCTACTTTTACTGAGAAGTAGTCTCCCTCTCTTCTACACACCCTAACCTGAGCCTCACTATCCTCATAAAAAACTCCTTACAGCATTTAGCAACCTACTACCTATATCATACACTTGCAACATCTACCACATTGCTCCCCTATCCACTATCATATGCCTTCTAAATCCATAAATGCAATGAAAGCTTTCTTACCTTTATCTAAATACTGTTCACATATACACTTCAATGTAAATACTTGATCTACACATCCCCTATCCACTCTAAAACCTCCTTGCTCATCCGTAATCCTATATTCTGTCTTGCCAATTGACACAGTTACTTTTTGCTGATGAAACTGTGCTTATGGGAGATTCTAAAGAAAAGTTGCAAAGGTTAGTGGACGAGTTTGGGAGTGTGTGTAAAAGTAGAAAGTTGAAACTGAACATAGAAAAGAGCAAGGTGATGAGGGTATCAAATGATTTAGATAAAGAAAATTGGATATCAAATTGGAGAGGAGTATGGAATGTTTTCAGATATTTGGGAGTTGACGTGTCAGCGGATGGATGTATGAAGGATGAGATTAACCATAGAATTGATGAAGGAAAAAAGGTTAGTGGTGCATTGAGGTATATGATAAGACAAAAAACCTTATCTATGGAGGCAAAGAAGGAAATGTATGAAAGTATAGTGGTACCAACACTCTTATATGGGTGTGAAGCTTGGGTTGTAAATGCTTCAGCAAGGAGGCGGTTGGAGGTGGTGATGTCCTGTCTAAGGGCAATGTGTGGTGTAAATATTATGCACAGAATTCGGAGTGTGGTAATTAGGAGAAGGTGTGGAGTTAATAAAAGTATTAGCCACAGGGCTGAAGAGGGGTTGTTGAGGTGGTTTGGTCATTTAGAGAGAATGGATCAAGGTAGAATGACATGGAGAGTGTATAAATCTGTAGGTAAAGGAAGGCGGGGTAAAGGTACAGGGTAGATGTCGTCCTCGAAAAGGTTGGAGGGAGGGGGTAAAAGAGGTTTTGTGAGTGAGGGGCTTGGACCTCCAGCAAGCATGAGTGAGCATGTTAGATAGGAGTGAATAGAGGCGAATGGTATTTGGGACCTGACGAGCTGCTGGAGTGTGAAGGGATTGAGGGAAATCGGTTATTTTTATATAGCCGGACTTGAGTACTGGAAATGGGAAGTACAATGCCTGTACTTTAAAGGAGGGATTTGGGATATTGGCAGTTTGGAGGGATATATTGTGTATCTTTATATGTATATGCTTCTAAACTGTTGTGTTCTGGGCACCTCTGCAAAAGCAGTGATTATGTATGAGTGAGGTGAAAGTGTTGAATGATGATGAAAGTATTTTCTTTTTAGGGATTTTCTTTCTTTTTGGGTCATCCTGCCTCGGTGGGAGACAGCCGACTTGTTGAAAAAAAAATATATGGATAAAACTTTAAAATCAAATTTAAAAAATTATTTTTTTTTTTATTTCTAATGAGCCATACAGTAATTTTTTTTCTTGTAAATCAAAATAAGATATAAATAAACATGATCACTTTAATACAAAAATAATTCCTTGTACACGAGAACGGAGTCCAGCAGTTGAGTCAAGTTTGACTTGACTTTCTTCTGAAGGAAGGTTATGCAAAAACTATACAGTTCTCCCTTGCCATGTACAGGAAATGCCTGCCTATGTATGAGAAAAATGGATCTAAAGAAGAATAGGAACAGGAGTAAATGGAAAGAAAAAAGGAGTCATTTATACACTGCCAATACCTATTGTTTCATTAGGAAAATTTAGTACAGTGGCTTTCCAGTATTATATGATTTATACTATTTTCTTTCTATTCTCACCTGGAAAGCATTTGTAAGATAATACCACTGTGGAGCCTCCAAGAAGCTAGACCAAGGTACTGGTAGGTACTGGTTGTATCTAATCTTGCCCGAGATTTTTGGATCGAACACGTATAGTCTGTCGAGAACATCCTCACATGAAAAATTATGATACATGTAAACAAAGAAACTTTATACATATAAAGTGGAATACAGTAAATTACACAATTAAGGTTACTGACATATATAACTACTTTATAGAAAATTTGTTTTCAACACGTTGGCCGTCTCCCACCGAGGCAGGGTGACCCAAAAAAAAAAAGAAAAACACTTTCACTATCATTCACACATAATCACTATCTTTGCACTGGCACTCAGATGTGGCAGTTCAGATGTTGCTCCAAACAGCAAATATCCCAAACCCCTCCTTTAAAGTGCAGGCACTGTACTTCTCACCTCCAGGACTCAAGTCCGGCTAACCAGTTTCCCTGAATCCCTTCACAAAATAAAATATCCTGACTTAATCTATTATAAATGACTCAATCACTTAAGCCTGTCTAAATTCACCCATATCCTGATTACACAGTATAAACTGTAATGTTTTTGTGACTGAATTCATGTCTGTATTAACAATTTGTTACAGTTGTAACCAGACGTATTTAGTTCATTACCACTGTAATTTACTTATCTACCATCACATTGGGGCCCATTCCCTAGATCCATTTTGTGCTTCTGTAATTTTTTGATTACTAGGCACAAGATGGGAATCAGATGAATAATGATGGAAAATCACTAAACCTGTAAGGGTCACACAGCACCTGAGGAATGAGATCAGTGGGATAATCCAATATGATTCATGGAAGAAAGCATTGCTTCACCTCCTTTGATGAAGACACATTCAGTGGCATTAAGGCACCTTTCCTTCCGTGAAGGAATAGATGATTATAAAGGGGCTCAAAGGAAGATTTTTGTAGTTCAAAAGTCAAATAACCAAACAAACTATTGACAGGCATTATGGTAAACAAAACAGCAACATTAACGGCATTGGCAGAGCAACTTTTTATTGTGTTATTTTTGATTTGTGTGTAATTTTATCAAGTTGAGAAGGAGAACATTGCCACAATAAAAGCTTTCTCTGCATGTGTTTTTACTCCATCCTTTTGGCTTTGCCCTGATATCCACTGACAGTGTCCTGTGCCTCAGCTGACAACACTCTTGCCTCACACACTGCATGTCCATGGTTCAGTTGCAGGAATGGGTGGAAATGCTGGACATTTTTCCTTACACCTGCTGCCCTGTTCACCTAGCATTAAGTACGTACTTGGGTGTTAGTTGACTCTTGTGGGTCACATCATGGGGGATAAGATTAAAGGACCCCAGTGGAAATAAGACAGACAGTCCTCGATGATGTACTGACTTTCTTGGGTTATCCCGGATAGCTAACCTTCTGGGCATAAAAATCCAAATAAATCTTATCATATCGAAATGATAACCTTAAAATTCAAATCCACGTTAGTTTTAACATGGTTAGTTGATATACCTACTATAGGTATCAAGATACTTATTAACCATTTTCCAAGCCAATAACTGCAATCAATAGCTCATAACCTTACTCTACATATTACTCAAATTCGCTCTAACATTAACGTATGATCCACACATCATCTTCCTTTCCTAAACACACATTGCTCCTTTGCAATTCTACTATGCCTTTCATCTCTTTCAATATTAATTCTACAATGCACTTTACTTACTATAGTCAACAGACATTTTTTCTTCTATAATTCTTACATTCTCTTGTCCCTTTTTTCTTGTAATAAGAACTACACATGCTCTATGCACCAATCATTCCAAGAAGGTATCTCCAGCTGCTTTGAGTAAAACATTATTCCTTAATGATAAATGATGAGTTAGCTGGATGCGAGTCCTGGTGTTTGGAAGTAGTACAGGCCTGTACTCTGAAGGATGTTGAAATTTAGAGGTCATTTGAATTACTAAAATAATTAAATTAAAATTATAATTATTTATGTTCATGTACTCCTCACAAGACAACTACTGAATCAAATCAAATCAAATCAAATAAGTTTATTCTCTATAAGGGTTACAATGTGGGGTTTACAGGATTTGGATATTGTGTGGTTTACATGTTATAAAATACTAATTACAGAGGGGGCTACTAGGACACCTAGCATGGCTAGGCATTTTGGGCAGACTTAGATTAATTCTTAACATTAAATCCTTACAGATTATGGTATTAAGGCTAGGTGACTACATTATAATTTGTGAGTTTAGCAATGTGAATGCTTTTGTTTTAGCACAATACAAAGTGTCTATATTGGAGTATCATAGGCAAACTTATGACTAATTAGGATTCATTATTTTAAGATTAAGATTAGTATTTCTGTGTTTATAGTCAGTGGGTGAGTGAGTGTAATTGTGAACCACCAGGTGGTTATCATGTAGTTAGTTGTCGGGTGTATCAGGGAGATAAGATGTTTTCTAACTGTAGTTTTGAAAGTGATGAATGTGTCTGCAGTTCTAGAGTTTTCAGGTAGGGTGTTCCAGATTTTAGGTCCTTTGAAATACATTGAATTTTTGTAAAAGTTTCGTCGGACATGGGGAATGTCATAGAGATGTTTGTGTCTGGTGTTATGCCTGTGGATCCTGTCACAACTATCAAGAAAGCATTTTAGGTCAAGGTTAATATTGGAATTTAAGGTCCTGTAGATGTAGATTGCACAGTAATAAGTGTGGATGTACTGAACAGGGAGTAAGTTTAGATCTATGAAGAGTGGGGGGGGGTGTTGCCAGGGATGGGATTTAGTGATTATTCTTACTGCAGCTTTTTGTTGGGTTATTATTGGCTTTAGGTGTGTTGCTGCAGTTGAACCCCAAGCACAGATAGCATAGGTGAGGTATGGATATATAAGTAATAATAATCTTTATTTACTACAAGTACATGTACATGGTATACAGTCCTAGCTGACAACAATGACATACTACTACATAGAAAGCCACTTGTTATGCTGAGCATCTCAGGCAAATTAGGTCAGTGTCCCAGGATGCGACCCACACCAGTCGACTAACACCCAGGTACCCATTTTACTGATGGGGAACATAGACAACAGGTGGAAAGAAACACGCCCAATGTTTCTACTCTGGCTGGGAATCGAACCCAGGCCCTCGCCGTGTGAAGCGAGAGCGTTAACCACCAGGCCACCAGTGTGTATAGTGTGAGAAGGGCAGTTTGCGGCACGTAGTATCGTATCTTGGAGAGGATCCCCACCGTTTTGGATACTTTTTTTGTTATGTGTTGGATATGGGTGCTGAAATTTAGGTTGTTGTCGAGGTATAGGCCAAGGAATTTGCCCTCATTATGTCTGGCAATTAGAGTGTTGTCGATCTTAATATTAAGTTGCGCAACACCTGCTCTGCTACCAAACATAATATAGTAGGTTTTGTCAGTGTTAAGTGTAAGTTCATTGGCTGTCATCCAAGTCAATATTTTGAGCAGCTCCTCGTTAACAATGGTGTTGAGGGTGGCAAGATTAGGGTGGGAGATGACATAAGTCGTGTCGTCAGCAAAGAGAATGGGTTTCAGGTGTTGGGATATGTTTGGAAGATCATTGATGTAAATGAGGAAGAGCAGGGGTCCACGGACACTTCCCTGCGAAACTCCAGTATCAAGTGGCCGTATTGATGAAGCTATGTCTTTAATGGTGACATACTGATACCTATTGGAAAGGTAGGATTTGAAATATGCAAGCACAGGGCCTCTTATGCCATAGTGGTCAAGTTTGTGGAGTAGGATGCCGTGGTCAACTGTGTCAAACACTTTTCTTAGGTCAATAAAAATTCCTAGTGGATATTCCTTATGTTCCAATGCTTTGTAAAGCAGGTCTAGCATTTTTATAATTGCATCATTAGTGCTTTTATTTTTCCTGAATCCAAATTGGCAAGGGTTGCGTATGTTTTGTGCCGTTATAAATGAATACAGTCTCCTGTGCATGAGTTTCTCGAATATTTTGGATAGCAATGGTAAGTTTGATATTGGCCTATAGTTGTTTACGTCTGTAGGGTCACCACCTACACCTGGTGAATGTGTAACCCTCCCTCCATTGTTTTTTAGCTACCCTGCTATGGTGGGAAGTGGCTTGTGTGGAAAAATAAATGAATGGGCAACTTACTCATCCAGGAAGTAGTTTTTATTGATCAATATCTCATGAATATTGTCAGCAAGTAGGAAGATGAAGTTTTCAAGGGTGTCCAAATTCTTACGTTCTGATGTACTCCACTTTTCCCATGTTGACGTCATCTAAACACAGGCAATGTCAGTGAAAAAAGTACATTATTTACATACATACTATCAAAATTAAAAATTCAGAGTCAAAGGAAAATTTGGAGATAATGTTTATGCAAAAACTCATCAAAATCCCTAGTGCATAAGGAAGAAATTATATGACTGCAAATGAGTACATAATTCTTTAAAAATAAAACCTCAATTTATTGGACTATTAGGGGGAAGTGTCTGGTAATGCCAACTGTCTCAAGAAATCGTAATGACACGATTGCAAAGAAACCAATACCCCCGGCCGGGATTGAACCCACGGTCATAGAGTCTCAAAACTCCAGCCCGTCGCGTTAGCCACTAGACCAGCTAGCCACAATAAGATTCATCACGGCCACGCTAGCTGGAGATTCGTCTGTAAAAACTTGCATTTGTGGTCACAGTGGTGCCTGTGCTAACCTTCCTATGGTGTAGAAATGTACCTAGTTGGATGAATCTTATTGTGGCTAGCTGGTCTAGTGGCTAAAGCGACGGGCTGGAGTTTTGAGACTCTATGACCGCGGGTTCAATCCCGGCTGGGGGTATGGTTTGTTTGCAATCGTGTCATTACGATTTCTTGAGTCATGTTGACGGCAGTGAAGGGACTTGAGCTAGAGTTCGTCACGGCCACGCTAGCTGGAGATTCGTCTGTAAAAACTTGCATTTGTGGTCACAGTGGTGCCTGTGCTAACCTTCCTATGGTGTAGAAATATACCTAGTTGGATGAATCTTATTGTGGTTAGCTGGTCTAGTGGCTAACGCGACGGGCTGGAGTTTTGAGACTCTATGACCGCGGGTTCAATCCCGGCCGGGGGTATGGTTTGGAATACCAACTGTCAAATAAATCTGCATATTAAAAAAATAACAAAAAATACAGTAGCCAACTGTATATAGTACACAGTTTACAGATGTACTGTAATAAACATTGAAAACAAATGGGGTTGAAAGTACAGTAGAACAATTTTATTTACTTTTTGTGGTTGATAGATTAGAATTTTACCCATTATTTTCAATCTGTTTCTATGAAGGGCTGTTAAACTGAGGTCTTATTGTTCTTATCACTTAAATTTACAAATATTGTATAGCAAATTGACAGAGAAGGATACTCACCCTGTCAAAAACATTACCAGCAGCAACATTGATATAATCAAAGAAAATGTCACCATTTGAGTGTGATTGTAAGGCTTCTAGGTTTTCCTTTAAAATATTAAAAGTTTCTTCAGTTGCTGTTTTAATCTTTGGCTTCAATTCTGATATTTTCTTCTCCACCTAAAATCAACAATAAATTAAGAAACTGAAGCAAAACAGAAGATATTTATTTATACTTAGTATTACTAACTCAGTCGTACTGGATTAATTATGATGGTTCATTTTTATTCAGGTTAGATATGAAAGAGAAAAGCTTCTTGATTTTCACAGATCTAAGTTTGTTTGGTGTTATTGCTGCTTTCCACACTATTTATTTTTGCTTTATTTTTATGACAAGTATGTGTTAGAATGAATGTCTCAAAATAAAGGTGAACCAGAAAGGCATTTATGAAAAACAGGTCTTCCACTCTCTAAAGGGTTTTCCATATAAAGATTACTTCATTCACTGCTAAGAAGAAAGCAAAATAATGCTTGGAACCATGCACAAAGGAGAAAAAAGAAGAAAGAAGAGAGAGAGAGAATCACTGGAGATCTTGGAAGTCACATGGCAATGGTGTTAAATGATAAAAGGGTAATGACAAGAAGGTTCCATTTTAAAAATGCATTACTGAGTAAGAAGCCCTGGGTGATCTGCCTGGAATGTCATACTTCACTCACACCAATACTCACCTCTAAGCCTCAGTTAATGCTTGCTTGTTGTGGTCAGTGCCACTTGGGATCTGGGTTCTGTTCAAAGCTCCTGCTGGCAACACCTGGGAAGGTGGCGGAAACCTTGTTTTTCTGGGGCTCCTTTTGCAGAAACGAGTTTTATGAATCAGAATAGTATACAGTACTATATTGTAGTGTGAACACTGGGGAGGGTCCACACCACTACCACTATAATATCTGTGAAGGGACAGAGCTGCCAGCTACAATACCTCTAGCAGACAAAACAGATACCGTATTTTGTGGCATATAAGATGCACTTTTTTTTTTTTTCCAAAATCTGACCCTCAAAAATCACCTTGTGTCCTACATAGTGAAGGTCAGGCTTAGGATCTATGAATAATTCCATTTAACAAAGAGAACAATTAAAAATAATAATAAATTAAGAGGGGACATATTGCATGCTAAATTTAAGGTGTGTTCTATATGCTGGTGCATCTTATATTCTGCAAAATATGGTAAGTATCCAGGAAGTGTTCCTGGAAAACCCCCAGAGCCCATGGATCCCACTGATTTCAGGGTAATAGTTGTCAAGCTCTCCCAGAAGCTAGGAAACTGAGGCTCGTGTGCTCTTAACTGGTGCCAGGCTCACTGACAAGAGGAGATGGCAGGTGCAGGCCTCTGATATCACAAGGCAGACAAGCACGGATATTTTCCATGTGAAGCCCATGTAGGGACACAAGTATGTGCATGAACTGACCTGACCAGACAGGACAGGCTGCAGGGCTATCACGTGGCCTATGAACCACATTAAGTGACTAGCCTGAATGGGACATATAGAAGAGCAGGAAGGAATGCCAAAATCTTAAGGATAGCTATGGAGGCCCCAGGAGTTTGGTAAAATTATGCCCTGGCTGACAAGGTATCCATATAGGAGAAGTAGGTAATTGTGTTTGAAGTCCATGGGTTGTTGACAACTGGGTCTTGGAGCTCTGGTAGGATTTTGACTAACAACAGACACAACAAGCAAACATCAACATGTTAGCGATGGTCAAAATGAAGGTAAAATGTGTAGCAAACCCTCACTGTGGCTTATTTTAAATGCTATATGACATTCCAGGAGAGTATCTATGGCCTTCCACTGCAGAAATATTATTAGTATAAATTAAAAATAAGGTCTTCAATTTGAAATAATATAATGTAAATAATGTAAAATAATGTAAATAATGTAAAATAATGTGAATAATGAAAAATAATGTAAAAAATGTAAAATAATATAATGTAAAATATATAATATAAATAATATAAAAAGATGAATAACTAAAATTTACCACCCCACAACCTGTGTCTGGTTTTAAGTAGTCTTTAAGCATTACGATTAGTCTGTCCAAAATGCTCAGGCATGCTAGTGGCTTTCTTTTTATTTAACAATATTTTCTAATATGTAATTTACACACTGTAAACTCTGCAAAGAAATACAAATTTGAATTTGAAATTGAAAAAACTAGAACAGGTATTATAATGTGAAGAAATAGTCGGGAAGCGCCATAAGTTAAAGTTGTAACGGGCTTAACAGATGATGTTAGACATGGCATTAGATAGTTTTAAACAAGATGATGTGAAGCATCACATGACTTAATGGTCAAGTTGCATTATACATAATACAATGCTTTGTAATCTTACATGACTGAACTTACTGGAACAAAAAGTTTGTTTTGGTTCTGGGATAGTATTTGCACTGAGGCTCCTGTAGATGTACAGACTACAGTATTATGTATTAATGGTCTATTTACTTAGTAGGCCTAGATGTTTGAATAAGTTGCAAGTGAGTTTGTTATAGCAGAATTCTGTTGTTATTACTAAGATATTTTGTTGATGCTCTCCAAGCACATACACCATATGCAGAATCTGTTGCAAAATATTTAACATTCCCTCCCCCCCCTATGCTAAGTTTCTGAATCCAGGAATGAACAGTAAGTAGTAGAATAGCTCTCTATATGGGTCATGCTACCTTAGTGGGAGATGACCAGAGGGGTAGAGAAAAAAGAGAAACTACATTAATGCTCAAAAAGCCTTCATTCACAAATAAAGGGGAAGGGGAGGGAAAGAAATTACTCAAACAGTGGGTCCCTAGTCAGTACTAGAGATGTTGCCTCCCTATATTTTTAAAATAATATATACTATTTGTATGGAAACACTGGCTACAGTACTCACAAACTGGAATATTCCTTCTGTTTCAATTTGTGTTGACGAATGCTTTACTGCTTCTTGTATCTTATTCAGAACCTCGGTTAGTGGTAATGCCCCTGACTGCCAACTCTCATGAACTGCTTGTTGCAGCTGTGATATTCCACCTGTTTTGTGCATCACAATGACAAAATAATTTCCAGTGTCATATAAAATGAATACTAAAGAAAGCTATTATATGACTACTAACTCCTAAAATATTGTGTATAAATGCTAGCCAAATAAAGAGTATTAATAATCACAAGCAAATAACCTTGAAATCTCTTATAAAATTTCCAAAATAACATTACTGTATAATATTTACAAGATCAACAAAAAGGGTGGTTTCAGAAAATAATTTGCATTTACTGTAGTTAGTTTCATATCTTTATTATGCACCCCATGCCCATCATGTGGGTGGTAGTCAAAATATTACAGAGGCACATAATGCCTCCAGGAACTAGGCTCCAAAGTTTTGGTAGCTAAACAAGTTATAGTGGTAATGAACTATTTACATATATACTGTGCAAATCACTACTTTTCCATAAAATAAAGCTAGTGGTTTAGATCATGAACTGGTCAAAAAAATAATGAATTGTCCATACCTTCAAAAATAATCCTGCTGTTCTGAATCCAATCCAAAACCATATCTTTTGTGTATATGAAATGATCATAATATTTATCCATCTGCAGGAAGTCTGGTACGACTGATACTACCTGGCTGGCACCCTATAATTAAAAAAGGCTTTTATTTAGATGAGTCAGTTTCTTGCACTTACTAGACAGAACAGAAGGAATATTAGTGAAATGGCCAAGAATTAGATAAGTCTGAGCACTGGAACTGGTCTAAAATAAATCTCAAATTGGGCAAAATTGCAGTTGTGGAAGGTACTCTCCAAGCCTCCAGCTTTCTGCTTGTATGCTTCCATAAGTTTCACATAAAATTTTTCAGTTTTTGTGTCATTACCTTTAGAAAAAGATTTTCTACCATTTTAGAAGTTATTCTGTTTTGTTTTTAAAACTGTGACACTGACAGGACTATTAATTTTGGAGGTAAGGACAGTGAAAAAGTTAAGTCCTGCCTGAAATGCTAAGCAAACTATGGGATTTAAAAAAATTATAACTGCGTATAATTTTCTGAAAACCAAGAATATGAACTTGAATACTCTCAAAAAAATAGAGATATCTAGTGAACTGCCATAATGGACTCCTTGTCTCACCTCTCTCAGTGTTGCTGTCACCTCCAGCTTGTCCACAATGCGCTTCCAACACTCGTCTCTCAAAACAGCTTCTATTTTTTGGCTATAGCTGCAATTATAGACATTATGTTTACAGATGTGACATCATGAAAAAGAGTGACAATATTAGAAAATGTAGTGAACCCTCTTAAGTTTGCCCAAAATCTTTCTTCTTCTTTCAACAAACCGGCCGTATCCCACCGAGGCAGGGTGGCCCAAAAGGAAAAATGAAAGTTTCTCCTTTTAAATTTAATAATATATACAGGAGAAGGGATTACTAGCCCCTTGCTCCCAGCATTTTAGTCGCCTCTTACGACACACATGGCTTACGGAGGAAGAATTGCCCAAAATGCCCTGCATATATAGGAACTTTCTGCATATACATTATATCCAAATATCATTTAACTTTGTACAAAGAATGTAACATGCTGAAATAAAGTATTACTATTATTACAAGGGACCCAGACAAATTAGACTTTTACAATTATGGGCAAATCTACTGGGTAAATGGACTGTATTGTAATGTATTGCAATATAACAGTAAACTGAGAGTACAGTATTATATAGGTATACAATAGAGTTCTTTAGTTTAGTTTATTGCCATTTTTTAAAGTTTTTATGATTAAATGGACCCTCAGATCATCCATCCCCCTCCATTAGTCCATTATATCACTACAAACTGGCATAGTGCCTGATAAGTGGAAAATGGCAAATGTAATACCTATTTACAAGACAGGTGACAGGTCCTTAGTTTCAAACTATAGACCAATAAGCCTTACCTCCATAGTGGGAAAATTTATGGAATCAATAATTGCTGAGGCAATTCGTAGCCATCTTGAAGGGCATAAATTGTTAAATGAATCTCAACACTGTTTTACTAAGGGGCATTCTTGTCTTACAAATTTACTAACTTTTTTCACTAAGGTGTTTGAGGAGGTAGATCATGGTAATGAATATAATATTGTGTACATAGACTTCTGTAAGGCTTTTGATAGAGTTCAACATCAGAGGCTTTTGAGGAAACTTAAGGTACATGGAATAGGAGGAGAAATTTTTTCCTGGGTAGAGGCATGGTTGACAAATAGGCAGCAAAGAGTTTGCATAAATGGGGAGAAATCAGAATGGGGGCACGTCACGAGTGGTGTTCCACAGGGGTCAGTGTTGGGCCCCTTGTTGTTCACAATCTACATAAACAACATAGATGAGGGAATAAATAGCGACATAAGCAAATTTGCTGATGACACCAAAATAGGCCGTCCAATTCATTCTATTGAGGACATTAGTGCACTCCAGAATGATTTGAATAGACTGATGCAGTGGTCGGAGAAGTTGCAGATGCAGTTTAATACATATAGACAAATGCAAAGTTCTAAATGTTGGACAGGACAATAACCAAGCCACTTATAAAATAAACAGTGTAGATCTTAATACTACTGACTGCGAAAAGGATTTAGGAGTTCTGGTTAACAGTAATCTGAAACTAAGACAACAGTGCATAAGTGTTTGCAATAAAGGTAACAGAATCCTTGGCTTCATATCAAAAAGTATAAATAATAGAAGTCCTCAGGTCATTCTTCAACTCTATATATCCTTGGTTAGGCCTCATTTAGATTATGCTGCACAATTCTGGTCACCGTATTACAGAATGGATATAAATGCACTGGAAAACATACAGAGGAGGATGACAAAGCTGATCCCATGTATCAGAAATCTTCCCTATGAGGATAGACTGAGGGCCCTGAATCTGCACTCTTTAGAAAGGCATAGAATTAGGAGGGATATGATTGAGGTGTATAAATTGAAAACAGGAATAAATAAAGGGGATGTAAATAGAGTGCTGAAAATATCCAGCCAAGACAGGACTCTTAGCAATGGTTTCAAGCTGGAAAAGTTCAGATTCAGGAAGGACATAGGAAAGCAATGGTTTGGTAATAGAGTTGAGGATGAGTGGAACAAACTCCCTAGTACCGTCATAGAAGCTAAGACCTTGTGTAGTTTTAAAAATAGGTTGGATAAATACATGAGTGGGTGTGGGTGGGTGTGAGTTGGACCTGACTAGCTTGTGCTACCAGGTCTGGTGCCGTGGTCCTTCCTTAAGTGGAAGTGACCTGACTAGGTGGTCATTGTTATAAGCTGGGGGGTGGCATGGACCTGCTTCACATGGGTTAATAGGCATGTTGCAGTGTTCCTTCTTTCTTATGTTCTTATTATATTGAGGGTTTACTGAAAAAATATTTTAGTATAATCACAAATGAGAGAGGGAGAAAGGGAAAGTGGGAGGAAAAAAGAGAGAGAGAGAGAGAGATAAATAGATAGAGATACATAAAGTTATATGTTAATACATAGATACATAAAGTTATATGTTAATACACAGACATATATATAAAGTTATATTTTAATACATAGACAGATACATAAAGTTAATTTTAATACAATCAGAGAATGAAAGTTTGAGCATCCTACCTGGTTAATGCCTGGCTCACTGACAACATGTTTGGTGCTACTGTGTTTTGGATGTTTTCTACCATGCTCTTCATCATGTCCACTACAGTGATTAACACATCCTTTAAAAATTTACTTGCCCTAGAGTAAAAGTAAATAAATGGATTCATTAATTCACCTGTTGCAAAATTCAAGGAAACTCCAAAAATGCTAATGCAGGAAGATAATAAGACATTTGTGTAACACCTAGGTGTCTATTGCTGATCTGAAAGGTTCTACCTGCTAAACAGGCTTCTTTGGTCGACAATAAAGATACTCAAGTGTTGCACATGTATCTTACACAGCTACTTGTTGGTATAGTATACTATTAACACATTACTAATACAGTGTATTTTTCTCATAAAACATTTTTTATTTACGTACGGTGAAATACTGAGTTGGCTTGCTTCAGGCTGGAAGCATTCAGAGACATCCGAACGTTTGACACAATCATCCAGGGAAAATCTAGGAGGAATTTTCAAGAGAATTATTTAATGAATGGACAGTAAGTACAAATCATATAAATGTGTCTAATGTGACATGCTTATCCAAATTCTAATCAGCATTCATACACATATATGTATTTCTTATCTCAACCATGTCCAAAAAACTAGATTGCTCAAACTCTAAATACTATTTTGTGTTACTGTCCCCTCACATAAACATTACGTTTACACAGTCAAAGTTTAGTGCCTTGGAACACTCACTATATTGATAATCTTAACCTTACACAAATTACAGTTAACAATACTAACCGTAACATTCTCATAATCTACCTTGAGCTAATCAATGTCACATAATTTTAAGTTTACCTGTAACTGTCCGAAATGCACTGCATAACTAGTGGCTTTTCATGTAATAAAATACCACTGAGCCAATATCCATAAAACTATACATATCTTATATGAAAAATAAAGATTTTTTTTATTTCCTGTATTCATACACTAAGTACAGGAGGGCTCTGCTTATATAGCAGGTTAGGTCTGGGCTACTGCTATAAAGTGAAAATCATTGTAAAGTGAAACATAGCTGTTTTTCACTTTGAAATGCATAAAAAAGCCTGATAACATATTTACACTATCATATATTAAGTGAACAATAGAGCTAGGCCTAAAAAATAAATATACAGTACACATGTTATTTACCTTAAAATATTTTCATCCTGAATATATTTATTGTAGGAAGTCTGAATAAATGAAGAGTGGGTATAACTGAAAACCGCTGTAAAGCGACGTGCTGTAAAGCGGGGCCCTCCTGCATTAAATTCAATATGCTAAATGCTACTTATTACTTACTCTATTTCCACTGCAGATAAGAGACTGTACTTGGCTAAGAATGGGCTCTCCACCTGTTGCCATACCTCTTGCATTTTATCCATCCACCATAAAGCCGAAGAGGTAAATAGTGTAGAAATCTTATCTTCTAAATGTATCCACTTTTCCTTTAATATCATTTTTAACTGACTGAGCTGAAGAATGAGGTCATTCACAAAACTCTCTAAGAACACCAAAGATTGCTCATATCTGAAAGTAAGAGACATTAGTTTATAAAATTATATGGCTACAGTAATTTCTTGAGTATATAATTATTTGAAAATTGAAAAACCATTGATTAGTGCTTTTGATACTAATTCAACTATGTAATTATATGTTTAAAATCCACACATAAATAAAAAAGGTCTTTTACACTAACTTTTAATAATTTCATTATTGCAACAAATAAGTTCATTAAATATAGGAATTTTTAGCATAAAATAAAAAAAACATTCACATTTTACTTACAAACTAGTAGTTAAGTTACATGCAGCATGGAGTGATGGCTGTATGGCTTCGGTCCATAGTTTATCAATATCTTCATTCATGTTAGTTGTGGCTGTGTTGAATTCATTGATGAAATAATCAAAGTTACCAGTTTCTCTTTCCCATATTTCTAGAATAGCTTCTTTATTAACTAATGTTTCAAAAATTTTGGTAACTTCCAAAAATATTCTCTCTTCACAGAGAGATCCAATGTAAGTGATATCATGCTGCCAAGCATTCAGAACTTTGTATGCAGGTGATGTCAGCCTAGTGATAAACCTGTCATCATTGAAATCCAATGAGGGATCATATTCAAGGAAGAACTGGAGGATGTTTGGGGTTACTAACTTCAAGCCAAATGCACCATCTTGGCTCCACTCACTAAATCTCTGATGGTCTAATACTGCTCCTAATTCTAGTGGATTATGTAAACCAATTCTCAATCTCCCTTTTTCATATGGTTCTTGATCTTGCTCCCCAACATTTACATACATAAGCAGCTCAGGCACATCTTTGGTTATTGCTGTTCCAAACTTCCAAAACTCTGCAAATTCTGATCGACTTCCTTGAATATTAAATGTAGTTGAATTATCTCTCAAATTAATATTCCCTCTGTATTTGTAGCACCATTTACCCTGAGAAATGAGAAAGTTAGCAGCAAACTCATATCCACTATTAGTTGTATTTACATCTGTAAAGATGGTCAAGTCTTCCCATGTTTCCTTAATTAGGCTCCAATATTTGAGTGTATAATTTCCTCTAGTGAAGACTGACTCAGTAACCTGGCCATCCATGCTAAAAGCAAACTTTGAAAAAGGCTGTGAAATGTTAAGCAAAATGTTGTGTTCTCTGTTTTCTGTGACAGGCTGTACAACAAGCATCATCACAATGTTTTTTTCAGGAGAATTCCCATCTAAAAGCTCTGCTAAGCCAGATAATGGTGAATTATGAGACTGTGTAATATTACCCTGGAATATGATATCCTTAATATCAGGGTGACTGAAAACTGCTTTTAGGTAATGCTCCATGTTTCCGTATAAAGAATTGTCATTATAATTAAGCTTAAAAGTAACTGGTGGCATTTCATTATCATATTCATTCCAAGTGAAGCTTGATACAATCTCTAGCTCCCTAGAACTAGTAGTAGCATTAGTCTTATAGTGTACACTCTGAGAAGGTAATATCAAATAGACATCACCTGTATGTACAATGCTGAAGAGCCTCTGATCCCTGTACAGCACTACTCTGCTACCTATTTTCTTCCTGTTTATTTCAAATATTAGACTTTGATTAAAATGGAAAGAATTTAGAGATAATGATCCTTCAATGTGAAACTGCTTATTGAAGCCCTCACCAGACAAAAAGATATAGTGGCCTGCCACAAGTGCTTCTTGATGTACATGAATGCAATATGTTTTCCATGAACTATTATTATTATAAGAGGGAAAACTTAACTCCAAATGGAAGTCATTAATCAGTGGAGTAGATTCTAGATTAATAATCAGAGAGCCTGGATACACTTTTGGTAAAGAAACTGCAAAGATTTTATCTGAACCCCATGCTAAATTTACCTTGAAAAGCTCTTCAAGATCATGCCTCACTATAAAGTAAAACTTTTCTTTAAACATATCCTGATATTCAATGTGGAATGAACGACTTTCTGTCAGCTCTTTCAGATCAAGATCAATATGTATATAAGCTCTAAGTATATTGGGCAAATAAGAAAAATCTCTTGCTACTGCTTTGATGCTGTGCTCATTGAGCTGGCACATAGCTTCTATTCCTCTGCCAGTGCCAAACTCTGTCTCTTTAAATGATAACAGAAAGCCAACTTTTCCAACTCGAGCTTCTAATATGTAATAATATTTTTGAGGTGAAATAATATATTGCAAAGATATTACATCATAACTTTCAAAGGGAAGAAAAAGCCTTAATTTAAGGTTACCATCCAACAAATTTTTGTGTTCCAAATATACTTCAGTCCCTATTTTTCCACTTGGTAATTCTAGCAGCAGAGATATATGCTGTCCATTTCTCTTAAATGTTGGAGTTCTCAATGCATATTTTTCAAAGCCTTTAAATGGGGTTGTTAAGATAAATGTAACAACTTTGCCAAAAATGTCATCGTTTTCAATTGAGGCATACAATTTAATATCAACATCACTCCAAGAATATACCAGTTGCATTGTTTTGTAACTGCCAGTAGGCAAATGGATATTAAGTTTAATAAGCTCACAGTATTCAAAGGGCATTATGAAGGAAATATTGAGGAAGTCTTCATTAAGCAAATTCAACTTGACCTCAAGACTGTATTTATATGGTCCTACTATCTTCATGTAAAACATTCCTCTATTAATATCAACATCAACATCAAGCAAAATGGAACATTTTATGATAAGAGTCTGAGCATTGTTCCACACTTTATTATTGATAACTTTCAAAAGTAGCTCCTCATTCTCTAGCAAAGCACCACGAAGTCTCCAATATAAAGACCTCATCTCATCTCCATCTTCATATCTAAATTTTAAATGGTAATTTAGCTCTGAAATAATACTATACATATCAAACTCAATATCAAATACATTGTTATCATTGTAAAACTTTCCAGACATTGTGAAAACCTGTTCATTGTTCTGTTTCACTATGACATACGAATTTATGTGATGAAAATTATCATTTTTTAGCTTGGCAACAATATTAATCTCCCTATCCTCCATAATCAATTTACCTTCGTAATTCATATCTGAAAGGTTGAAGTTGCTGTTGATTTTTCCTGTAAAAAGCATTTCCTCAAATGGCAGAAAAGAAGATTGACTAATAATTTCTAAGCTGTATTCGATGACATCTAAATGCAATCTGAAGCTGTGTTCATTACCCAGAATATTTAGGCTGATAGCTGCAGTGATATTTCTTTCCCATTGGGCTTTTAAATCTATGGAAAATATGCCAATCAGTTCAGAAGTTATCTGAAATTTAGTATGAATCTCATTCTCTTTTCTATTATACTGGAACTCTACACTTGTATCAACCTTTATGGTACCATAGGAAAGAATAAAAGTCAATATCCCATGGAAATTTTTTTTAACTAAGAGGTTAAAATTAAATTCTACAGAGCCATCTTTTAGGTAAGGAGAATCAAGTTCACCTTTAATCATGAACTGCTCAAAGCTAACAACTTCAGACCAAATTAGAAGAAAAGTGTGTTTTACTGATGACTCTGGGTAGGAAACTGAAACACTAAAGGAATTTTCATCTACATCAACTTGGAGACGTGCAGCCCATTCAGAGGATTCGATCACTAATAATCGACTAGATGACAATGAGGTTGGGAATAATGTCTTGTACAATATTTTACATAGCTCCTCTTTTCCCCGAGTTATACGAAACTCGACATTAACTTCCTCAAAAAATATGTTCAATAAAGGGATTACAGAAGTGATTTTGTAAGGAGCAACACTCTGATCACTTTGAAATTCAAAGTTTGCAAATAACTGGTCATTTGTGATATTGGCTCCCAAGATTAATTTATAATGGAACAACTTTTTATTTGGTGCCTTTACTGATATGGACAAAGAGCCATCAATGAGTTCCAAATAGTCATGAAACCTGGCAGTGACATTAAACTTAAACAAATTCAGAGTCCAATTTGGGGATTCAAACATTAAATTCAAAGATGCTTCTCCATCATTTAAACCCATAACATTTATTTCTATCAGGGTGTCCATAACAGCAACCTTCAAAATCAAAGTATTCATATATTCAATATTAACAGATACCCATTTTCTATCCGATACAATCTCAAGCATTGTATGAACTGAATAAGCCTGAGGCTCCACTTCATAGCTGAAGGAAGTAATCACTGGGATAGCTCCTTGAGGAATAGATAAAGTGATTTCTGTATCCATCTTCATCCACATATTTTTAACTTCCAGCAGCCATTTCATATCTCCTAAAATGGGTATGCTTGCTTTAAATTTACCTCCATTTATAGAATACATAGCCTCTACAAGACATGTCATATCATTAATTACTACTTTAGCTGAAAAACTTTGACTTTCAAGATGGAATACAGTCTCTAATCTTTTTAAGAAGACAAAAGGAGTCTGAATTTCAAATAAAACTTTAAATCCTCTGTCCTCAAAGGCACTTTCAAATCTGGAGAGGACAATTACTGCATTTTCCTCCATGTATTTACTTGCAAATTGAAATTCCGATGGTAAAAGAATAATTGATGTTACTATCTTCCTTTTATTCCACTGGAGGTGACTGGAATAGGTTATGTTCTCATTCTCATCTGTTTGTGATGCCTGGAATTGGCCAACTTTAAGTGACTCCCAAGGAGTTGATAAATTAATTTCCATGCTCATCTTTTCAAATTTAATATATACCCCAAGAGTCTGAGCCTGTGGCCATGTTATCTCTGCCTGAGCACTCAACTGACTGTTCTCTGTCTCTACACCCATGGTTAATGAGAGCTTCTCAAAGCCAGTAACTGGGGTTTTAACAGAGAAAACAACTAAATAAGTTGGAGAAAATTCAAAATCACATGCAACCATCCACACAACTTTGTTCAGTAACAAAGTAGCCTCAGTGTGGCCTGGCTTCAGTTGGAAAGATATTGTGAGATTCTTAAGCCCTATATAAGATGTGGTCAATGCCCATATTAGGTCAACTTTCTCATCCCTGAGCTTAAAAAATCCAGAAGCAGAAACACGTTCAGACCATTCCATGAAGGCTGTACACTGGAGGTCAACATAAGCTTCCTTCAAGGAGAGTTCACCATCAAAACCAAGAAGCAGCTTTGGCAAGAATGTAAATGGAGTAATTATTGTGAGATTTATCTTGGCTGCATTTTCATTCCTCATCCCTGTCACATTAAGATGAAATTGCTCCTCCCACTCAAAAGTGACATAAGCTAAATTCATTACAGAATTCATCTTTCCTCGCAAGAATTTCTTAATATTATACATAGCTTTGAAAATTAAAGGGTTATTAGAATCAAATGGGGATTCTAAGCGCATTTCAAAACTAGACTGGTCTCTCTCTATATCTGCTTTGCCAACCAAACTATATGTTTCCTTCCCGATCATAACTTGAGCCTTGATTTGATTATTGTTAAAACCAGAATAAGTTACATGCACATTTATTGGTTTCCATTCAAGACTGTTTAAGGAAATGTCAAACTGATGACCACGTTTGCGAGAGTACATAGCTTGAAGCATTAGTGGCTCAATGTGAAAACCATTAAAGGACAGATCGAAATGATGTCCATTTCTTACTGCTTTATGAAGAGCAGACAAGTTGAAATGCCAAAAGTCATTCCAGTCAAGCTGTAAGTTAGTTTGGTAATAGTTGACACTGACAACTAAAACGTCCTTCATTTTGTACCTCATATTAAAATTGAATTGGTATAAATCTAATAAAAAGCTCATACTGAATTTTTCATATCCAATAATCTTTCCTGATATGTTCCCTTTATATATACCCTCAAATATCCCAAATTCTACATCAGCAGAACCATTTATTCCAAATAAATCCACAAATCCGGTAAATTTGAATATAAATTTTGCTTCACTTATCATTAGATTTGATTTTAAGTTCAATATATGATGATTTAAAGTTGTAATAAAGGCAGCTTTCCAGCTTTCACTATATGATATATCGTATAAAAAGTCAATACTAAATTTTGATGTTTCCTCAAATAATGTTTTTGCTTGAAAATTAAAATGAGCAAATCTTGTGATATATTCTAGAATCATTTTCAGTTCACCTGAGTGCTCTCCAACATTACATATTGCACTAAGACTTATTGTACTCTCACCAAATGACCATTTTAAAACACACTTAATTGGCTTAACAAAGGGGGAAGTCAGTGATGCCATTATGGATCCATCTTTCCAATTAAGAGAAAATTCAAAGCGTGACTGAAAAGTCATATCCTCAATTTTTGCCACAAAACCAGCACTGTAAGACTGGGTGAAGTCGCATCTGAAATTTAAACTGAAAGACGAAATTCCTTGCACAGGAATATTACCACTTAGCATGACTGTTGCTACTTCATTTCCAAAATCTGAATTCCACTGAATTTGGAATGTATCCAGCCCATGCTGGTAATATGCTGCCATGCTAAATGGACTTGGATCATACTCTGCTTGTAGATGATGGGTTAAGGTGAAGGGTGATTCAAAAAGTATGGTCAGTTTGACACCATCCCATGGTAAAGAAACACCTTCTGGCTGGATGTCAATGGCAGCATTAATTGCTATATTTCCTTGTTGCTTTATCTCAATATTTACTTGAGCTATGTATACCTGCTCTCTAAATGCCATGTTCCAAGATCCATCGAAAGCTTCATAACCTTTGAAATTTGTCTCAATTTCAAAACCTCCTGATAAAGCAGGGATATCCTGTCCATTCAGTGACAATTTGGCCATCACTTTCTTATCATCAAACTGACCTTCTATCTTGAAGGAATTCTGAAAGTCATAACTGATACTGTAATTTTTTTTAAAAGAATTAGGCTCTGAATCTAAGGTAAAACTGATGTTCCCATTTTTAAAGTATTCTCCAATTCTAATTTGAATATCAAAATTAAGAGCAGTGTGGTGGTGGGAAAAGTAAATCTCACCACTCTGGGAGAGCTTAAGGGGAATATCAAGTATTAATTTGTATTCTCCTAAATATATTAAATGAGATGTCAGTGATAAGGCAACATTCTTTTCTGAGAGCTTCAAAGTTCCCTCTATTCCCAAAGGACCAAAAGGAGTACTAAGAACAACTGATCCTTGACCCTCTAAGACATTGTATGTTAAGAGTAGTGAAAAATCTTTAGGTTTAAGCTCTGGAGTAATGAGGGTGATTTCCAGGAGTTGTTTTTTCCAAGAGTCATGGTAATTATACCTTGTATCAATCACATATGTCTTCCCGAATTCTTTTGTGGTTAACTTTGCTTGGTAATGAACTTCTGACATATTTATAATAGGATGAAGGAATTCAAATTCAATTTTCTCATATTCTTCAAATGAACTTGAAAAGGTAAGCTTTATCTCATTTTTATCACCTGTGATAAGAGAATATCCATTTAAATGAAATTCATATCATCTTGGGCACTCAGTATCTTAATACTTTCACTCATCCCTTCAGTTTCATGAACGAACTCCATGTGGTATTTTTGGAAAGTGTGAAGACTTGATGACATATCAGTAATGAATGAAAATACATTTTCATTAGATTTATATTCCATTTCACTTTCGGTATAGCCATTGGTAGTCATAAATTTGTAATTTGCCTTTTTAATTTCTTCCCTGAAATCATAGGATATTGAGAGATTGGCATAATCAAAACTGGAGGCTGATGTGAACTCTAGTTCCATATTTCCAAAGTCAGTAATTATGTCTGTTTTGCCTGTCAGTGTCATTTTCACAAGAAAATCAGAAAGTGACAATGAGAAAGTGACATTTAATTCAATATTTGCTCCATGGATGTAATAGTTGGCTGTGAGCAAGAGTAACTGGTCATCCAGCAGTTCAATGCTAACTTCAGCTTCAGTTGGAGAGTAGGAATTTCTGAAGACAAGGTAAGATGTATTAGATGACGGTTCATAAACCTGCAGCCTTAAAGAATGTTCCTCTTTACTCTGTGCTAAAAATGCTAGACCAACTGAAACTTGTGGATATAACTCAGCTTCAATCTTAAGGCCAATTTCATCCTGTTTCACATGACCTGTACCATTAAATTTAAAGAGCAGCCCATAGTCATGAACAGATAAATCACAATATACACCAAGTCTTTTTTTTTCTAAAGTGTATTTGAAATTAAACTCAAATACAGTATTGCCAACACACTTTAACTGGATATCTATACTCAGTGCTAGGGATAAGAAAGACTGGTCAAGTGACGTTGTTAAATTGAAACACATCTGTGGTACTTGCACAAGTATTATAATGCCATACTGCTCACCTGCTTTCAAAATAAAAGTCAAGTTAAAATTTTCCCAATTTGTAATTGGCATTTTAAGATGAAGGTGTGACTCCGGTAGGCCAAGCTTTAAGCTTCCAGTAAACCAGCTCTTATCCTCATTGACATCAACAACCAAATTAATCATTAAACCTTCCTGTGTTACAGAAATATCTAAATTAACATCAGTTTTAAAATTCACAATAATGTCATTTTCTATTTTGATGGTAATTCTGCTAGAACTGCCTGGCACATGTGATATATATCTCATTGTTGCATCGAAATTATTTTGGTTAACTGTTAATTTTGCAGTTACAGCCAAATCACGCTTCTGTTGAATTGCCACATGTCCAGAAATCTTGGAAATATAATCAATGTCTGAATCCATATTTATAATAATCATTTTTTTTACCTTGCGTATAAGCCAATTAATATTACCCTTAAGGTATTGGAACTTTGAACCATCCTCATCGGTTCTCTGAGCACTGATGGTATAAATCTTGTTTGAAAGTCGACAAGATATCTCATACTTTCTGGGTTCACCAGGCATAACAAGTCCTCTAAAGTCTCCAATGTTTTCATTATAATATATATGAATGGACCAATGAGGACTGACATCATCTAGATAGATTGTTAATTTTGTTTGGAAAATCTCCTTAGTTAAATTCACTACCAGACTTAATTCTTTTTTGTCAAAAGTTTTATTACTGTATATAACTTCATATAAAACTCCACATTCCATACTTAATTTATGACTATAGTCAACAGAACTATTTACATTTCCTTTGTACTGCCAGTCTCCATTTTTAAACAGCCCATTCACATGGCCAGTATAAAACAGAATGCTGTTAAATTTAATATCAATTTCCAAACTTCCTTCAAAATTTCCAAAGCTTTCTAGGTCAGAGTTTATTTCAATAGTGCCTTTAAAGGCATAATTGTGAATATCAGTAACGTCAGCTGTTAATCTTAATTGGCCAATCTGAGCAGTGTCATTATTTTACTCAATACTTTCAAGATTACGAGAGCATTAACTTTGGGATAGCTGGCTTCAAAAACAACCTGGAAAACGAATAAATCTTTCCCATCTCTTGCAAAGTTAAAATACAAGTTTGGAAAATCACCTTTTCTTTCTCATACTTCATTTCAGACTGAAGATTTCTTTCAGAATCACCTGTATTTATGTTGAAGATGACACCATCCAGCAAAGCTGTTGTCATGACAAAAAAATAGTCATTCCAACTGCCCTCAACTTTTCCATTATACTGAGAATCTATGCTTAACAAAAGCTTCAGATTCATATCCACTTCTGTGATATTTACATTAACAAGGAAATCATATGATATGAATTCTTTATTTAGCCATCCCTGACTGAAATTCAAATGACTTTTGCCTTGCACATAAAAGTTAGAACCATAGCTAACTTCAACACTTGCTAAGTTTTCAGAATCTAAGCTATGTATCCATTTCATCTCAATGTCATGCAAAAAGAAAGCAGTTGCCTTCACTACAAGATTGGACTGGTACCAGTAAAGAGTGTCAGTGGATATAATTGCAAGTGTGAGTAATGGAGTGTCACTGTATGAAACGTCAAACATGTAATCTGTTACAGAACTGCTCTCTTGCATTGAAAATTGTGCTTCATAGGCTTCAGTCCAAGGGGAGGAGAAAAAAATGCTTGCATTTACAAAAGATAAATCACTGTTTGAATTAAAAGACAATTTGCCTAAAATAACATCTCCATTACTTGGTAGTGTGATCTGTAATATACCTGACCCTCCTAGGTGGTGCTGCAGTTCAAGTGTGTGATCCACTATGAAAATTTGGTCATCCCAAGACAATGATATTTGTGTTACATGTGGGCCTTCTTCTTCTGTGTGAGAAAATGTAAGGTCAAAGTTATGATCGAACAGGTTGAGTAGAGAAAGATGGCCTTTAGCATTGATAGGGACAAAATTTTCATCCAAATCTACAACTATATCATATGTTATTGTTAAAGTGTTCACTGAGCCTTCCACATGCTGACTGAAGCCACTCACTGAAAAATTCTGTACGAGATCCACTGTGACCTGAAGCACATTGTGAGTAAGGTATAAGTGAGCATTTGTCTCTTCTAATGATGAATAATTTGTACTAAATTCACCTGTCCAAGAGGAAATGAATTCCCAAGATGACTGGAAATCAATATTTATGCTAAAACTATCAATATTATGTTCAATTGTTACATTTATAAGTAAGGGTTCAGTCCACGAAGTGTTAAGTTCACTAAGACCATAAACTTTCTGTTCATTCCAAGATCCTTCTTGTTTCCCAAAAATGAGAGTGATACTTTTTCTTCCATCCCTGTTAGAATTTCAAATCCGAAATGATCATCCGAAACATTACACATTCCATGTAACTGGAATGGCACTTCTAACATTGGAATTTGGAAACTTAACTCTACATCAAATGATTTTTCCCAACCAGAAAAGTCAAATGTGGTGTTTGCTTCAACCTTCCATGGATTGTGGGAGTCTGTTAATGCTAAACTTGCTCCACTCTCAGAGTGATGGGTATCACACCTGTGGTATATGTGAATGTATGAATCACAATTATTGCCATCCTCATATAATAACTTAACCTCAAAGTCAGTTGGGTTGCTTAACTGGGCTTCACCACGAATCTGAAAAAAATTGTTATACTTCATCAACTTTTTTTTTTTAACTTATTACAGATTAAACCTACTAAACAACTGAAGAGTGAGATACTGTTAATAATAATATATGAAAAACAACCACTGAGAAGACTTTAAACTATGTTTGATAAGTCTTTGACCATTCCACCCGCATCATAAAGGGATGGGTGCAATGTCGGATGTGACCATGAGGTGATATTTCAGCCTTATATAGCCTTCTGCTTTATTATTATTACAGGTCCTTGATAATGTGAGAAATCAAGAAAGTGTTTGTAATTTCACAATTTTTTCTCAGTGGTTGTTTTGAATATTGTGATATCACCTGTTTATTGTGATCTTATTGCATAATAATAATACATATATACAATAAGCTATACCAATGTCTAATGGGTGTGAAACAGATGGTGACTGTTGCAACAAGAGCTGAGGCAGTGGGATGTCGTGTCTGGCAGTGTGTGTGTGAGAACATAAATCAGAGAATCAAAGTTTGAATTAGGAGGAGGTGGGATTACCAAAACTATTATCAGAGGGTTGAAGAGGTTGTTGAGGGCGGATAGAAAAGATGGAGAAAATAGAGGACTTCAAGTGTATAAATCTGCAGTGGAGGGAAGGTGGGTAGGTCGGTCTAGAAAAGGTGGAGGGGGGGGTAAAGGAGGTTTTGTGGTTCGAGGGGCTTGGACTTCCAGCAAGCATAGTGAACATGTTAGATAGGAGTGAATGGAGACAAATGGTTTTTAGGACCTGACGACTGTTGGAGTGTGAGCAAGGTAAATTATGAAGGGATTCAGGGAAACCGGCAGGCCAATACTTCGATCCTGGAGTGGGAAGTATAGTGTCTACCTTGAAGGAGGGTGTTAATGCCTGCAGTCTTTATAACTGCAGTGTAAGTGTGCTTGGAAGACAGTGATGAAAGTTTCTTTTTTTGGGCACCCGCTTGTGGAGACAGCGATGTGTAATAAAAAAAATACAAAAAAAAAATTATACAAGTGAAAAATTAAATTGACTATTTACTTTATCTCATCCACATTAATTTCAAAAGGTAACTGATGAGTGTCACTGGATCAAATGCATTCCCATATCATGCAGCTGAGACAATGTGTTATGTATTTGTGAAAGTGTTAATATGATCCAAACCAAGTATGCTTCTTTGAGTGATGTGTCCTTCTTGAGACTCTTACATAGTCCAAAAACCTGTGAAGATGTTACAATAACATAAGACACTTCTCTTCTATAGTCCTTACCAATAAGATTAAGCATTACAATAATAAAAGCAGTATCAGCTATTGTACAAAAGCTTATAGCATGGTCACTGTGTGAAAGATTGATCAAAGGTTCAAAAGAAGTGGAGGGAACAAAGTTGAGAAGTGTAGTGTTTGGGTTGAACATAATGCAGAGAATTCTAGTTTGGAAATTAGGAGGGTGTGGGATTACCAAACTATTATCCAGAGGGTTGAAGAGGGGTTGTTGAGGTGGTTCGGATATGTAGAAAAGATGGAGCAAAATAGAATGACTTCACGAGTGTATAAATCTGCAGTGGAGGGAAGGTGGGGTAGGGGTCGGTCTAGAAAAGGTTGGAGGGAGGGGGTAAAGGAGGTTTTGTGTTCGAGGGGCTTGGACTTCCAGCAAGCATACGTGAACATGTTAGATAGGAGTGAATGGAGACAAATGGTTTTTAGGACTTGACGTACTGTTGGAGTGTGAGCAAGGTAACATTCATGAAGGGATTCAGGGAAACCGGCAGGCCAAACTTCGAGTCCTGGAGATGGGAAGTATAGTGTCTACACTCTGAAGGAGGGGTGTTAATGCTGCAGTTTTATAACTGCAGTGTAAGTGTGCCTCTGGCAAGACAGTGATGAAAGATTTTCTTTTTTGGGCCACCCTGCCTTGGTGGGAGACAGCCGATGTGTTAATAAAAAAAATACAAAAAAAAAAAAAATTAATACAAGTGACAAAATTAAATTAGACTATTTACTTTTATCTCATCCACATTAATTTCAACAAAGGTAACTGATGAGGTGTCACTTGGTATTTCAAAAGTGATTCCCATATCATGCAGCTGAGACAATGGTGTTGTTAAATTAAATTAAAGCTTGTTACATCATCTTCAAACCAACCATCATGCCTCTTGAGTGTCATGTGTCCCTTGATGACATCATTACCATAGCCAAATGAAGCCTGGAAAGAAAGTGTTAACAATTAACATAAGCACTTCTCTTCTATAGTCCCTTACTCAATAAGATTAAGCCATTACAATAAATAAAAGCAGTATCAGCTATTGTACAAAAGCTATAGCCATGGTCACTGTGTTGAAAGATTTGCAATCAAAGGTGTCAAAATGGAAAATGAAAGTGGAACAAAAATATGAGAAAATGTAATGTTCTGTTATAGGATTAACAACATAGTGAATATCTGAGAAGAAAGTGTAGTGTGAATATCCTGTGGCCATATATGAAGATGGGGTACACAATTCACAAGTTTCTGACAGCAAAAACTATGGAAGTAGCAGTAGAAATAAGATCAGAATACAGCTTCACAGATGGAGGATAGAGATTCAAAACTACTGTAACCCTGTGTATAGTAATCAGGTTTGAGCTGATAAAGAGCAGGGTAGCACCAATTCCTCAGGTCAAGGACAATTCACCAGTATTAAGACATCCTTCCCTTGATGTTGAATTTTTTTTTTTTTTTTTTTTTTTTTCAACAAGTCGGCCGTCTCCCACCGAGGCAGGGTGACCCAAAAAAAGAAAGAAAATCCCCAAAAAGAAAATACTTTCATCATCATTCAACACTTTCACCACACTCGCACATTATCACTGTTTTTGCAGAGGTGCTCAGAATACAACAGTCTGAGCACCTCTGCAAAACAGTGTTAATGTGCGAGTGTGGTGAAAGTGTGATGAGATGAAAGTATTTTCTTTTTGGGGATTTTTTTCTTTTTTGGGTCACCCTGCCTCGGTGGGAGACGGCCGACTTGTTTGAAAAAAAAAAAAAAAAAAAAATAAAAAAAAAAAAAAGATATAAAATATAAAGATATAAAATATAAAGATAAAACATGTAAAGGAAGAAACTGAGTATGCAAGAAGTATAGTGTATGAGTACACACACGAAGCTGTTCAAGTTCAGTCATGAACATAGTAAACATATAAATGGAATATCATACTAACCCCTACACTTTGCACGGTGTCATCACTGAAATGGTTAAGGCTTAAGTTGGAGGAGAAGACTTGACCCGAAGGTAAAGTAATTCTTGCTTGTGTTGATCCTTCAAAAACTCCTACATTAGGAAGCTTGTATTCTCCATTAATAATGACTTCACTCTCTAGAAGCCGAAGACTGCAACTGAAAGTTTTCTCACTGAAATAAAAGAAAAATTATATTAATTGTAGTATACAATTATTCTCCATGGGAATTGGAACAGCATTCTTCCTCCATAAGCCATGTGTATCATAAGAGGCAACTAAAATGCCGGGAGCAAGGGGCTAGTAACCCTTTCTCCTGTATTAATATATCCACTTTAGTTTTTCTTTTGGGCCACCCTGCCTCGGTGGGATATGGCCAGTTTGTTGAAAGAAGAAGAAGTATATAATTATTTTATTTTAACACACCAGTCATAACCCACTGAGGTAGGGTGACTCCAAAGAACAGACAGGTGGTTCAATGAAGTAATGAGGAAAATATGACAATAAAGAGAAAAGGTCTGCCTTGAAAAGTAATTGGACTCTTCTAACCCATCTTGAGTAATGGAATGAGCAAGTAGTGGATAGAAACTCCTAAACTGATAAGTCAAGAACAAGAAGATACCCATGGAAGGCTGTTACTTGCACCATTTCTCATCTCCTTATAAGACATAAATAGTCTGAAGTATGTTTAATCTCTCTAATATATTATGCCTAGGCATAATAAAGGCTCTCTTTGCATTGCAACCCACTATTGTAAATACAAAATTTCAATGTACTGTTTGCAAAGACATAAAATAAATAAATAAATAAATACTTTTATCATGACCAGTTATGACAGTGACAGCATTGCATTTTAGATATTAATGTTCAGTACAGTAATTCATATACTGCGCATTATTGGTGGACTTTAAAGCTGGGAATAACTGCATGAAACTGTGTAACTATATTAATACTGAATACTCCTTAACTGTTAAGAATGGCAATACTGGTAATAAGAGTTTGTCTTTAATATGGATTGGTGAAGAGGTGGTGTGTATGGATTGCTGATCTACCCCAGAATCCCTCTTCAAACAACTTTTTAGTGGACTCTCATGGGCCATGTCATGAGACATGGCCTCTCAATCTCATTGAAGTATCTCTTATCTTTAGTAGGGAGTGTTTTTATTTATTTAGGAACACTGCTTGGGTGTTTGTTATTAATTCTCCATGGATATTCTGGGTATGTATGAATGCTCTTAATGTTTATACTACATTTAACCTGGAACAATTCTTATTGTTGTTTCATGCCCCAAGTTGGTAGTGAGGGTCACGCTAGGTATGTTAAAGAGCTGATCTACACTTGAAATCTTTCTTTCTTAAACAAAAGTACGTAATGCTATTATAGATAAGATTAGTGAGTGAGTTTAACTTAAGCTTACAGGGTGTTTCCAATGTCCATAAGAGTGGGAAACAATCCCTGTCCCATGACAAAATACCTCCTCAATGAGGGAAGCTCCCACCTGCCCAGCAATGGAAAGATCAAGGGCAGAAATAGGATCTCCAGATTCACAGGGAATAGGTGACCTGCAGAAATCACTGGGGCCCTTGTGAATCTTGAGCACCTAATGAGGAAGGCTGTGGCTGGCAGGCATAGCAGAGTGCAACACTGAGAAAGCCACATGGTCACCAGCTACTTTTTCAACTGAAGAGCTATCTGCAACAGTATCAGCCACCAATGAAACAGATAAAAATTCCAGACCCCATAAGACCCACTAGACCCCACAGGACACAAACCCCAAGGAAGCAGGGGTGTGTGCCTTCTTGACTGATACTGGTGCCCATTTACCGAGATAAGTGCATCGTGCCAACAGCACATGAAGGGGCATCTCATGACACCTCACAAAAATAGAGCCATCCCACACTAAATCATCACAATGACCAAAATGTATAAAAGAGCTTGTTCTATTTAATACAAAAAACCTAGAAGAGCAGAAAGGACTGGAACAAATTTTGAAGACAGCCAGAGAGGTCCCTAAGGGGGCCCAGCATCAGTGGAGAAAAGAAATTGGTATGTACAGCACTGCAAACAAATGACAGTAGGGACTCTGTACTGTTACACTCCCAGTTGATTATGGTCACTTCAAGTGAGCAATTGGCAGGTGATTTGAAGCAAAAGGTGAGAATAAGAGTGAATAAGGTGTGCCATTCTAAGACATAATAATCTTTTTGGGGCCCCCAAAAAAGATTATGATATCAATAAAACATTACCCACAGCTCTTACCTGTCTATTTGTAACTGAGCTTGAAAGAGGTGGTCCACATGAGTTGTGATGTCTACTCCATACATCTGACGCTCTGGTGAAACTTGCTTTTCAAATTTCATCTGAAACATTAAACTACAAGTGAATTAAAATTCTAATGAGTGTCTGATGCCAAAAAAAGTTATTTTGATAACTTTGCAAGGCAATCAATGTTTCAGATGAAAGCTATCATTATATTAATGGAATACAATATTGACAAGTATATAAGTAAACACATGTTCAACATTTGGGTATTTACCATCAAAACATTTCAACAATAAAGTTATGCAACCACTGCACATGTCTTATAGATGAAAATTATTACAAAATACCACACATGGTACATGCTTGATTATTTTTTTTTTTCAACAAACTGGCTGTATCCCACCAAAGCAGGCTGGCTCAAAAAGAAAAACAAAAGTTTCTCTTTTTAAATTTAGTAATTTATACAGGAGAAGGGGTTACTAGCCCCTTGCTCCCAGCATTTTAGTCGCCTCTTACAACACGCATGGCTTATGGACGAAGAATTCTGTTCCACTTCCCCATGGAGATAAGAGGAAATAAACAAGAACAAGAACTAGAAAGAAAATAGAGGAAAACCCAGAGGGGTGTGTTATATATATATGCTTGTACATGTATGTGTAGTGTGACTTAAGTATAAGTAGAAGTAGCAAGACATACCTGAAATCTTGCATGTTTATGAGACAGAAAAAAGACACCAGCAATCTACCATCATGTAAAACAATTACAGGTTCCATTTTACAAAAGACAAAAGAGAGTGCAAAAATTATAGGGGGATAAGTCTGTTGAGTATACCTGGTAAAGTGTATGGTAGAGTTATTACTGAAAGAATTAAGAGTAAGACAGAGAATAGGATAGCAGATGAACAAGGAGGCTTTAGGAAAGGTAGGGGGTGTGTGGACCAGGTGTTTACAGTGAAACATATAAGTGAACAGTATTTAGATAAGGCTAAAAAGGTCTTTGTGGCATTTATGGATTTGGAAAAGGCGTATGACAGGGTGGATAGGGGGGCAATGTGGCAGATGTTGCAGGTGTATGGTGTAGGAGGTAGGTTACTGAAAGCAGTGAAGAGTTTTTACGAGGATAGTGAGGCTCAAGTTAGAGTATGTAGGAAAGAGGGAAATTATTTCCCAGTAAAAGTAGGCCTTAGACAAGGATGTATGATGTCACCGTGGTTGTTTAATATATTTATAGATGGGGTTGTAAGAGAAGTAAATGCGAAGGTCTTGGCAAGAGGCGTGGAGTTAAAAGATAAAGAACCACACATAAAGTGGGAGTTGTCACAGTTGCTCTTTGCTGATGACACTGTGCTCTTGGGAGATTCTGAACAGAAGTTGCAGAGATTGGTGGATGAATTTGGTAGGGTGTGCAAAAGAAGAAAATTAAAAGTGAATACAGGAAAGAGTAAGGTTATGAGGATAACAAAAAGATTAAGTGATGAAAGATTGGATATCAGATTGGAGGGAGAGAGTATGGAGGAGGTGAATGTATTCAGATATTTGGCAGTGGACATGTCAGCAGATGGGTCTATGAAAGATGAGGTGAATCATAGAATTGATGAGGGGAAAAGGGTGAGTGGTGCACTTAGGAGTCTGTGGAGACAAAGAACTTTGTCCTTGGAGGCAAAGAGGGGAATGTATGAGAGTATAGTTTTACCAACGCTCTTATATGGGTGTGAAGCATGGGTGATGAATGTTGCAGCGAGGAGAAGGCTGGAGGCAGTGGAGATGTCATGTCTGAGGGCAATGTGTGGTGTGAATATAATGCAGTGAATTTGTAGTTCGGAAGTTAGGAGGAGGTGTGGGATTACCAAAACTGTTGTCCAGAGGGCTGAGGAAGGGTTGTTGAGGTGGTTCGGACATGTAGAGAGAATGGAGTGAAACAGAGTGACTTCAAGAGTGTATCAGTCTGTAGTGGAAGGAAGGCGGGGTAGGGGTCGGCCTAGGAAAGGTTGGAGGGAGGGGGTAAAGGAGGTTTTGTGTGCGAGGGGCTTGGACTTCCAGCAGGCATGCATGAGCGTGTTTGATAGGAGTGAATGGAGACAAATGGTTTTTAATACTTGACGTGCTGTTGGAGTGTGAGCAAAGTAACATTTATGAAGGGGTTCAGTGAAACCGGCAGGCCGGACTTGAGTCCTGGAGATGGGAAGTACAGTGCCTGCACTCTGAAGGAGGGGTGTTAATGTTGCAGTTTAAAAACTGTAGTGTAAAGCACCCTTCTGGCAAGACAGTGATGGAGTGAATGATGGTGAAAGTTTTTCTTTTTCAGGGCCACCCTGCCTTGGTGGGAATCGGCCAGTGTGATAATAATAAAATAATTTTACACTCATTTGGTAGGATGGTAGTACCTCCCTGGGCAGCTGCTGTCTACCAACCTACTACCTACAATGCTTGATTATATACAAGTAATTTAAATCCTGTAACCTACTGCATGTTATATTCATGAAGGACTGTAGTGAATGTGAATACAGTGGACCCCCGCTTTACGATCAGCTCCCAATGCGACCAGTTATGTAAGTGTATTTATGTAAGTGCATTTGTACGTGTATGTTTGGGGTCTGAAATGGACTAATCTAATTCACAGTATTCCTTATGGGAACAAATTCGTTCAGTAATGGCACCTGAACATACTTTTGGAATGAAATAATATCGTAAGCCGGGGTCCACTGTACATGCATCAGATTTGTAAATATTGTTGAGTATGCAAGGTATTTTATATAAACAAGGTTATCTTTCAAAATGTAAAAATTGTATGAAAGTCGAATTGTAAATTTGTGTATTACAACTGTGAGTCACACTTCAACTATTAATATCTAGTGGGGCAAAAATTATTTATGAAATGTTAGAAGAACAGTCAATTCACTAAAAGTTACGAGGTTATTGATCATTATATGGGAGAGTGGTTAGTAGAGCTCCTCCACACGAGTCTCTATAAAGAGTAACTGCCAGTGTCTCTTCACTACTATTAATCTGCATTTACTACAGGTCATCTCAATGAATGAAAACTTAGCCACTCTTTCCATGATTACTGATAAATAGAATCCAAAAGACCAATATACATATAGGGAATCTTTAATTAAACCAGGTAACATTAAAGGTAGTAAAGTGCACACAGTTTACTATCTGCAAATTCAAAAAGGTAAATACAGTGGAACTCTGGATTTCATACATAATCCGTTCCAGAAGGTCAGTCTAAATCTGAAACGTAGGAAAACCGAAGTAATATTTCCCATAAGAAATAATGTAAATACGATTAATCTGTTCCAAACACCCAAAAATACTAAAAAAAAAAAAATACATTTTTTAAGGACTAACTATAGTTTTGCATAGAGAAAACAATGAGAAATAAATATAAAGCACTAATGAAATGGATAAATGAACATTTAAATCACTATTACATACCTATATTGAAGACTCTTGTTGGCATATGATCCACACCAACAACAACTTCTCCACATCTTCGATTGTTTGTGATCTCTGTTTTCTTAACCCCTTTCGCAACTTTAGCTTCCTTGATTTCTACTTTCTTTGCCAGGGCAAGCTCGGCTAAATGTACACCACTTTCATATTTTTCTACAACTTCTTTCTTGGATTCTATTGTGTTTCTCACCTTCTTTACCAAAGGGCTGGCACTAGGAATTTTCTTTGGGCCCATGGTGGCTTATTTCACAATAGCACTCAATAGTTAAGCGAAGTAATGCTCACTTGACCAGTGACAGAGCCAGACTGAGACACTCACGCATGAGTAGCGGCGTCCTGGGCAGGCGGACGCATCTGATATGTATGATTTCTGGGTGGAAGTACGAAATCCAAACCAAAATTTCGCCCCCAAAAAAGTGATCTAAATCTGAAACATACGATATTCGGTGCGTACGAAATCTGGAGTTCCACTGTATTGTAAATATGCACAGCACTACTTCAAAGCCACATTAGGGAAAAATAACAAAGGATCAGGTGAAAACATATGAAATGAGAAGAAATACTCACATATATAGACAGGGATGAATACAATGAACTTAATAGAAAGTTCCACTGTGCTTTTATATCATCAAGGACCAGTACCAGAGATGGAAAGAAGGAACTATCAAGTAGTGAGATGACTTACAAAAATGTTAAGGGTGGCCCGGTGGCCTGGTGGCTAAAGCTCCCGCTTCACACACGGAGGGCCCGGGTTCGATTCCCGGCGGGTGGAAACATTCGACACGTTTCCTTACACCTGTTGTCCTGTTCACCTAGCAGCAAATAGGTACCTGGGTGTTAGTCGACTGGTGTGGGTCGCATCCTGTGGGACAAGATTAAGGACCCCAATGGAAATAAGTTAGACAGTCCTCGATGACGCACTGACTTTCTTGGGTTATCCTGGGTGGCTAACCCTCCGGGTTAAAAACCGAACGAAATTATCTTATTCTTATCCTTGCTGGAACTTACACATTAAGGCACCAGGTCTGGTGCCTGGTGGCTAAGCTCTTCCTGCTTACACTGGCGAGGGTCTGGGTTCGATTCCCAGCCAGGATAGAAACACTGGGCGTGTTTCTTTACACCTGCTGTCTATGTTCACTCATCAGTAAATAGGTACCTGGGTCTTAGTCGATTGGTGTGGGTCGTATCCTGGGACACTGACCTAATTTGCCCAAAATGCTCAGCATAACAAACAGCTTTCTATATAGTAGTATGTCATTGATGTCAGCTAGGCCCGTATACCATGTACATGTACTTGTAGTAAATAAAGACATATTTTTTTTTTTTAACAAGTCGGCCATCTCCCACTGAGGCAGGGTGACCCAAAAAGAAAGAAAATCCCCAAAAAGAAAATACTTTCATCATCATTCAACACTTTCACCTCACTCACACATAATCACTGTTTTTGCAGAGGTCCTCAGAACACAACAGTTTAGAAGCATAAACGTATAAAGATACACAACATATCCCTCTAAAATGCCAATATCCTGAACCCCTCCTTTAGAGTGCAGGCATTGTACTTCCCATTTCCAGGCCTCAAGTCCAGCTATACAAAAATAACCGGTTTTCCTGAATCCCTTCACTAAATATTACCCTGCTCACACTCCAACAGATCGTCAGGTCCCAAATACCACTCGTCTCCATTCACTCCTATCGAACACGCTCATGCATGCCTGTTCGAAGTCCAATCCCCCTCGCCCACAAAACCTCCCTTACCCTTTCTTCCAACCTTTTCGAGGACGACCCCTACCCCGCCTTCCTTCCCCTGCAGGTTTATACGCTCTCCATGTCATTCTACTTTGATCCATTCTCTCTAAATGACCAAACCACCTCAACAACCCCTCTTCTGCCCTCTGACTAATACTTTTATTAACTCCACACCTCCTAATTTCCACAATCCGAATTTACTGCATAATATTTACACCACACATTGCCTTTAGACAGGACATCTCCACTGCCTCCAACCGCCTCTTCGCTGCTGCATTCACAACCCAAGCTTCACAGCCATATAAGAGTGTTGGTACTACTATACTTTCATACATTCCCTTCTTTGCCTCCATAGATAACGTTTTTTGTCTCCGCATATACCTCAACGCACCACTCACCTTTTTTCCTTCATCAATTCTATGATTAACCTCATCCTTCATAAATTATTATTATATATTATTATAAAACCTGATGAAATATCACTAATCCCAAAAGAATTAGCCGAGGTACTATTCAAACTTCTCATGAAAATGTTCAATAAATCATCAGGGACAAGTAAATATCAAGATGATTGAAATGTAGCAATTATACTAATACTGTATTATACAAGAGAGAGACAATAAGCCCTGGATTACAGATTCATATTTATAATAAGTGTGCCAAGCAAGCAAGCTATTAGAGAAGGTTACAAGAAGACTGGTCAAGCATCCAGGAACACAAAATATTCACAGAACAATATCATGGGTTTAGGAATAGCATGCCAAGCCCCACAAACCTCAGAGAGACAGAAGACTGGCCAAGATCAAGTAGGTGAGAAAAGGATGAGAAGACTGTAAGAAGGCCCTTCTGTGCCACACAGAAGGCTTCTTGACAAACTGAAGAAAGATGCTGAGAAGGAAAACTAACATAACTCATGGAATAACTGAATGACTGGATACAAAGAATGACAGTGATATAAGAAATATTAAGATGGGAAGGTGGAGTAACAATAAATAACAAAAAAAAAAAAAAGGCTGGCCAAAACCCTCACTCCCTTTCTTGGTACTTTTCCTCCTGCCCATCTTCGTCATTCTCAAGTCTTCATTGAACGGGTTCGCTCTCTCCTGACCTGTAAGATGCTTAGTCTTGATGTTGAGTCTCTCTTCACCAATGTCTCTCTTGATGATGTCCTTGATTTTCTTAGAGAGAAGGCCAATGAAGGGTTTCCTCATCTCCCTATAACTACTGATGTCTTTCTTGATCTTACCCACCTTTGTGTGGACTCAAATTCCTTTGCCTTCCAAGGTAAATACTGTTCTCAAACCTTCGGTGTTGCTATGGGTTCTCCTTTTTCTCTTGTTCTTGCTAATCTTTACATGGAATACTTTGAGACTGTTCTTCTTCCTACTATTGATGTGCATCCTTCACTCTGGCTCTGCTATATAGATGACATCTTTGCTCTGTGGCCTCATGACTCTAGTCTCTTCCAACCATTTCTTGATGCTCTTAATAACCTTGCCCCTTACATTAAGTTTAAAGCTTCCTTTCCTTGATGTCCATGTCCACTGCTCAGATACAGGTGTTGCCTTTTCCGTTTACCGCAAGCCATTGCACAGTGGCATGTACATTCACTACTTTTCTTAACATGCCTCCTCTGTCAAGAAAAGTGTTCTTATCTCCCTCTTTCTGTGCTCTCTGCATTTGTGATCCTCAGTTCCTTGAATCAGAAATTTCCACTCTATAATTTATTTTCCAGTCTTGGCTACCCCTCCCATTTCAGAGAGACTGCCTTCTCATGTGCTAAATGGAATTTCTTCTCTCCCAAACTCACTACTCCTGAGAACTCTTCTGTCCTCTGCCTTCCCTACATTTCTGGATTTCTAATCTCAATAACTCTCTCCGTTCCTTAGACATCAAACTTACTTTCTGCCAGACTAACACTCTTTGCACTAATCTAGTTCATACCTCTCCTCCCTCTATAGATGCTCCTGGTGTCTACTCTATTTCTTGTTCCTCCTGTCCTCTTCAGTACTTTGGAGAAACTGGCTGATCTCTTTCTGACAGACTTAGGGAGCACAAAAGCAGTGTTAGGCTTGCCGACACCAACAATGCTCTTTTCTGTCACATCAGAGATCAGTCATTCTATTGACTGGTCTTCTGCTAAAACTGTCTACCCTACTCCCGACTTTTACAGTCGCCGTCTGGTTGAATCCTCCCTTATACACAACTTTCCTTGTATGAATCTTACTCCTGGCTTCGTCTCTCCTTTCCCACTACATTGTAAAATGCTCCAAATTTCAGAACACCTGTGACTTAACCTGATTCCTTTTTCTTCTTCTCCCTCTTCCCCTTTTCTCTTTCCTCTTTCTCCTTTGGGTTGTCTTTCTTCTGCCTTGGGTATCTGTTCCTTCATTATTTTTTCCCCCCTCTGTGTTCTTGCTTCTACCCTCTGTGGGCCCCTAGCTCCCTTGCAGTGCTCCTCTTTCTTAGTATTTGACTGGCTCCATCACTACTATCTTCTACCTCCACTACTACTACTACCACCACCTCCTGGCCTATATATACTCCCTCCTTCTCTCTTTTTCATTAGTGTGGCTTTGTAAATGGTCCAAGTCAGACCAAAACATCGTCGTAAGCTCCTCTCTTCTATGCGCAGGTTATTTGTGTAAGGTGGAGTACTTCAGATATCAGTACAAGGCCATATATTTTTCCTTGTGTATATAAATGACTTACCAACAGGGGTAAGCTCCTACATATCCTTGTTTGCAGATAAGTTTAGATTTTATTCATAATTTTAACCCAGAGGGTAAGACATCCAGGATAACTCAACAAAGTTAGGATGCAAGAGACAAAGGATAGCAGAATGCTGCAGAACATGAATAAACTATTATTGTTATTCTTTCTTTCAATGTACCGGCCATATCCCTTTGAAGCAGGGTGGCCTAAAAAGAAAAACAAAAGTTTCTCTGCTTAACTTCAGTAATGTATATAGGAGAAGGGGTTACTAGCCCCTTGTTCCTGGCATTTTAGTTGCATCTTACGACACGCCTGGCTTATAGAGGAAGAACTCTGTTCCACTTCCCCATGGAGAAAAGAGGAAATAAACAAGAACAAGAACTAGTAAGAAAATAGAAGAAAACCCAGAAGGGTGTGTATATATATGCTTGTACATACATGTGTAGTGTGACCTAAGTGTAAGTAGAAGTAGCAAGATGTACCTGAAATCTCGCCTGTTTATGAGATAGAAGAAAGACACCAGCAATCCTACCGTCATGAAAAACAATTATGGGCTTTCATTTTACACTCAACAGTACCTCCCTGGGTGGCTGCTGTCTACCAACCTACTATCTAGGATTATTATTATTACTGTTATTAAATTCATGGGTAAAGGCTCAACCCTTAGGAATTATAAATCACCTAGTGAATGGGTGGTAATCAGATCTGATCCAAGGAAAGGGAAGGAAGAATAGATCTAATTCCCTGGCTTAAAAGCCCCTCACCAACATCAAGGCATCTAATTTAACAGAAGAGATTATAAAAATGTTCAAATATGCGGTTGCCGGAATATAGCCCTAGGAAAAGCATGGTACCGAAGGAGAAATAAGGAAAGGAACCACCAAGGAAGACCTGGGAAAGCTATTGCCCAAAATCTACTTCCTTAAAAAACATAAAACATCGACAGTACATGGATAGATAACATTAAATTTTTTATACAATTTTTATTTGAAGCCAATACTACCTGAAAGGCTGGGTCTTCCTCATCACTGCTATTCCATACCAAAAATTCAAGAAGATAATCTGGAGATGTCTGAAAATAAGGATAATTTATGAACAATATTTTAAGTAATGAAACATTAAATATGGCAAATGGACATTAATTCCGAAATTAACTTTCAAGCAAAATAATTAGCAAACAGAAAAACATTTTTTTTACATGCTGGCTATCTCCCACCAAAGCAGGTGACGTCCCCCACCCAAAAAAAGAGATTTTCACTATCAGTCACACATATCACAGGCCAGGTTGTAGCAGCAGCCCTCCAAACTTCTTTGAAGGAAAGACAGCCACATTGAGAAGTGCAATGATGGGTTTCTCACATTCCACTGATCCAATCCACAAAAAATATACTTATGTAAAAAGCATTAGTTTATTCTTTGATGTCACCAAAAGTAAAGTTTTAATTTACTACCACATATACCTACACTCAAATAATAAAAAGAAGACTGCAGCAAATCACCTGATGCACTCTTGACACTAAACCTTATGATACGAAGCTGATTTGCCTGAAATGCACTGCATAATAGCCTTCTCTTGTGCCTACAAATGTTTTTTTCACATAAACTTCATTATTTGTGTACCACAAAGAAATAAATATTTGTATTTGTATCTGACTGCACTTTTTATAGCTTTTAAACTATTCAGTGCTAAACATACACTGTTGTGAAGGCTCTCCTTCCTTCTCACACAGTTTTATAGTACACTATAGGGCTTTGTGTCTTAGTGTCCAAGCACTAGCAGGGTCCCTTTCCTTGTTCTCCCCTCAATCCACACATTCAGCAACATTCCTATCTTGTTTGGCTGTGTTTGACATTCTTATTTATGATGTCACAGTCTGAACAAGCTCTTATTTTCTTCTGACTGCTTCTAACTGTATAGATGGCAGATTTTCTCATGCCAAAAGTTCAGGCAGTTTGCACCATAATCACAACTTTGTAACATAGTATCTTAAATTTCTACTTTTTTAATACCCTCAAAACCCCATGCTTATTCTTCTTGGCACTTCCAGCAACACAAGTATGCCTCTTGGCTGCTATGGTTAAAACCCAGAGACAAGATGGGGTAACAAGGCACAAAATATTTTCATAAACACATACCAATTAAGGCAAGTGATGCTTCCCGAAAGCAACTGAAGCAATGTGGCTCAGGGATGAAACTGAGCTTCTCCAGATACTTAACCCTCAGGCCTAACTTGGTTGGAAAAAAAAAATCCACAGCATGGACTACCAAGATCTTGCAGATAACTTGATGCTTCCACACTTTTCGGAGCATATTATAAAGGCTTTTTTAAGCACTAATGCAAATAAGATGCACTTTTTCCATTGTGTTTAAATAGAATTGTCTTATGTAGTATCACTCTGAAAAGGGGTTTACTATGTTCTCAGATTCTGAATTTTTGGAGACTCTAGGAATGTAAGCCTTGCAAATCTGGGGGTTTAACTGTAATCCTAAACCCCAAGGACAACTACAGTATGCAAAAATCTCTCAAGTACAGCTATAACAGAGATAAATGTATACAATTCTTTATCGCAAATACTACACAAGATAAACATTACGGGAGAATAATTAAGGAATATTACTTACTTTAGTTATTATTTGCAGGATTTTATTATTTTCTAATACGACTTTTACATTTTTATTGGCAGCTTCTATGACAGCTGTGTATTCAATATTATATGACCAGTCAAACCATGTAAGCTGAAAATAAATACAATTGCATTAATGTTCACTCTGATAAAAATGTTAAGTTTTTTTTTTGTATTATTTAATCATCATGAACAAGTGATGCATGTGTGAATCTGTATTTTTTTTTTTTTTTCAACAAGTCGGCCGTCTCCCACCGAGGCAGGGTGACCCAAAAAAGAAAGAAAATCCCCAAAAAGAAAATACTTTCATCATCATTCAACACTTTCACCACACTCACACATTATCACTGTTTTTGCAGAGGTGCTCAGAATACAACAGTTTAGAAGCATATACATATAAAGATACACAACATATCCTCCAAACTGCCAATATCCCAAACCCCTCCTTTAAAGTGCAGGCATTGTACTTCCCATTTCCAGGACTCAAGTCCGACTATATGAAAATAACTGGTTTCCCTGAATCTCTTCACTAAATATAACCCTGCTCACACTCCAACAGATCGTCAGGTCCCAAGTACCATTCGTCTCCATTCACTCCCTCTATCACAGCTCACGCACGCTTGCTGGATCTGTATGTTCAATAATAAAAATTTTGCTACTCAAGAGAAGACAAAAACCTAACTTATGAAGAAGCTACACTTCAGAGGTTCCAACTTACAATCTGAAACACAGTACTTATTATCCTGTAGAAAACAATAGTTCGGTATGTCATCTACTAACAAGTGTGATACAATGACGAAAATCTTATGCAACTTTAGTGTTTGTAACCTGAAACCATTTTTTTTTTCATAGAAACCCATGTTGTAAATCTAGATTTAACAACAATAACCCATATTTAATTTTATGTGTATATTTTTTACCAATGAAAGTGAAAACAGTATACCATACTGTACTCATTTAAGATAGGCTCCTATATCTTTCTTTTCCTTATCAGACAAAACCTACTTCATGCTGTTTGGAAACAGAGCTTTAAATATCCAATTTAACATACAGAGTAATAGATCCCCCATTGCAAGACACACTGAAGGCAAATTTTTAGGTCCACACCTTGACTGCAACCTTAAATTTCAGACCCACATCCAACATATATCCAAGAAAGTATCCAAAACAGTAGGCATACTTTCCAATATATGGTACTATGTGCCCCAAATGGCACTGCTTACATTGTACCACTCTAATCTGCCCTTACCTCACCTATGGTATTTGTACTTGGGGATCAACAACAACCAGTCACCTTAAACCATTAACAACCCAACAAAAAGCTGCTGTGCAGATGATTACCAACTCCTGCACCAGACAACACACCCTACTGCTCTTCAAGAGCTTGAACTTACTTAATATATAAAATATACACTCATATTATTGTGGCTACTATATATACAGAACATTAAACTCTAATATAAATCCTCCGCTCAAACTTCTCTTTGATAGCTACAACAGAACACACAGGCATAATGCAAGGCACAAAACACTCTCTGACAACCCTCATGTCTGTCTCACACTATGCAAAAACGTAATACATATAAAGAGCCCTAAGATCTGGAATTCACTGCCCGAACCAGCAAAAGGTCCCCTGCCTGCAAATCAATTTAGGGCTATACATAAAAATTATGTCATCTCCAAAGATTAACCATATATTCAACCACCATTTTCAAAACTACCGTTAAAAAATATCTCCCTAACACACCCCACCTATACTATAACTCATTTCATGCACATATCCAAAACAAAATAAGACTTACTCTCAATATCTATGATTCAACCTAATTTACACTTACACTCACCCAAATTCCGAATATAGCTATTGCCTAATAAATCTATTAAAACTCCAATATAGGAGCTCTAACAGAAACTGTGTATCATGCCAAGACAAAACCATTCTCACTACTAAATTTCGTCCTCGAAAAGGTTGGAAGGAAGGGGTAAGGGAGGTTCTGTGGGCGAGGGGTTTGGACTTCCAGCAGGCGTGTGTGAGCGTGTTAGATAGGAGTGAATGGAGACGAATGGTATTTGGGACCTGACGATCTGTTGGAGTGTGAGCAGGGTAATATTTAGTGAAGGGATTCAGGGAAACCGGTTATTTTTATATAGCCGGACTTGAGTCCTGGAAATGGGAAGTACAGTGCCTGCACTCTAAAGGAGGGGTTCAGGATATTGGCAGTTTAGAGGGATATGTTGTGTATCTTTATACGTACGTATACGCTTCTAAGCTGTTGTGTTCTGAGTGCCTCTGCAAAAACAGTGATTATATGTGAGTGAGGTGAAAGAGTTGAATGATGATGAAAGTATTTTCTTTTTGGGGATTTTCTTTCTTTTTGGGTCACCCTGCCTCGGTGGGAGACAGCCAACTTGTTAAAAAAAAAAAAAATTGAACTACCTCACTATTGTAAATCTATTTAATCCCTACAGTTACCTAACTTTAATATCAGTATGCTCCATAACCTGTGTCAATATAGAGTAAGAATTAGTTTTAGTCTGCCCGAAATGTCTAGGCATCCTAGTGGCCTTCTTTGTAATTCATACTGTATAATTCATATTTTATATGTGAACCACAAATTGTAATTAACCCGGTCCAAACGTATATATACGTTTTTACCGCTAGTGCCCCAAACGTATATTTACATTTTATGTGTCCTACATTTAACATTGCCACGATAAGCCTGAGTCACCTAAACATGTGAGAATGGGTGTAAGCACTCATTGTGCACCATATTAAAATAATTGGGGATGCATGGGTACCATATGCTCTTTTTTCCTATTAAAAAACAACAATGTTTTTTTTTCTCAAAAAAGTTGGGGCAGTACGGTAGTGAACGTATATATACATTTGGACCGTTTACGGGTTAATATTCTATAATATGTAAACCCCACATTGCAATCTTTACAGAGAAATAAACATTTCAATTTCAACACCAACACTATGCTCAATCATTCAACCAGTTTGAAACGACTCAAAAAATCCCGAAACATTTACTACTGCTGGATCAATTTAAAACATTATGCATACTTAAAAATGTACTGTTGTAGCACTGTAAACTGTACTAATTGTAATACTGTTATTTGTTTTGTGCTACCTCACTAATATAAATCATATTAATTAAAAAATTATTTGGCTACCTCACTTTAGTAATAAGGTGAAGTAATGAATAATTAATATATAGCACCCTGTAACCCATGTCTAGTTTTAAGTAGTCTGTAAGCATTAGTATTAGTCTGCCCGAAATGTCCCAGCATGGTAGTGGCTTTCTTTGTACTTTTTTTTTCTTAACACGTTGACCATCTCCCACTGAGGTAGAGTGACCCAAAAAAAGAAAGAAACATTTTCACCATCATTCACACATAATCACTGTCTTTTCAAAGGCCCTCAGTTACGACAGTTCAGATGTCACTCCAAACAGCAAATATCCAAAACCCCTCCTTTAAAGTGCAAGCACTCTACTTCCCACCTCCAGGACTCAAGTCCAGCTAAATGGTTTCTCTGAATCCCTTCACAAAATACAGTGGACCCTCACTTAACGATCACCTCCCAATGCGACCAATTATGTAAGTGTATTTATGTAAGTGCGTTTGTACGTGTATGTTTGGGGGTCTGAAATGGACTAATCTACTTCACAATATTCCTTATGGGAACAAATTCGGTCAGTATTGGCACCTGAACATACTTCTGGAATGAAAAAATATCGTTAACCGGGGGTCCACTGTATTACCCTGCCCACACTCTAACAGCTTTATAAAATGTAAATAAATTACACATTGTTACCTTCGCCAAGAAATAAATTTCTGCTTGTTTTTACCTGAGGCTTACCGAAATGTTATTCTTTTCTTAATTCACAAAATTACTGCCACCCTGTCAACCACTATCTCATTCATTAATTCATTTGCTTTCTTTTACCCAATGATGCAGTTCTCCATATACTCCATCTGCCTCTTACTCTTATTCTAAATTTAAAATAAAATATTAACTACTGTACTGTGTAAAATACTGAATTAATAACATACAATATATTATTAACAGTATAATCTCACATTACTTCTGCCAATGAAGTTTTGCCAGGCTTGATCAGAAGTGACATGGAATAAAGCTGCAGCTCGGTGAGTATCGTAACCACCATATAACTCCAGAGTACCAATGAAGGGTTGCTCCTGCTTGTAATCCACCTCAAGGAGGAATGCTGCAACTGCTTGTCCCACAGTGCTACTCATCTATAAACCAACAAATGCCTAGGTGTTATGGTCCTTGTACTCCACACAACCGGAGCAAACTAATACACAGAAAACAGCACTGATAATCACATTTTATTTGGACTTTTTACAAATTCATATATTTTATTTTAAATTCACAATTATAAAATTCAGATTTTTATTCAAATACGAGAATTTTTTTAAAATTTTGATTAAGAATCTAGATATGATGAAAAAATGCAGCAATTTTAGTTAACAACATGCTTTAAAAAAATTTAAATGGTCAATGTATATGAAACAAAATTACATATAAATCAACTATGACTATTATCTATGTTAGGATACTAAAACACCAAAATTAAACATAATTATTCACTCACTCTCAGGCTAAAGGAGGAAAATGAATTGGGAAACACCTTCATTGAATGGCAACTAGGTTGTAGTAAGTACATGGTAATTAGTAAACCTGCTTCTAATTATATGACAACACTCATATTTGTTAACAATGAATTCATAACACCACCAACTAGGCTTTATAAACTTGAAGTTGCAACAATCATTTACTTGAGGAATAATAAGACCAAGGCAAGAGTCCGTCATGTATATATGTACAGTATTAATGTGTAGAATGTACGAGGGACCAAGACATGGTGAAACTATTTAAGATAAAGAGCAACCCTCCCTTTCTACTCCATTTCTCTTCCCTCTCACTCCACCCTTCCTAACTCTTTCACTCTCTTTACATATGTAAATGAGACATGGCCTTTCCCTTCCTTAGGAAATTTGCCAAAAAACAAAAATTTTCACCACTCTGAGGCCTATTTCAGGCCATTCCCAATCTGAAACTAATCCAGATTAACTCTATTTCACTAGTATATCTTCTGGTCTATCAAATGACACCAAGAAACTGCCAATGATACCATAAAACCACCCTAGAAAACACCTCAAAGTTGCTATTTTAACCCAAACACAAAAGTGAGAGGTTAGCTGCTACCATCATGCACTGCACGAGGCAGGAATTTTTTAGACACTGTGCGCATCTACTTGCATAGACCCATTCTCTCATGTCTAAACTAAAATACCACTCACAGCATATTTGAGGGCACTATTATTAAGGCATATATAGAGATCCTCCCCAACTTATGTCCGAGTTCTGTTCCGACTGACCGGTCGGATCTTTAAATGGATTTATGTCAGAATTATGTTAGCATGGTATGTAAAAGTCGTATACTTGTACAACATTCCTTTAACCTAATAAATTTCTGTCACGATTATCTCTTTTTTTTTATCAACCTGCTTTATTATCTCAAGTTTCATTACTCAAAACTTGATGTTCCTTACTTGTAGTATCATTCATAGGCTTCAAAAATAAAAATGCTGTAAGGAATGTAGACTAAGCTAGGCCTATGAATTTTCTTGTTGCTCATTATTTCAACATTGTTTGTTACCTTCTTAGTCTTTTTATTATTTTAACACACACACTGTACAGTAAGTATAAAGCCTCTCCTCACTTAGCGACGTACTTATTTACCGACGACTCGGACTTATGATGGGCTCTCTGACCAGTATGCATATCTAAATAATGTATATTAGAGCTGATTTCATCTACTCTGTTTATTACAATATACAGTACACTACTGTATAAACACAGAAAAATACTAAAAATGTTATAAATGGTGCAAAGGTGACATTAAAACAATATCAAAGATGGTCGACACAAACCCACTATCATTACAGTATGCTCCTTGCTTAGCAACAAATTCATTTACTGACGTGGTCTTAGAAACGGAGCTCTGTTGTTAAGTAAGGAGAGGCTGTATTTATCATTCTTTACTTTCTATTTTATCATTTTAAAAATACCATTTTTTAGTTTCTAATTTAAAGTGTATTTTTTTAGTCTTATGTGCGGATGGATGTAAGGTGCATAATAATATAATATTTTTATTTCTACAAGTACATGTACAAGGTATACAGGCCTACCTGATACCAATGACAAGCCGCAAATTAGGTCAGTTTTGTCCCAGAATGTGACCCACACCAGTCGATTAACACCCAGGTACCCATTTCATATTGATGGGTGAACATTGACAACTGGTGTAAGGAAACACACCCAATGTTTCAACCTTTGATGGGAATTGATCCCAGACCCTCACCATGTGAAGCAAGAGCTTTTGTAGTATGTCACTGATGTCAGGGAAGATCTGTATAAGTAAGCACCACTGGCCTGAAAAATGTGTACAGTTGTACCTTGACTTATGAGTTTAATTTGCTCTGTGACCGAGCTCATAACTCAATATGCTTGTATATCAAATCAATTTTCCTCACTGAAATTAACTGAAATGCCATTAATCCGTTCCAGCCCAAAAAAAACCACCCCAGGGGCAGGAGAAAATACTTCAATATAACACTAATATCAACTCTACGGCTTATTTATCTATCAGAATTGATCCAATATGACATAATAAACACTACAAGTAACACAGAAACATGATATGTACTCTAGAATGAATAAAATAGTCCATAATATGGCAAATGTCCAGAACTCAGTCTGAGCATATAAAATCATTACTGCTCCTTTCTATAATGTGTTCTTTGGTCCTGGGTAAGAGAAAATGCAGTTTTTGAGAGGCTAACTGCACTAGATCACTAGTGCAAGATAAGATAAGATAAGATAAGATAAGATTTCGTTCGGATTTTTAACCCCAGAGGGTTAGCCACCCAGGATAACCCAAGAAAGTCAGTGCGTCATCGAGGACTGTCTAACTTATTTCCATTGGGGTCCTTAATCTTGTCCCCCAGGATGCGACCCACATCAGTCGACTAACACCCAGGTACCTATTTGCTGCTAGGTGAACAGGACAACAGGTGTAAGGAAACGTGTCGAAATGTTTCCACCCGCCGGGAATCGAAACCGGGCCCTCCGTGTGTGAAGCGGGAGCTTTAGCCACCGGGCCACTAGGGAAGTGGACCAATCCCGGAGGTACTGCAATACCGGGCCGATCCGCGGCAAAGGTGGAGCAAGCCCCTAGCACTGCAGTGATGTATGAATATCTCGGAAGTAAGTTATTGCCTTATTTCATGAAGCCCACCATTTATTATTGAAGTAAATGCAATAATATTGACAGGAATCATAAAAAAGTGATTGTTCTACAATTGGCTTGTGAAATATTGTAAATATTCCAAATATTTTGGGATCTGTTTGGGAGTAAAGGGCAAAATATTTTGCAAATGTCAAAAATTTAGCAACTTTATTTTTTTGTAGAATAACTAAAGATAATTACATGATTACCTCCAGTGAGAACATTGTGCTAGCATTGTTTTATAAGTACCAAGTCCTAAAATCACCTTTTGTTGTGCCATTTAGGCTGGGGTTCTTGCCAAATATCATTTTCAGTAAATACTTTTTTTTCCACTCGTAACTTGGATTTTGGCTCGCAACTCAAAACAAAAAATTGACCGAGCAACGGCTCATAACTAGGAAAACTCGTAAGTTGGTGCACTCATAAGTCAAGGTACCACTGTATATATGGGAGAGAGTGAATGAGCTAAAAGATTCTGTCCCAGGTGATTTGCTTACATTTTATTTAGCATCACCAAGAATTGTAATGTAATAAATTAGTAATTATGATCATTTTATGAGTCAGATACAGACTTTCAAAGAACCTAATGGTCTGGAGACGTCTTTATTTAATTCAACTGTTAATATTAAACTGAAAGCTGGGTTAATTGGAATTCCTTAGGGAGAAATTTGTACACGTATCTCTAAATTCTCCATGGGGAAGTGGAACAGAATTCTTCCTCTGTAAGCCATGCATGTCGTAAGAGGCGACTAAAATGCCAGGAACAAGGGACTAGTAACCCCTTATCCTGTATACATTACTAAAGTTGAAAAGAGAAATATTTGTTTTTCTTTTTGGGCCACCCTGCTTCAGTGGGACATGGCCGGTTTGTTGAAAAAATAAAGAAAGATCTCTAAATTGGCAAATTATTTTTGGAATAGCTTCTTGAACTACAGTCAGATTCTTTGCCAACTGAATAGAAATAGGGGGTAAGATTTTAAATTTTAGCAATTTTTTAAAATTTAACACCTCAGCACATGTTTAGTAAAAATAAGAGATGCCACATTTCAAAATTTAGTGTTTGCTTCTAATGCATGACATGATCATACACAGTACATTTCTAAGATGAGTATATTTTTCTAAAATATATGCAAAAACAATTGTACTTTCCTATTTAGCAATAAAAAAATTTGCAATACATCACTTACCCTAACGACAGCATGATCAGGTTCACTGAAGTCAATGTTGTGCCCAAATTCTATTTCATAGTCATTTAAATGGAAGTGTAATCCAGCAAGTAGATGCAATGGTTCTCTCTCCAAGAGATAAGTTATCAAAAATTTGGACTGGATCACTGTATCAAACATGATATCTGCTTCAACATGGAAGGCATTCTTTGTTTCCTAAAAAAATGGGTTATAAATATATAGATTAATAATTAATTAAACACATGTACTTATCATGGTGAGTTCTACCATTGTTATTTATATCAGTAAAAATGAAGACAGACACTTAAGCAACATATGGGAATCTTTATTAAGAAAATGTTTCGCCACACTGTGTAGTGAAACGTTTTTCAAAACCTTTTATCATATCAGTAAAAATGTTTATATTGCATTACATACTGTTGTGATACACTCAGAAAGCTTCAGGAGCAAAAGGACTTGGCAACTACAAGTAAAAGTGGTAACATCATTAAGAATGGGAAATTGAACTAATAAACAGATATGAATAATATTTAGAGTTGCTAAAAGTCAATAATGAGAGGGAGGCTTTGATCTCATGCATTGGGCATGGAGGAATAAAATCAATTAGGAGTAGGGAAAAGTCAGAAGCGAGTGTAGAGGAGATGGGTAGGCTGAAAAGGAGGTAGGATTGTAAAGGACAAAGGCAGAATCAGGAAGCATGGGTTGTGTGTTCAAAGTACAGTATTTGTACCAAAGCACAGAAGTAAGCAATTCTTTGATAAGGGTAAAGAGTTATTTATTGTATTTAGGAATTTAGAAATAGCATAAGATAGGGTGAATAGGGAAATGATACGCCACTTTTTGCAAATGTATAGAGTAGGTGGTATTTTGCTAAAAGCTGTAAAGAGATTTCACGAGACGACTGAGGATTGGTCTATTTTAAGTAGGAAAGAAGGTAAGTATTTTCTAGTAAAGTAGCCCTTAGAGAAGAATGAGTGATGCCACCATAGTTATTTAACCCTTAAACTGTCCAAACGTAGATATACGTTTTTTCAACATTTGAAAGTATGTAAAAAAATGTAGATCTTCTTTTTGTTTTTTTTACATTTGAAAACGTGTAAAAAAACTTTGATCTAAGTTTTTTTTTTTGTTATATTTGAAAATGTGTAAAAAAACGTAGATCTACTTTTGGAGCACTACGCATGTGAACATAGATCTGTTTGGACAGTTTAAGGGTTAATATAATCATTGATGGGGTTGTAAAGTGAAGTGAATCTTGTGGAGTCTGAGATGGTGTGCAAAAGAAGTCACAAGAGAACATAGAAAAGAGAAAGATGAGAACAAGAAGCCTAGCAATGAAAAACTGGAAGCTTGATTTGAATGAAGATGTAGGGAGGAAGGGAATACATTTAGATACTTTCAAGTGGATGTGTCATCAGATAGATCTAAGAAAGACTAGATAAAAAGGTAGCTGAAGTGTTAAGGAGACAGTGGACAGAATAAAGTTCATAAACAGGTGCAAGAAAGGGAAATTTACACCAGTACTGGAGTGCTGACATATTGTATAGGAAACTGAAGGCAGTGGAGACACTGTGCTTGAGCTCATGTGGTATGAATATTATGCCGAGTATAAGGTGAGCAGAAATTAGAAGACAGTGTGATGGTGTGAAAGATAGTGGCTGCAATAGGGTGTATTAATCTGAGGTGGATGGAAGGTGCAGAGAATGTTCCTGGAAGGGCTGAAGAAAGGTGAATGTTTATAGTGATAGGGACCTGAGCATTCAGCATGCATGCATATAATGTGCTTGATCATAGTGAGGAGGCAAGTGGTTTTAGGATTTGACATGCTATGAACAAAATAACAATTATGAAAAGATTCAGGGAAGCTATTTAGTTGGACTTGGGTTCTGGAGAAAGTAGGTACAGTGCCTGTAATCTGAAGGATGGGTGGAGGTGCTACAGCTTAGTGGATCATTTAAACTTTCATGTTTGAGTGATGGTTAATGTTTCTCTTTTTGAGGAAAGATGCCCTAATTTAGTGGGAAATGGATGATGCATTAGAAGATATACCTATATATTAGTTTTTTTTTTTTCTCTTTTACACAGTGGATGAATACTACTTTCAAATTATTCTAATTCTAATATAGAAACTATGTATTGTGCCAAAACAAAAGCATTCACATTGCTAGACTCACAAACTAGTATTTGTCACTTAGTATTTAGTCACTTAGTATTTAGTCAACTTACTCCACAATTTGTTATAATTTAGGGTTAAGAATTAAGTTTGCCCGAAATGCCTAGCCATGCTAGGTGTTCTAGTGGCCCCCTCTGTAATTAGTATTTTACTACATGTAAACCACACAATAACCAAAATCTGTAAACCCTGCATTGTAATCCTTATAGAGAATAAACTTTGATTTGATTTGATATTGATATTTTAATCTTTATTTTTTTTTTTTTGCCAAAACCAAGTTGCTTATATGTACGTTTGACTCTCGGTTATCGGCTGTAATCCATTCCAGAAGGTCGGTCTAAAACCAAAATGGCTTAAAACCAAAATAATATTTCCCATGAGAATTTATTTAAATACAATTAATCTGTTCCAAACACCCAAAAATATTCAGAGAAAATACATTTTTTTAAAGATTAATTACAGTTTTACATAGATAAAACAATGAGAACTAAAAATAAATAAATGAACATTTAAATCACTATTACATACCTTTATTGAAGACTCTTGTTGGCTTATGGAAGACAGGGAGGAGGAGAGGAAGAAGACTGATTATTGTTTGGAAGGGGAATCCCCCTCCATAAGGACTTCAAGTATCAAAGCCCTCTCTGGGGTTACTTCACTCCCTGCCTGCTACACCCCCTGCATGCCTGCTACACTCTCTGCCTTCCTCCTACACTCCCTGCTACACCCTGCCTCCCTACTACACTCCCTGCCTGCCTGCTACACTCCCTCCCTCCATGCTACACTCCTTGCATGCCTGCTGCACTCCCTGCCTTCCTCCTACACTCCCTGCTACACCCTGCCTCCCTATTACACTCCCTGCCTGCCTGCTAAACTCCCTTTCACAACATTAGCTTCCTTGATGTTTGGATGAATGAGTGTAAGTGTCCTCACTCTCCTAGAGGCACAGCCAGACTGACTCACAAACACGCGAGCGGCTGGCAGGCAGGCGGGTTGACACGTCCCATACGGCCAATAAGCGAAATAACAGCCAATAACCGGAAGCCAAAAAACGGCTGCTAAGCGTAAAGGCCGATAACCGAGGGTCCACTGTATAAATAATACATACTGTATGTATATACCCAATAATCACAGAGCTGCCTGATAAAAGAGTTACAATCTGCCCTCAGAAAGAAAATGAGTTTTGAGTTGCAATGAAAAATCTTAGATATGATAGGCATTTGTGATTTTATTATGCCAACTTCTGTGTTACCAAGTCATCAGTAAACAGAATTTCTCCGAAGATCAAACAAGAAATTGTGAAAAAATATGATGCAAGAGTTTAAATTAATGTACTGGTGCATGAGTATGGTTTTCCACAATCAGCTAAAAAAAAAAAATGCTATGAAGGATATTACAGTGGATAACAAGTCTTAGCATGTGAGAAAAAGGCATATAAATTGTTATAGAGATGGAAAGACTGATGTTATTGTGGATGAGAAAAACAGATAAAGGGAGACAGAGTGCCTGCAAGTTATGTCGGTGAGTGTGGAAGTCCAAGGTACAGTAAAAGTTGCACTTCTGGGGTCCAGGAACAAATTGCCATACAACCATGCATACTGGAGTTTGAGTTATGATAGTTTTGAAATATGATACGTCTTCTGGACTGGATTAATGTCAGAGCTCAAAAGACCACTGTAGTTACAGAATTAAACAAAAACTGGCAGTGAATATAGGTGTCTAATATACTAACAACAAAAAATTAAAATCCTGCCCAGTGTTTAATAATATGCTGCACATACCTTATAGATAACTTGACCAAGGTAATTCATATCCAGTTGCGAACTTGAAAAACTCACTGTCAGCTGACAGTCCTTATCATCCCCTTCCATTATCTTCTTCATTATTATTTCAGAAGCTATCTGGGAAAATGGATATGACAAATACAGAATGCTGTGAAGTTTTTAGAAAACAAAATTACTGCAGAATGATATTCATAACCTTTTCATTTACATACCACTGCACTACAGGAATCATTTCATGCAAATTTAAGGCAAGGCAATACTGTATGTGTAATTTTAAAATGTTAATTTGGAAGGCAAATGTGACCATATGTGCAGAATAATTTTTCTTTGCATAATTTTTTTTTAACACGTCGGCTGTTTCCCACCAAGGCAGGGTGACCCAAAAAGAAAGAAAAATCCAAAAAGAAAGAAAAAACTTTCATCCTCATTCAACACTTTCACCATCACCAATACACAATCACTGTCTTTGCAGAGGCGCTCAGATACGACAGCTTAGACATCCCTCCAAACTGCCAATATCCTTAACCCTTCCTTTAAAGTGCAGGCATTGTACTTCCCACCTCCAGAACTCAAGTCCAGCTAACCGGTTTCCATGAATCCTTTCACAAAATATTACCCTGCTCATAACTCCAACAGCTCATAGGGCCCCCCAAAACCCATTCGTTCTCCATTCACTCCCCAAACTAACAAAACCCCAATGTGCCTGCTGCATATCCAGGCCCCTTGCACACAAAACCTCTTTTACCCCCTCCCTCCATCCTTTCCTAGGACGACCCCATTTTTGAAAATTTTCTAGGGGGGATAAACCCTTTTTGTACCTCAACATTATATACATACAAGTAATCTCATTGGGAACAACCCCTATATTGTTTACGAGTCACCCCGGTAGATATGTGAGAAAACTTCCCAACCGGTCATGGGGTGGCTTCGACCTCACAATCTTATCCAATCTATCGGGCCAGTATAGATTGGATAGCCCCACAGTACGGCGCTACTAATTAATTGTGGATGTATAGATTATTTAGTGTAACTGAATGAAGGGGGGGGGGGTAGGTTACACATGGATATTCCATTTTAAAGAAAAACATTTGTTATAATCCCACCACTTACCAGATATTCTTGGGGTCACTTGATTAGCTGGATCACCCATAACCTATCCAATTCAATACTAATGGTCAGTATCGTCTGCTATAACTAGAAGAGTTTACTTCTGGGGTGATTTTATATTCTTATTTCTCCATTTTACCATCTCATTCGATGTCCTGCTACCCGACATGGTTTTTTATTCCAACAGGATGAGGTATCCGTTTGGGTTTCCCGGTTTTAGAGTCGTGATCAATGAACTTCACTTTCCCGTGACGGGAACAACGTTTGGGCTAGCGTGTTCACCCGGGGCAAGGCGACTTATTTTCACTTTACTTTCTCTTAAACTTAGCGTTATTATCATTAATTCATTACAATTCACAAGACGAAATTTAATGTTCATAATTTTTATAACATTAGAGATCACTCCATTAAGATTGGACGATGAGTATGATTAAACAGGGTAATTTTCCCGGGACACAGTCCATGGCGACGGGGCGTCACCGGGTCCTCCCTTTTTCACTCATTTTACCACTCTATTACGATGGTCTCGTAAAATTTGTTCCTCACTCTCCACCAGGGAACAGTTACGATTTTCTATTATGAAATGAGGCTATTTATTTCCCTTTGGCGCCGTGAACGCCAATTTCCTGGTTCCTGCTTTCCGCCTCCTATACATTCAAAACACTCCCCCTTCCATGCCCCGAGTCGACCTCTACCCCCGCAATCCGCGCTTTGGGAAAGGGAACTCTTTGGGTTTTATCTTTGGTCAATTTCATTTTTTGACTCTATCGACACATTAAACACCTATTAGGACTATAGCTTCAGAAAATTAAAATATTTTCCAAAGGGGGGGGTTTTGGGGGGGTTTTTTGCTTAATAAGGGGGGTTTTTTTTTTGGGGTGGTTGGGGGGTAAATTGGGGTTTTTTTTTTTTTTTTGTTAATCCTAGGTGGGTTAAAACAATGTTGTTTTGGGTTTAAAAATTTTTTTGAGGGGGTTTAATGTTATTTGGGGTTATTTGTTTGGGTAGGAAAAATTTTGGGTTTTTAAAAAAAAAGTTTTTAGTTAAATGGGGGTTAGAAAGGTTTTTTGGAATTTTTTTTATTTGGTTTTGTTATTTTAGGGGTTAAGATGCCCCTTGTTAATTTTTTGGGTTGGTTTTTTTAAAAATTTTGTTAAAAAGGTTATGGTTTTTTTTTTTAAAAAAAATTTTGTTTTTTTTTTAATTCCCGGGGTTGGGAAAAGTTTTTAAAAATTTTTTAGGGTTTTTTAAGGTGGTTTTTTTTTTTGGTAAAAATTTTTTTTTTAAATGGTTTTTTTTAAAAAAGGGGGGTTTTTGGGTTTTAGGGTTGGGTGGGTTTTTTTTCGTTCCTTTTGTGATTTTGGGGGGGTTTCCCGGAAGTAAAAAATTTTGGTTTTTTTTTTGGTTTTTTGGTTTTTTTTTTAAAATTTTTTTTTTTTTAAATTTTTGGTTTTTTGTGGGTTTAAATTTTGGGGGTTTTTTTGGGTTTTTTTAGTTAAAAAAGGGGGTGTTTCATTTAGGGTTTTTTTTGGGGGTGTTCCCCCTATTTAAAGGCCCGTAAGGGTTGGGAATGGGGGGGGGTTTTTGGGGGTTTATCCCACCCGTTTAATCCACCAAAAACCCGGAAGGGCAAAGTGGCCATCATTTTCTTCTCCAACCCAACAGGGGTTTAATAATTTTTTTTTTTGAATTTTTTAAAAAATCAAATTTTCCCCGGGTTTTTTCCCTTTTTTATTTTTTTCCCTTTTAAATTTTCAATAATTTTTTTAAAAACAAAAGGGTTTCTGTTCTTTAAACAAAAATTTTTAATTTTATTTTTCAATTTTTTAAAAATTCTAAAGGGAAAAACTTATTTTCCCCTCATTTAATGGGTTTTACAAATTTTTTTAAAAGTTGGGAAAACCGTCCCCCTTTTTTCCCCCTTTTTACCCTCTTAAATTTTAAATTTTCCCTTAAAAAAATTTTTTTTTTTTTTTTCCTTAAATTTTGGCCGGGAATTTTTTTCCCCCCCTTTCCTTTTAACCCGTCTTTGGGGGGAAAAACCCCGCAAAAAAGGGTTTTCCCCTTTTTTTTTTTTTTTAAATTTGACAATTTTTAATTTTTTAAAATTTTTTTTTTTCCAAACCCCTGGGGTTTTCCAAACAAATTCTTTTTCCCTTTTTCCCCCCCCCCAACCCCAAAAATTTTCCAAAAAAAAATTTTCTTTTTGGGGCCCCGGGGTTTTAACCCCAAAATTTTTTAAAAATTTTTTTTTTTTAAAAAAAACCGGGTTTTTGTTTTTAATTTAATTAAAAAACAAACTTTATTCCAAAAAAACAAAAATTTCCCCTTTCCAGCCTTAAAAAAACCAAAAAAACCCCCCCCCCCCCTTTTTTTTATTTTTTAATTATTAGGGTTAAAAAAGTTCTTTTTCCCCCCAAAAAAAAGTTTCCTTTTTTTTAAACCTTATATTTTTTCCCTAACCCCAAAATTTTTTTTCCCCCCCTTTTTAACTTTTCCCCCCCCCCTTTTTTTTTTTAAATTTTTAAATTTTTTTTTCCTTTTAAACCCCCCTTTAACCCAAAATTTTAAAAGTTCTCCTCTTTCCCTTGCCTGACCTCTTATTAACTGGGTTACCCTTACTGAGGTCTTATTCCTCTTACCTTGATGTGAGGAACCACTATTACTGATTCCTGACTTGATATGTGCTTATTTAACTCTTAACTATGATTATTACCACTGGGATTATTTTTCCCTTTTGAGACTTGACAGATACTTCAGAGTCATTATGTGTTATATCCTTAGAACTGTTTGGCTGACTGGTCTGCAATTGAACAATTAATTCCTGCCGACCTAGTCTGATTTCCTCCACACCGTACTCTGGAGGTTTTGGCAAACCCACCCTTTGCATTAATAGGTTGATCAACTGCCTGGCTTACACCCTTTAATTTATTCAAAGCCTTACTTTTACAAGACAGTTTTTCTTCCAATTCGTAATGTTGATTAATTAAAACATTCATTTCCATTCCATCTGCACAATTCTCCAGCAGATCTCTTTCACAGTCTTTAAACCACAATTTGTACCAATCAAATCTACTCTCTAAAACATCTAAATATAACTTTAATTCATTAGGGTTCACGGTTCTTTGATTCATTAAATCAAATGCCTTCGTCACATGACCTTTAATAGCCTGTAATGATGCTTTCATTACTCTAAAATTCACGGACTTGTCAGCCACATTAATTACATCATTAATTACATTACAATTCACAAGACGATTTAATGTCTCATAATTATTATACACATTAGAGATCACTCCATTAAGATCTGAGACCGATGAGTGATGATTAAACCAAGGGTAATTTTCCCCGGGACACAGTCCATGGCAATGCGCTAGCCACCCGGTCCTACCCTTATTCACTCATTTTACCACTCTATTACGGTGGTCCCGTAAATCACGTTTCCTCACTCTCCACCAGGAACAGTTACGACACTTCCTATTATGAAATGAGGCCTATATTAATCCTTAGGCCGCCGTGAACGCCAATTTCCTGGTTCCATGCTTTCCCAGCCTCCTCACTACATTCAAAACACTCCCACCTCTCCCATGCCCCGAGTCGACCTCTACCCCCGCACATCCGCGCATGCGCAAAGGGAACTCTTGGTTCTATCCTATTGTCAAATACATTTTTGACTCATATCGACACATTAAACACCTATTAGGCACTATAGCTTCGGAAAATTAAAATATTTTCCACACCCATCAAGTCATTCTGTTTTGCTCCATCTTCTCTAAATGACCAAACCACCTCAATAACCCCCTCTTCAGAAGGTTTGACTTCTCTCCCTCTTTTTTTTTCATCCTAGGATTCTATCCCTAACCTCACTGGGCTATGCCTATCTCTAAAGCAGTTTTTTCTTACACATAATGCTATGCTGCATAAACATGAAAACCAAGATATTTATAAAATGATTAAATAATTTTCACCTGAACTGTTTTCACTGTGATGTTTGTGTTGACTTCAGCATGTCCAGGTTGATATTCAAAGTCCACTTTCATGTTGGCTTCAGCTTGACTTGACTGTTAATGGAAGGCAGAGTGAAATTGATACATCAATGTTTTTTCACAAATATTATAAACACACATACACACACACAAACATATATACATACTGGGCACATCTCCTGAGGCACACATCAACCAAATAACTGCTGTAGCATATGGGTGCCTAGCAAACCTAAGAACAGTATTCCGACATCTCAATAAGGAATCGTTCAGAACCCTGTACACCATATACGTACATTAGGCCTATACTGGAGTATGCAGCACCAGTTTGGAACCGAAACCTAGCCAAGCATGTAAGGAAATTAGACAAAGTGCAAAGGTTGCAACAAGACTAGTCCCGGAGCTAAGGGGCATGTCTCACGAGGAGAGGTTATGAGAAATCGACCTGACGACACTGGAGGATAGGAGAGATAGGGGGGATATGATGACATATAAAATACTGAGAGGAATCAACAAGGTGGACAGACAGGATGTTGCAGAGATAGGACATAGCAACAAGGGGTCACAGTTGGAAGTTGAAAACTCAGATGAATCACAGGGATGTTAGGAAGTATTTCTTCAGTCACAGAGTTGTCAGGAAGTGGAATAGTCTAGGAAGTGATGTACTGGAGGCAGGATACATACATAGCTTTAAGAAGAGGTATGATAAAGCTCATGGAACAAAAAGAGTGACCTAGTAGCGACCAGTGAAGAAGCAGGGCCAGGAGCTGTGACTCGGCCCCTGCAACCACAACTAGGCAAGTACAACTAGGTGAGTACATAAACACACATACACACAAAAAAAAAACACAATGTATATATTTATTCATTTACAAAATCAAAATAATAATGAATTTTTAACAATACAGTGGTACCACAGGATACGAACAGCTCAAAACTTGAACAATTATGTAAGTGTATTTATGTAAGTGCTTTTGTAAGTGTATTTTTCAGGGTCTGAAATGGATTAATCTAATTTACATTATTCCTTATGGAAACAAATTAGTTTGGTATCAGCACTCAAGCAGCTTCCCCAAATGAATTAAGTTTGTATCCCGAGGTACCACTGTATATCAACTTTACAAAACTGAATTTTAATATAGCATACTGAAATTGCTAAAATCTATTCAATAAAAATAAATGCACTTTACCTCAAGCCATACATAACCCTTAGTTTTTTCCTTTCCTTGTTCCAGTATTGTAGAAGAATCTACAGCAAGTGACAACAAATTTATCTGAGTATGATCTCTACCATATTCTGAAGCTAGTTGGAATTTTAGCTTTTCGTGGCCTATGAAGAAATTTCCTGTAGTGGAAACAAATTTCTGGGCAATGGGTAGTATTCCCCCAGTCTTGTGCCAAATTCCTTCTAGTTCCCATGTAGCTGAGGAAAAAATATACACAGTACATCTTAAAAATCTAAATTTACTCAGTACTGATTGATAGGTGATTTTGCTAATTTAGTACAATACAATAGTGCTCTCTATATAGTATTTGGCTTCTGGGAGAAACAAAAACTAAAAGTAACTTCTAATTTCAATGACTATTAACATTTTATGTATGTTAACCACCAGCACTGTCCTACACTTCAACCAAACATAAACATTACTTAAAGTCAAATTTCCATTTTTTAACACACCGGCTGTCTCCCACCGAGACAAGGTGACCCGTAAATCAAGAAATGAAAATTTTTCTTCTTTTTACACTTAGTAATTTATACAGGAGAAAGGGTTACTAGCCCCACATTTACTTCAATTTCATCTGTTAGCTTCTTTTCTTTTGTTGGAAAGAAAACCCATGAAAGATCAAGCCTCTCAAAGGTCAATGATACCCCTCTCACACAGAATAGAAGGAGAAATTTTTTCCTGGGTAGAGGCATGGTTGACAAATAGGTAGCAGAGTTTGCTATAAATGGGGAGAAATCAGAATGGGGGCACATCACAAATGGTGTTCCACAGGGGTCAGTGTTGGGCCCCTTGTTGTTCGTAATCTACAAAAATGACACAGATGAGGTAATAAATAGTGACATAAGCAAATTTGCTGATGACACCAAAAATAGCCGTCCAATTCATTCTAATGAGGACATTAAGCCTCCAGGTGATTTGAATAGAGATGGAGTGGTCAGAAAGTGGCGATGCAGTTTAATATAGCAAATCAAAGTTCTAAATGTTGGACAGGAAAATAACCATGCCACATAAAAAACTAAATAATGTAGATCTAATATTCGGCTGCAAAAAAGGATTAGGAGCTCTGGTAAGCAGTAATTGAAACTGTGACAACAGTGCATAAGTGTTTCAATAAAGCTAACAGAACCCTGTTTCATAGCAAGAATATAAATAATAAAAGTCCTAGGTTTTTCGTCAACTCTAATATCTTTGGTTACCTCTTTAGATTTGCTGTGCATTTTGGGCATGTATTACGAATGGATAAAATCACTGGAAATGCACAAAGGGGATGACAAATTGACCCCATGTATCAGAAATCTTCCCTATGAGAAAAATTTAAAGGGCCCTTAATCTGATCTCAGAAAGGAAATAGAATTAGGAGGGAAATGATTGGGGTGTAAAAAGGGAAAAACGGGAATTAATAAAGGAGATTAAATAGGTGCTAAAAATATCTAACAGCAGGCTCGCAAAAAGGGTTTTTAAAAACGGGGAAAAATTCGATTCAGGAAAAGGATATGGGAAAGCATGGTTTGGTAATAGATTTGGGGGATGAGGGAACAAACCCCCGGTCCCATCAAAAAAGCAAAGCGTTGTGTATTTTAAAAAAATGGTTGGATAAATACATAGTGGGCTGGGGGGTGGAGATGGATCTGATACTTTGCTACTAGGTCGGATCCATGCCCCTTTCCCTTAAGTGACATGTCTGACATCACAGGCAAGGCATTGGCTTAATTTAAGCCAGTGGGAAATTTGGGCCCTGCCTCGCATAGACCAGTAGGCCGTTGAAGTGTTTCTTCTTTTTTCTGATGTTTTTAAAACCCCCGGACATTTAACAAAATTTTAAAAATTTAATTTGCTCTGTTTTTCCCATCAATTTAAAATTTTTTTTATATATCCTAATGCATGTGTGGTGGGCCCATTTATTTGGTAAGTGATGAAGATGATGAGTTACTACCAGTAAATGTTTTTAAAATGAGGATTAATAAAATAAACACATTTAAAGGCACAAAAGCCCAGTTTGCCTGACCACCGGGGCGGGGTCCCCAGCCCCTCTTACTCCCTTTTATTGGCACCCCTGTCCCCTTTCACAGCCCCGTTTATAGCAACTAGATCCATAGGGAGGCATTTTACTGCAACACCCCCAGAGGGGGGAATTTATGAACTACATTTTCAGGGAGGCAGTTTACTCAAAAACTACACCCAAAAGGGGAAGTTTATTAGTAAAAACCCATGAGGGAAGATTTTTTACACAACTAAACCATCAGGAGGTATTTTACTAGCAACTAAACCCATGGGGGAGGCATTTTTAACTAGCAACAAACCCTAACGCTACCCATCAGGAAGGCAATTTACTACAGCAACACTCATAGGAAGGAATTTACTAGCAACTACACCCAAGAGGGGGGCGATGGGAGCCTGTTACTGGGCTCAATGGCTAATTCATTTACTACCTGACTTTAAACCTACCCTCCTGCACTTGCTTAAGATTACAGATATTTCTGTAATCATGTCTTCAAAAAGTAAACCCAAAAATGCAAAAGTCTGATGTACGTACAATACAGTACCAAAGTAAATTATGTCATGATACCAACAAGAACTTTTAAAAAAGGGGTTAGTACAGTTCCTTTAATCCTTTTACGCAACAAAGGCCCCCCCTAAATTGTTCTCGGGTCGAAAATTTTTTGGAAAAAAAAAAAAAAAAAAATTTTTTTCTTATGAAAGATAAGAATCTTTTTTCCCCACTAAGACACCAAAAATTGAAATTTTTGATGGAAAACTTATGGGAACAAACTCGCAAAGTTAGCGGTCCCCCTGAGTTTACGTATTGGCGATTTCGCCCACTTTGAGCCCTATTTTCGGCCAATTCCAAAGTACCAGTTTACAAAAATCAAACTATTTCGCTAGAAAACTCCATTTTTTCTATCGAATAGACAAAAAACCCAAAATTTTTTCTGATTTTTAAATATCCAATAAAGTGGTCAGAAATTGGCAATTTTGCCAAATTTTTACACAATTTCAAAAGAGTTAACTTCCAAATAGGGTCCAGAATAAACAAGACAGACATTTTCCGGACTAAAAAAACATTTATCTGTTCATCAGTCACATCCCAGGTGTCTCTAACATTTCTTTTGTTTCCACTTGAATTTTTTTTTCTCACAAAAAAATAAATTTACTGTTTGCAGACTACTGCATTACGAGAAATTGGTTTAAAAAAAATATCAGCACACTTTAAAATATTAACTCACCAGTTAACGGTATTAATGTGGCATGAAATTTTTACTTTGAAATTTTGGGAAAAAACGAACATTTTGCTACTTTTTAGCTCAATTTAAGGGACTTTTTATTGCAAACCAATCAATGCCTCTATAACGACATTGCCCCAGAAAAAAATAAACAGATCACAGCAAAGAGACTAATAATCCCTGGGTAACACCAAGCATCCTCAAATCCATTAACACACCCAAATATGAAAAACAGTAAGAAAAGTCAAAAAACAAGAGATCATCAAAAAGTTACTGTCACACTTACCAGCCCGATAAGAAGGTCAAAAAAATTGTATTATGAAAATAGATTACATAATATTAAAGGTGATATGAAAAAAACCTGGAAAACTCTACCTGAAATTCTTGGAACTGAAAAGTTATCCAAAAACAAAACAAACTAACAAAATCAGATGAACCCCTACTCACTCCAACTGAAACAGCAAACAGACTTAATGCTTTCTTCTCCACCATAGGAAAAAATCTAGCAAACAAAATACCAAGCACAAACACCTGTCCATCAGACTACCTCATAGGTACCTACCCAAATACGCTATTCCTAGCTCCAACCAACCCCATTGAAGTTATGCTCATCATAAACACCCTTAAAAACAAGGCAGGAGACATTAAACAACTTGCCTGCTTTTATGTACAAAAAAGCTTCCCAAGTATTGTCACCAATTATTGCAATGCTCTTTAACAAATCCATTGAATCATCTACCTTCCCAACAATCCTCAAAATAGCGAGGGTCACTCCGATCCATAAAGGAGGTGACCAAGCTGACTAGAATAACTATAGACCAATATCTAACTTACCACTGCTCTCTAAAATCTTTGAAAAAATAATTCAGACGGATCTATTCCTACCTCATTTCACACAACATATTAAACCCTTGTCAGTTTGGATTCAGGAATAGTAATGAAAGCACAAATGATGCTATCATACACATGCTAGAACTAATATACATGTATATCGCACTTGAAAAGGAAGAAGGCCCGCTGGGCATTTTCATTGATTTACGTAAAGCTTTCGATAGAGTTGACCATGAACGGCTGTACTCCAAATTAATGCACTATGGTATCAGAGGCCACTGCCTTAACTACCTAAAGTCATACCTTAGTAACAGAACTCAATATGTGTATGCAAATGATGCAAACTCTTCCACCCAACCAATCACAGTAGGAGTCCCACGAGGAAGCATCCTTGGACCACTCCTCTTTCTCATCTCCATCAATGATCTACCGAATGCATCACAGCTACTCAAACCCATATTATTTGCAGATGACACGACATATGTCTTTTCCCACCCAAACACAGCCATACTAGCAAACACAGTCAGTGCTGAATTACAGAAAATATCTGCCTGGATGATGACTAACAAACTTACCCTGAACACAGATAAAACCTATTTCTGTGATGAATGGTTTGAAAAACCAACAAGTTTGAAGATTGAGACACTTATGCAGCATATGGGAATCTTTATTCAGGAAACGTTTCGCCACACAGTGGCTTCATCAGTCCAATACAAAGAGGAAGGCGTAAGGAGAGGAGGAGTATGAGGTAATCAGTCCCTCAGCCTGGAGTCGATGTGTTCAGTCCATCAATCTTGTAGAATGTACCGTACATTCTACAAGATAGATGGACTGAACACATCGACTCCAGGCTGAGGGACTGATTACCTCATACTCCTCCTCTCCTTATGCCTTCCTCTTTGTATTGGACTGATGAAGCCACTGTGTGGCGAAACGTTTCCTGAATAAAGATTCCCATATGCTGCATAAGTGTCTCAATCTTCAAAACCTATTTCATTCAGTTTGGAAACAAAGCTGCAAATGATCCAATTAATATAATGCTAAATGAATCATCAGTCACAAGACTCACAGAGGGAAAATTCCTAGGTATCCACCTTGACAGTAGCCTTAAGTTCCAGACACACATACAACAAATCACCAAGAAAATCTCCAAGACTGTAGGCATACTATCAAAGATAAGGTACTACGTTCCACAATCAGCTCTCCTGGCACTGTACCATTCACTCATATACCCTTATCTTACATATGGAATTTGTGCATGGGGATCAACAACATCCAATCACCTAAAACCCCTAATAACCCAGCAAAAGGCAGCAGTAAGAATGATAACAAATTCCCACTCCTGCCAGCATACTCCACCAATTTTCAAAAGTCTGAATCTGCTCACCATTAAGAACATCCATACTTATTCATGTGCCTACTACATACAGAGAACAATACACGCAAATATAAAACCCCCACCCAAACTTCTCCTCACCAACCTAAACAGGACACATGATCACAACACAAGACACAGATCTCTTTTTGATATACCTCGTGTCCATATCACACTGTGTTAAAAACTCTATGCACATAAAGGGCCTCAAAATATGGAATTCATTACCAGAAGATATTAAAGTAACCCGGTCTGAAAATCAATTTAAGACTCTTCTCAAAAGCCACTTAATCACCCTAGACTAAATGCTAAATACTCAGTACACACATACTCACCTATGTACTCCCACATCATAACTTCAACAATCACTTTGAACCTTTTATCCATTGTTGGCAGGAATATAATTGAATCATTGTTTTCACAAAAAGCATTTTCGAATAAAAATATATCTTTGTATTATACAAATTTTTATTCATTTATAATTAATATTCTACTGTACAACTATGAAATAATTACTATCCTACTGTACAACTATGATATACGTACTCCTTAGTGTTAAGTAGACTGTAAGCCAATAATGTTAAGTTGGCCCATAATGCCTAGGCATAATAGAGGCTCTCTATTGTAAATACTATTTTAAATACAAAAGCTCAATGTACTGTTTGCAAAGACATAAAATAAATAAATAAATAAATAAATAAATAAATAAATAAATATCTTCCATTCTATAAAATGAGACCAGGAAAACTAAAATACAACCATAAATAGCATACGAAAATACACTGCAAAGTCACTGTTTTAAAGCAAAAACACGGTCGGAGTTTTTTTTCTCATTATGCACTGTGTGCTGCAGGATTTTTTTTATACTATGCACAGTGACCCATTCTTTCATATGTAGGCCTACTAGCTGTCTCTCGCTAGATTTGAAGGCGCTAGAATTTATGCGTACTAGTACGGCACCAACCCTGGCGTGCAAGCCGTACTAGTATGGCACCAACCCTGAAAGGGTTAATAAGTGTCTTGAAATGTACATAGGCATCTTTTTCCACATGATACTATACAGTAAATACATAAACAAGCATAATTTATTTGTAATCTTGGAAGTTTCTTACCTTCTAAGCCTTCATCTTCTTGGTTAGGAAACAGGAGATTTCCGTCCAGTGTGAAAACATCCGACCCTAGGATAAGCAAGATCTTCGGTATATATTTATGGTTAGTTCGTTCCTCTTCTTCTAGAAGTGATATTTCAAATGCCCCAGAAATCTTGGAATCTTCACGATATTTAAGAGCTAATTTTTTGGATGACTGAGTATTTTCATATTGTCCTTCAATGCCATAGCCCATTCCTCTAATAGCTATGTAGCCCCCATCATTGTTAGGTCGCACATTAAACAAGAAATGAACTTTTCTATCAATGGAAGACCCAGGAGTGTCAAAAATGCCTTCAAGAACATTTTCTTGCTTTTTAACATATAATTTGTAATAGTTAAATGTGTCAGTTTTAGTTACTTTAAAATCCATATGATATGGTTCACCTGTATATGCTTCTCCATTAATGTTATGTGTACCATAACTGAGGCTACTGCACACTTCAAGACCAAGAACATTACTAAGACTCTCTGGTGAACAGTAATTTTGCTCTACTGGCATTTCAGCTTTCTGTTCTTCCCAGCCATTTATTGAGCTCTTGAAAAGTGCCACTGTTATAGACGAGCTCAACTTAGTAACTTCTGATTTAGGAATATCAATTTTTGCTTCAGCAATTTGCCCATTATTTTCAATTGTAACTTTTCCTCCAAAATGGGTGCGAGCAATCTGAGTAGAAGTTCTTCTGATACCACTTGAAGAACAATAGCCTTCTACTGCGAGAGTTTCATCAATTGCTATTACTGCAGAGGGTGAATACTGGACTTCTATTAGAAAGCCTTGGGAACCTTGTGCCTGAACTGTTTCCTCATTGTTAAAGGTGACCGAACCAGTAGCATTGAGTCTCAATTTCAGGGGAAAGCCTAGAAGAGTTGGGCTTATATACTCCTGATCCATAACCTGAAAAAGTAAAATTATGATGACTAATCTTATGGTGGAAAGCATAGTGCCTGAACTCTGAAGGAAAATTGGGGATGTTGCAGCTCAGAGGGTCATTTGAACTATGATGTCTGCACATTTGTGGCAGGACAGATATTGAATGCATGGAAGTGAATGTATTGCCCTCTTTAGGTCACTCTACCTTGCCTACCTTGCTGGGAAACAGTCTCAATATAAAATAAAAATTTACATTCCTTATTTAATTTAAAGATAAAATCTTGCATAGTCCAGCCTGTGAAGAATATACTGACACCATAAACATATTTTCTATATATAAGAATGTTCTCAAAACTGACCAACAAATGACTGTCATAAGCAAAAGCACATAAGAAAGACACAAAAAATAAAAAGATGGTGAATGAGCTTGAAATGATCCCAAAATATTAAAACATATTTTATTAATGTTCTCATGAACAAAAACTTAAAAAACATTTTGATTAATTTTTCAAGTGCAATGAAACTGGTTAGGAAGCAATAGTTAAATACTATCTTACCTGAAAAGATTTGGGGGATGAGAATTCATCGATAAGCTGATTAAGGAATCGCATTGGGTTTGACTTGAGAAGATTCTCTATGTATACAACCTCATTACCGAAGATCCTGAGATACACAGATGCCTTAGATTCCTCCTCAGCAAGCTCCTCCACTTCATTTATCTTTTTCGTTTCATCATACAATTTTTGAAATTCTTGAATCTTGTCATTACGAATAATATTTTTTTTTGGCCTGAGATTTTGCAATACATTCAACATTTCTTCATTCCCAAAATATCCTTCTTTGCCAAAGTATCCTTCAATGATGTCTTCTAAGCCACTGAAGTCTCCTCCAAACTCAAAGACATTTAAGGATTTGTCTAGAACATCAAGAGTGAGGTTGACAGACACTTGTCGAGGAATGTAGGAGTCTGTATTGAAGATTACATCACTATCAAGGCTCCCACCAAGATTTAGCTGAAAAATGTAAAATTCTGTTAGTAGTATAGAGTTGCAATAGTTATACTCAAAGGTGCAAATGATTTTAATGCACTGTACTTAATTAAGTCCTTAAGAAAAACTAACCTACATGAAACTAGCAAATGTGTCTATAGGTGGGAAAGTTTGTGCCCATACATTTGCCCTTAGATGGGCAAACTTGTGCCTGTAGATGGACTTCAGTAAGGCCTTTGACAGTGTTCCACAAAGGAGAATGTTGAAGAAAGTAGAGGCACACAGAATAGGAGGGAAAATTTTTCCTGGATTGAGGTGTGGGGCTGACAGATAAGCAACAGAGAGTTCTCATGAATGGGGAGAAATCAGTGGGGATACATCATGACATAACTGAGGGAATAAATGTCGACATTAGAAAGTTTGCCAATGACACTAAAATAGACTGTCAGATTAATTCTGATAAGGACACTAGAGCACTACAGGAAGTTCTAGATAGGTTGATGCAGTGGTTGGAGAAGTGGGAAATGCAGTAAATACAGTGGTACCTTGACTCACAAGTTTAATTCGTTCCATGACCGAGCTCGTAACTCAATTAGATCATACATCAAATAAATTTTCCTCATTGAGATTAACTGAAATGCCATTAATCCATTCCAGCTCCCAAATAACCACCCTAGGGGCAGGAGAAAATACTTCAATATAATGCTAATATTAACTCTACGGCTAATATCAACTCAACTCAGGTCACTTTTTCTATCTAGGCTGGAATATTGCTGCACACTAACAGGACCTTTCAAGGCAGGTGAAATTGCTGACCTAGAAAATGTACAGAGAACCTTCATGGCGTGCATAACGGAGATAAAACACCTCAATTACTGGGAGCGCTTAAAGTTCCTGAACCTGTATTCCCTGGAATGCAGGCGGGACAGATACATACATGATTATATACACCTGGAAAATCCTAGAGGGACTAGTACCGAACTTGCACACGAAAATCACTCACAACAAAAGCAAAAGACTTGGCAGATGATGCAACATCTCCCCAATGAAAAGCAGGGGTGTCACTAGCACGTTAAAGAGACAATACAATAAGTGTCAGGGGCCCAAGACTGTTCAACTGCCTCCCAGCATACATAAGGGGGATTACCAATAGACCCCTGGCAGTCTTCAAGCTGGCACTGGACAAGCACCTAAAGTCGGTACCTGACCAGCCGGGCTGTGGCTCGTACGTTGGATTGCGTGCAGCCAGCAGTAACAGCCTGGTTGATCAGGCTCTGATCCACCAGGCGGCCTGGTCACAGACCGGGCCGCAGGGGCATTGACCCCCGGAACCCTCTCCAGGTAAACTCCAGGTAAACAGCTTATTTATCTATCAGAATTGATCTACTATGACATAAAGAATTAAAATTCAAATTCAAATTCAGTTTGGAGGGATATGTTGTGTATCTTTATACGTATATGCTTCTAAACTGTTGTATTCTGAGCACCTCTGCAAAAGCAGTGATAATGTGTGAGTGTGGTGAAAGTGTTGAATGATGATGAAAGTATTTTCTTTCTTTTTTGGGTCACCCTGCCTCGGTGGGAGACGACCGACTTGTTGAGAGAGAGAGAAAAAAAAAAAAAAAAAAAAAAAAAAAAAAAAAAAAAAAAAAAAAAAAAAAAAAAAAAAAAGGATTACAATGCTGAGTTTACAGAATTTGGTTATTGTGTGGTTTACATGTAGTAAAATAATAATTACAGAGTGTACCACTAGAACACCTAGCATGGCTAGGCATTTCGGGCAGACTTAAATTAAATCTTAAGTTTAAAATATTACAAAATTATGAGGTAGGTTGGTATTATGGCTAAGTGACTAAATACTAGTTTGTGAGTTTTTGCAATGTGAATGCTTTTGTTTTGGCACTATACATAGTTTCAGTATTGGAGTATCACAGGCCAACTTATGACTAGTTAAGATTCATTATTTGAGATTGAGATTGATATTTCTGTTTATGGTCAAATTGGTGGAGTGAGTGTAAGTGTTAACCACCAGGTGGTATTCGTTGTAATTAGTTGACAGGTGTATCAGGGAAATAAGATGTTTTCTGATGGTAGTTTGAAGGTGATGAATGTGTCTGCAGTTTTATAATTTCAGGTAGGGTGTTCCAGATTTAGGGCCTTTGACAATGCATTGAATTTTTGTAAAGGTATAGTCGGACACTGGGGAATGTCATAGAGATGTTTGTGTCTGGTGTTGTGCCTGTGGGTTCTGTCACAACTATCAAGAAAGCATTTTAGGTCAAGGTTAATATTGGAATTTAAGGTCCTGTAGATGTAGATTGCACAGTAGTAAGTGTGGATTTTACTGAACAGGGAGTAAGTTTAGATCTATGAAGAGTGGGGGGGTGTGTTGCCAGGGATGGGATTTAGTGATTATTCTTACTGCGGCTTTTTGTTGGTTATTATTGCCTTTAGGTGTGTTGCTGCAGTTGAACCCCAAGCACAGATAGCATAGGGGAGGTATGGATATATAAGTGAATGGTATAGTGTGAGAAGGGCATTTTGCGGCACGTAGTATCGTATCTTGGAGAGGAAACCCAACCGTTTTGGAAACTTTTTTGGTTATGTGTTGGATATGGGTGCTGAAGTTCAGGTTGTTGTCGAGGTATAGGCCTAGGAATTTGCCCTCATTATGCCTGGCAATTAGAGTGTTGTCGATCTTAATGTTAATTTGTGCATCTCCTGCTCTGCTACCAAACATAATGTAGTAGGTTTTGTCAGTGTTAAGCGTAAGTTTATTGGCTGTCATCCAAGTCGATATTTTGATCAGCTCCTCATTAACAATGGTGTTGAGGGTGGCAAAAATTAGGGTGAGAGATGACATAAGCCCGTGTCGTCAGCAAAGAGAATGGGGTTCAGGTGTTGAGATACGTTCGGAAGATCATTGATGTATATGAGGAAGAGCAGGGGACCAAGGACACTTCCCTGCGGAACTCCAGTATCAAGTGGCTGTGTTGTTGATGCTGTGTCTTTAATGGTGACATACTGATACCTATTAGTAAGGTAAGATTTGAAATATGCAAGCGCATGGCCTCTTATACAATAATGGTCAAGTTTGTGGAGTAGGATGCCTTGGTCTACTGTGTCAAAATCTTTTCTTAGGTCAATAAAAATTCCTAGTGGATATTCCTTATTTTCCAATGCTGTGTAAAGCAGATCTAGCATTTTTATGATTGCTTCGTTAGTGCTTTTATTTTTCGTGAATCAAAATTGGCAGGGGTTGAGTATGTTTTGTGACGTTATAAATGAATATAGTCTCCTGTGCACGAGTTTCTCAAAGATTTTGGACAGCAATGGTAAGTTTGATATTGGCATATAGTTGTTTAAATCTGTAGGGTCACCACCTTTATGTATTGGTGTAACCCTTGCCGTCTTGAGTAGTTTCGGGAAGGTGCTAGTTTCTAGTGACTTGTTAAAAAGTAATGAGATAGCATGCGAGAGGACATGGGCCGCTCTCTTGTACAATAATGGTGGGACATGAGACAGATTCCCTGAGTTATTTTTAAGTGACTTTATAATCTCGGTGACTTCCGTGGGCTCAGTTGGAGCAAGATAGAAGGAATTTGGGAAATTCCCATCTAGGTAGTCCCCGGCATGGGCATTGGTACGTGGGATTTTATTGGCGAGATTAGAACCTATGGTTGGGAAGAAGTCGTTTATCTTGTTAGCTGTGTCAGTGGGATGCAGTGGTGTTTCATTAGGTTTAGTTAGGACAATATTCTTGTTTTTTTTCAGTTTGTGGGTCCCTAGAATCTGAGAGAGTGTTTTCCAGGTCTTTTTTATATCTCCTCTTGTGCCAGTGAATCTACTGGAGTAGTATAGTTGTTTGGCTTTCTTTATTACTTTGGTGAGGACTGATGAATAGTGTTTAAGAATATCTTTGTGTATTAGGCCCTGTCTATATTGCTTTTCATATTGGTGTTTCTTATCAATGGATTTCAGAATGGTGCTGGTTAGCCATGGGCAATCAAGCCGTTTGTTTGTGATCTGTTTCGCTTTTATAGGACAATGTTTGTTGTATAGTCTAAGTAATTTGTTAAGAAAAATGTCTGTCCAGTCATCAATACCATTGGCCTTGGAGAATTCTGTAGGCCAGTCAACAGTCTCTAGGTCAGCTGTGAACTTCCTTATTGAGGCCTCATCATGGAGTCTAAATGAAACTTTGTTGTATTCAAGTGGTGGTTTACTAATGTTTGTCAAGAGGAAGGTAGGGTAGTGGTCTGTAGTGCTATCTGTGATTATCCCTGATTTAAGGGGGGCTAGTATATTGGTCCATATGTGATCTATTATGGTTGCACTTGTTTCAGTGAGCCTGGTTGGTTTAGTTATTGTTGGTATCAGAAGTGTGTTGTTCATATTGTTGATGAAATCAGTTACAGGCTGATCATCTAATAGGCCAAGGTTGATGTTGAAGTCTCCAGCTAAGAGAAGGTGGTGCTTATTCATTTGTCTGTTTGTTATTAGTGACTTTAATTTCTCACTGAAATTTGGGATGTTTGTGTGGGGTATCCGGTAAATGGCACCGATTGTTATAGGCGTCTTAAGGTTTTTTACTATAATAATATAGAAACATGACATATACTCTAGAATGAATAAAACAGGCCATAGTATGGCGAGCGTCAAGGACCAATCCGAGCATATAAAATCATTACTGCTCCTTCCTATAAAAATGTAATAACAATGATTATAAATGACCATAATTTTTAAAGGGGTGGACTGGTGAGCCAGCGGAAGGCCTCGGTCGATGACCAAGAGCTCCAAAGGCGGGTCATCATCTGACCAAGATCCGCGTCAGGAAACACTTGTCCTGTTTCCTGACGAACCGTACCTAACCTAACCTAATCCTTCCTATAACGTGTTTTTTGGCCCTGGGTAAGACAAAATGGAGTTTTTGAGAGGCTAACTGCACTAGATCACTAGTGCAGTGATATATGAATATCTCGGAAGTAAGTTATTGACTTATTTCATGAAGCCCACCACTTATTATTGAAGTAAATGCAATAATATTGACATGAATCATAAAAAAAAATGATTGTTCTACAATTGGCTTGTGAAATATTGCAAATATTCCAAATATTTTGGGATCTGTGTGGGAGTAAAGGGCAAAATATTTTGCAAATGTCAATAACTAAGCAACTTCATTTTTTTGTAGAATAACTAAATATAATTACATGATTACCTCCAGTGAGACCATCGCACCAGCACTGTTTTATAAGTTCCAAATCCCAAAACCACCTTTCGTTGTGTCATTTACGCCGGGGTTCTTGCCAAATGTCATTTTCAGTAAATATTTTTTTTTTTTCAATAATTTTTTTTTTTTGCTCATAACTTGGATTTTGGCTCGCAACTCAAAGCAAAAAATCAACCGAGCGATGGCTCATAACTTAGAAAACTCGTAAGTTGGAGCACTCGTAAGTCAAGGTACCACTATATAAGGTTTAAGCCTCGGAACAGAGAATAGCCATGGCACTGAATAATGTAAATCTCAATCACTCTGAATGCAAAAACCATTTTGGAGTTCTGGTTAGCAGTAATCTAAAGCCTAGATAATGGTGCATAAGTGTTTGCATTAAAGCTAATAGAACTTTTGGCTTCATATCAAGAAGTATAAATAATAGGAGTCCAAAAATTATACTTATGCTGTATATATCCTTAGCCTTAAAAATAGGTTAGATAAGTAAATGAGTGGGTGTGGATGGGTGTGAGTTAGACCTGCCTAGCAAGGGCCAGCAGACCTGCTGCAGTGCTCTTCTTTTCCTAAGTTCTTATGCTGCACTTGCAGAATGGGCAAGTAATTAAATTAGATTCAAGAAAGGAAGATAAACTCTAATTTCTTGAATTAAGAGCCCTTCACTGGCATCAAGGCACCTCACTTGAAAGGTTACTGTACATAACAGAAAATATTATATTTATTATACATAAAAATAACCTAAAGCACGTGGTTATATGCAGATCTAGAAATGTACTCTACTGCCATTATAATGAAAATAAAAAAATGAGTATATTTTCAAGCAAATATTGCATACACTTACAATTTCGCTGAACTGAGCATATTGGTAGTTCTGCGAGGAGCGAAAGGTGTTAATACTGAATTTGGTGGGAAGCGTGTGTTGAGCTGCCAACTTGGCCAGCTGGCGGTCATAGTCACTTGGGCTGGGATTCTCAACCAGGTTATGCACATGAGTCCAAATATAGGACCCAACTGTTGAAAGAAAGATATAAGTGGGCAATTTATATAACAATAATTTAGGATCCAACTGTTGAAAAAATAATATATGTGGGCAATTTACATAATAATAATAATAATAATAATAATAATAATAATAATAATAATTAACTGGCAGGAAATGGCAGAAATCGTACACCAAATCCAGTCATTCCTGGAGTGGAACCACAATCGATGGCCTCCACTCCAAACCAACAGATACAGATACTAATGCCGGAAAAAAAGTCCCCCCCCCCAGTACCACCAATACCACCAGTCCGATGACATTCTTTTTTGCAAATATACAGGGTCTAAAGCCAGCAACGAACAACAAAATACCTTTCATCCATGGACTGCTTGCAGAGGCAAATGTAATGTTCACGGCTTTCACAGAGACCCACACGAAGGATCACTTGGACAACAAAATATGGATCCCAGGTTACAACCTATACAGATGCGACAGAGTGAACAGGCAAAAGGGGGGGTTAGCCTGTATATCGCAGAGGACTTGCTTGCACAAAACCGCTTAATGCCTCAAATGATGTAGTGGAAGTTTTAGCAGTAAAGATCGAGAACCAAAACCTAGTCATTGTGGTAGTCTACAAGCCTCCGGATGCAACATCCCAGCAATTCCAGGAACAGCTGTTAAAAATTGACCACTGTCTGGAAAATCTGCCAGCTCCTGCCCCCAACATCTTGCTCCTTAGGGATTTCAACTTAAGGCACCTAAAATAGAGGAATATAGCAAATAATGTTGTTACAGTGATAACTCCAGGAGGCAGCTCTTACGAGAATTCACACACACACGAGCTTTTAAATCTCTGCACAAAATTCAACTTAAACCAGCAAATTATAGAGCCTACTAGACTGGAGAATACACTAGACCTCATCTTCACTAACAATGATGATCTGATAAGAAATGTCACCATATCAAAAACAATATACAGTACTCAGATCACAACATAATCGAGGTTCAGACATGTATACGTGGAGCTCCAGACCAACATAATGAGATTAGTCATGAGGGAGCCTTCAACAAATTCAACTTCAATAATAAGAACATAAAGTGGGACCAAGTAAACCAAGTCCTAACCGATATAAGCTGGGAAGATAGACTAAGCAACACAGACCCCAACTTGTGCCTAGAACAGATTAACTCGGTGGCACTCGATGTATGCTCAAGGCTTATTCCTTTAAGAAAAAGGAGGAGTAGATGTAAAATAGAAAGAGACAGGCACTACCTTTACAGGCGACGAAAAAGAATAACAGAGCGGCTAAAAGAGGCCAATATATCTGAAATGCATAGGGAGTCACTGGTCAGAGAAATAGTAAACATCGAACTTAAGCTAAAGGAATCTTATAGGAGTCAGGAATCGCGGGAAGAACTAAAAGCCATAAATGAAATCGAAAGAAACCCAAAGTACAGTATTTCTTTTCCTATTCCAAATCAAAGTCAAGAACAATATGACTCAGTTTTTAGCAAGCCGCTAACCAGACTGAGAGTCGAAGATCAAAATGAATTTTTTATGAGAGAGCCACAGAATTTGGTTTTAACACAAGCCAATCTGATGTTATCCTGATGCCAAATGACGTCAAACAGGTGATAAATGACATGCCCATGCACTCTGCCCCAGGGCCAGACTCATGGAACTCCGTGTTCATCAAGAACTGCAAGAAGCCCCTATCACGAGCTTTTACCATCCTATGGAGAGGGAGCATGGACATGGGGGTCGTCCAACAGCTACTAAAAACAACAGACATAGCCCCACTCCACAAAGGGTGCAGTAAAGCAATAGCAAAGAACTACAGACCGATAGCACTAACATCCCATATCATAAAAATCTTTGAAAGGGTCCTAAGAAGCAAGATTGCCACCCATCTACAAACCAATCAATTACACAACCCAGGGCAACATGGGTTTAGAGCAGTTCGCTCCTGTCTGTCTCAACTATTGGATCACTACGACAAGGTCCTAGATGCACTAGAAGACAAAAAGAATGCAGATGTAATATATACAGACTTTGCAAAAGCCTTTGACAAGTGTGACCATGGCGCAATAGCGCACAAAATGCGTGCTAAAGGAATAACAGGAAAAGTTGGTAGAGGGATCTATAATTTCCTCACAAACAGAACACAAAGAGTAGTAGTCAACAGAGTAAAGTCTGAGGCAGCTACGGTGAAAAGCTCTGTTCCACAAGGCACAGTACTCGCTCCCATCTTGTTTCTCATCTTCATATCTGACATAGACAAGGATGTCAGCCACAGCACCGTGTCTTCCTTTGCAGATGACACCCGAATCTGCAAGACAGTGTCTTCCACTGTAGACACTACAAGGCTCCAGGCGGACATCAACCAAATCTTTCAATGGGCTACAGAAAACAATATGAAGTTCAACGATGAAAAATTTCAATTACTCCGATATGGAAGACATGAGGAAATCAAAACTTCATCAGAGTACAAAACAAATTGCGGCCACAAAATAGAGCGAAAAACAAACGTCAAAGACCTGGGAGTGATCATGTCGGAGGATCTCACCTTCAAGGACGATAACATTATATCAATTGCAGCTGCTAGAAAAATGACAGGATGGATAATGAGAACCTTCAAAACTAGGGATGCCAAGCCCATGATGACACTCTTCAGGTCACTTGTTCTATCTAGGCTGGAATATTGCTGCACACTAACAGCACCTTTCAAGGCAGGTGAAATTGCTGACCTAGAAAATGTACAGAGAACCTTCACAGCACGCATAACGGAGATAAAACACCTCAATTACTGGGAGCGCTTGAGGTTCCTAAACCTGTATTCCCTGGAACGCAGGTGGGAGAGATACATGATTATAGTATACACCTGGAAAATCCTAGAGGGACTAGTACCGAACTTGCACACAAAAATCACTCACTACGAAAGCAAAAGACTTGGCAGACGATGCAACATCCCCCCAATGAAAAGCAGGGGTGTCACTAGCACGTTAAGAGACCATACAATAAGTGTCAGGGGCCCGAGACTATTCAACTGCCTCCCAGCATACATAAGGGGGATTACCAATAGACCCCTGGCAGTCTTCAAGCTGGCACTGGACAAGCACCTAAAGTCGGTTCCTGACCAGCCGGGCTGTGGCTCGTACGTTGGTTTGCATGCAGCCAGCAGCAACAGCCTGGTTGATCAGGCTCTGATCCACCAGGAGGCCTGGTCACAGACCGGGCCGCGGGGACGTTGACCCCCGGAACTTTCTCCAGGTAAACTCCAGGTAAATATGTCATGTATCTTTATATGCATATGCTTCTAAACTGTTGTATTCTGAGCACCTCTGCAAAAAGTGATTATGTGTGAGTGAGGTGAAAGTGTTGAATGATGATGAAAGTATTTTCTTTTTGGGGATTTTCTTTCTTTTTGGGTCACCCTGCCTCGATGGGAGACGGCCAACTTGTTAAAAAAAAAAATCATAATAATAATAATAATATTCTAGGTAATAGGTTGGAAGACAGCAACCACCCAGGGAGATACTACCGTCCTGCCAAGTGAGTGTAAAACGAAAGCCTGTAATTGTTTTACATGATGGTAGGATTGCTGGTGTTTTTTCTGTCTCATAAACATGCAAGGTTTCAGGTACGTCTTGCTACTTCTGCTTACACTTAGGTCACACTACACATACATGTACAAGCATATACATACACACCCCTCTGGGTTTTCTTCTATTTTCTTACTAGTTCTTGTTCTTGTTTATTTCCTCTTATCTCCATGGGGAAGTGGAACAGAATTCTTCCTCCGTAAGCTATGCGTGTTATAAGAGGCGACTAAAATGCCAGGAGCAAGGGGCTAGTAACCCCTTCTCCTGTATATATTACTAAATGTGAAAAGAGAAACTTTTGTTTTTCCTTTTGGGCCACCCCGCCTCGGTGGGATACAGCCGGTGTGTTGAAAGAAGAATAATAATAATATTATTAGAGTATAAATTTTGTGTGAAAGGAAGGAATGGTAGAAGTCATCCCAGAAAGAGTTAGAGGGAGGAGGTAAGGGGGAGTTTTGAGTTCTGGAGCTTGAGCATCCAACAGGCATGCATAAGAGTTTTATATCAGAGTAAGTGGAGACAAGTTGTTTTTATGGCTTGACATTCTATCTGAGTGTGAGCAAAGTAACAATCATGAAAGCATGTGAGAAAATTGGTTAGCTGGACTTGGGTCCTGAGGTGGAAAGAACAGAGCCTGCATATTAAAAGAGAGGTGGGGATGGTGCATTTCAGAGGGTCATTTAAACTATGATGTCTGTGCACTTCTGGAAAGACAGCTATTATATGAGTGATGGTGAATGTATTTCCTGTTCTGGGCGGCTCTCAACAACAACAACAGATTTTATGAGGAGAGTGAGGCTCAGGTTAGGGTATATAGGAGATAAAAGTAATATATTCCAGTATTAGCAGGTCCTGGAAAGAGATGTGTGGTGTATAATTCAAGGAATGGAAGAGGGGTTATTCAAATATGGTTTAGCCACTTAGAGAGTGTATAAATCTAGAATGAATGAAATGTAGTATTGAGGATATCTCATGAAGGGTTGAAGTGAAGGTGTGAAGAAAGCTCTGAGAGGCAGGGGCTCTGAGTATCCAGCAGACATGAGCGAGTGTGTTAGATCAGATTTATTGAAGACCAAATGGTTTTGGGAATTGACATGCTGTTTGGAGTGTGAGCAATGTAACTCCCATGAAGAAATTCAGGAAAACAGTTAAGTCAGATATGAGTTTTGGAGGTAGGAAGTACAGTGCCTGCCCTCTGAAAGATGGGTAGTCATGTTGCATTTTGGTGAATCACTGGAACTGTGATGCTCATGTTCATTTTCAAGAAAAACTAAAGAGTGATTTTTTTTTTGTTTTCTTTGGTTACCCTGCCTTGGTAAAAAACTGCAATTATTTAAGAGTTTGTAATACAAAACAATAAAAGTGACATTATTAAAAATATATTTTAGTACAACAAATTAAATAGAAAACCAAAGTTTTAAATTGA